CCAAAACCATCCAAAACCAACATCATTCCCGCAATGCCAAGGTCATGGCGAGTGCTGTACGACTTGCTGGACAACTTTGGCCCAGCAACTTGACAAGTGGACCATGTTGACCATGTTGCATGCCGTCGGCTAATCGGCCAATCTCGGAGCGTTTCCTTTCGTTGTTTCTGCTTTGGACCAAGGTTTTCACCGTCAAAGTATGGGTGTTCTTTCTGGCCTACTTTGTTCATCTTGGGAGCCTGGAGGCTTTGCGGCTGTGAAACTGTAAGAGGCTTTGAGCAGCTACGGAACCTGAGATGAGACACTCACAGTATCGGAGATAGTTTTGGAGATAGTGGGATGTCACAGCGCTGATGTCTGTCAAAGGGTAAGACCTGATAAGCTAAGATACTTTCGCTTCGCAAAGCGTGTGCAGGATCAAGACGACACATTCTTCGCTCCAAGGAAGAGCCGGTCAGATGCAATCCAAGTCATGGCGCTGTTCGATGCAAGTCTACTGGTGTCACTGAGCCTGGCAGTTGGCAGGGAAATGGGCGGACCTGATGGATGGGCTAGCCGGAATGAACTACGGCATTTGTGGCATATTAAACATACCAACTCATACCATGCATGTGATCACATAGACTTTCAACACCATCATCACAAGCTATCCACCAATCAATATTTTAATCATGGTGGATCTTGCACAGGGCAGCGATTTTTCACAATGGTTGTCACTTTGATGGCTGGTGCTTTCCTATTGTGCGAGACAATGAGAGGCATTCAGATTGCGTTTTTCCAAGTTTCGGGGTGTCTTTTTGGTGAATTGCCACGTGGCCGAGGCTGGCAGAGTTGGGAATGCTGTGGCACGGTTTGTCGCAACGACGCTTGTGTCGCAGCCCAGGGAGATTCTCCTCACGAGTCAAGCGGGCACATCGCCTTTGGACCAGGAGGCATAGACATTACACCTGCCCGTTTCTACACTCCTCACATTCCACCTGCCAATTGCACTTGGTGAGGAGATGTGAGGAGTGTAGAAATCTTCCCATCAGGTCAACCAAGCCAAACCCACACGCAGATCGCAACCACAATCATAGCTGCAACACTCCAAGCCCCTTCCTATATTTTGTGGTTTTGACGGTCATACATGCACCCACCAAAACTTTTTGCAGGCGCTTCCTTTCCCTGTTGGTGGGATGTCTGAGCCTGGCTGCCATGATTCTGGTGGGCAATGTGGGGCGACACCTGTGTAACTTCATTCCCGAAGCCACCTTCCAGCAGGCTCGGCGAGTTGTAAGGCACATAGTTCTGCACTCCTTCATGCTTCATTATTGCGGATCATTGTGCCAAACGAACTGTGCATGTATTTGCTACCAACAAGCAGTTGTGCTATTTCACCAAAAAAAATGTGTTGGGTCTTGCTTTACACAGGATCCAGACTGCCATGACGACCAAGCTCTTGCCGCTTGTTCCTTGCCACAAACTTGGGATACTTGGGAAGGTTGTTTAGCATGACACAATACGTCGATGAGTCGATGACTCTTGGAGATTAGGTGGGCTGTATGCAGTGGTTCGTTTGGTCTTCTTTATCCTCGTGACACGGCGGAAAGATATCCCGTTTGTGCACGGTGCCCCGAAGAACCTGCAGCAAATTCAACGTTCTTTTGCAGCAGAAAGTGAGGCGGCACAGGACCAGTCCGCATTTTGTTCAACTTTTGGTGTGCGATTATTGGAAGGTGAAACACCTACATACTTGTAGTAGCTACTGACATAATCATGTAAGAAGCAGCTTTATCAGGTGTATCCTCGATAACTGAGAACTTGCTTGATTTTCAAGCCACCTAAGCATTTGTGCAAGTTTGGTAAGGTGAGAATAATAACCAGTTGGTTCCACCACCTGAATGCGTTTGAAGCCCTGCAAGATGCAGGAACCAGCTGTTGGCAACACCTCATTCATGACGGTGGTATCAGATCCTTCCCCCGGACCGATTGGTAAGGACGAACCGGGAGGGTTTTGGCTGGTTGATGAGCTGTTGAGGGTGACCTTTGCTTTGATGAAGCGCCAGAGCATGCGAGAACTCTGTGAAAAGATTTGAACCGTATTTCTTCACAAAATTCGCCAGCATCACACATGGGAATCTTTCCAATATCCTCCAATTTCACTCATTCGGAGCTGTTTCCGGATGTTTCCAGCCAGGAGGGAAGGGGCAGCGCCCCGTTTTTCGTGTGGTTTTTCGTGCTGCTGCTGTGACCTGGCCTGAAATCATGTGAAATCCATGAATTCCTCGGCAATTTTCAGCACCTGCACAGTGTCCGTGAGATTCTGTGAGATTCTGTGAGGTGTTTCGCCTTTGAGACGATCTTCGTTGCGCCCTTGGTCTCTGGCTTTTCCTACACTGGCTTCTGTGGCGATCAGTGCTCCCAACGCATCATGCCTGGCGTGACACTGCCATACCTGGGCACCATCCATCCCTTTCCCTCAGAGTGCGTGGCTTGGTTGAGGCATGGACTCTAGAGACTAGACTCGAGATGTAAGATGATTAAGATGGCAGTGTCCCACGCCGCATTTTGTTCTCGCAAGCTGACTCTGCAGCCTTCCAGTGGGTCCGCAAAGGTTTCCTGCTCCTTTGCTTCAGGTTGCTTGCGTGCTATCCATTACGGCCATCTATCTGCTAGTAGGGATGACCGCATTCCTAGATTTGCACCTTGGCGCTTGCCCGGAGAGAATTGAGATGAATTGGGCACTCCATTGGGCCACAGAAAACCAAGCCGCTATAGATTTCACAGGACTCGTCTCAAGACAAACACATAAGCACCCTAAATAGTCACTAAATGTCACTAATAATTGACCCTGAACCTCGGCCCAACATGGGCTTCGACCGGTTTGGACAAGATGAATCACACCAGCAGCTGACCCAACTTCAATGCCTGCACTGTGCCTGCACTAGTCACTAGTGACATGCCGTGGCAGACCTCAATATCTGAGGCACTTCCTCTTCTATTTGGTGATTGGGAAGCTCGGGTCCAAAAAGAGATGTATCCGCAGGGATACTGGGAGAGTGGAGCGAAAAGGAGACAGCGAGGCTGCGACCGGTGCACAGGTTCTGGATGATCGATGAATTGCCCATGGCAAGTGTGGACATCTTTGCTATTCTTTGTTGCCATTCAGACTATTTAGATTCGTTTGGCACCGAGGATCGGTGGCTATGCCATGGGTGAGCACCGTGGATTGCGCAATGTCGCATCTTCGGCTTTGAGGTGCGGATCCCTTGACAGTGCTTCCGTGTTTGTAGGTGGGCCTACCTGGGGTCAAAGTAAGTGTGAAACGTGTTGAAGATGTTGAAGCATGATTTGTTGGGGGATTGTGGCACCCCCAATATGCCCGAGCATCCAAACATGAGATAGTGTTCTGTGGAAATCCTGAGGGCAGATGCCCACAAAGCAAGAAGGGACATGTGGCCTCACAGGAGGGATGTCTTCATCTCTTCTCTGTTTTCCCTTGGTGAGGCATTTAGATTTGGATGCTAGCACCCGGCGGCAATACCAAAACGACACGGACAACAGTTCTCTCAGTGATGGCCGGGCAATGGCCGCTGGTCCAGAACGAGAGAGACTTGTAGCTAGGATCATGCTTCTCTCAGCTAGACAGCTGGACAAGCATCCGCGAGTGTTCCATATCGTTACAGCATTACATGTTGATGATTGAAAGTTGCCACCGGCCCCGCACACATTTTTCTGCCATTTTCCGAGCCGAAGCTGTCAGGAACGAATTTTTGGCAGTGCCTGGAGGCTGGTCTGGAGCTGTGCAGTAGAATCCCTCTACGATGACACTTGGCGTTAGGCGTCAGGTCAAGACTTGTGAGTTTGGAGACGTTGAAATGTCGAAGTATGTCGATGTTGGTCCTGCCTGTGCGTCCATACTCAATATGGGTTTATTGAATTGGAAATTTACCGCAGCACCTCGGCAGGCATGATTCACATTATCAGATAGTCAGATAGGCATGATTTGGCAGGTGTGTGACTCCCATCGAGTCCCTAGAGAGCACATCATCAACAACCGCAGCAACACTTTTTCGAGTTTCCATGTGGCTGTTTGGAGATATGAGCTGGTCGACCGAACCCCAGTGTTCCAAGGATTGCCTCATCACGGAGGCAACCGCGAATAGCATGGCAACTTGGTTCAGACATGTTCAGACATGTTCAGTCAGTTGCAGCAGCCTGCGGGCTCAGAGGTGTAATGCTGCTGTGTTCCAAGTAGAAGTAAGATGGTGGCACAGTAGCGGCATGCCAGCATCCTCGGCAGGGCCAGAGGGGGCTAGAGGGTGCTGACTCTCTCTGCCATCAGGTCCAAGCTGCGCGAACCTTTCGTTGGAAGGATCCTGCAGCTTCCAAGACCCAATTCTCGCAACTGTCCCAGCGTAACTTAGCCACAAATTGTACCACATCCTGTCTGTGAATGACTGCAGGCAAGCAGCAACCGTGACCCATGATGGTTTGCTGAATCATTATTGATAGATATTGATAGTATTGGATCAACTTGGTATCATCATTGGATCATCATTGGATCAATTTTGTACGCCAGGTTTCCAGCGGCTGCGCTTCCGTGCCACGCAGCTGCGCGGCGGCTCCTGGCAGCAAGCTGGAAGGACGTGCTGCATCTCTGGGCTCCAGGTGTGTTGGTGGTTCCCAGTGGGCGAAATGGGGATGGATGATGATAGATGATGATAGATGGGAAGGTTGCGGCAACATGCGGCGATCGCTGATTTTTGCCAAAATTTGAATGACGCAGTTTCAATGCCTTCTTTATTGGACAAGCCTGTTGCCTGTTTGAAACTGAAGATATGTGATTTAGTCACAAATCCCAAAGATTCTGCCTCCAGTGCCTTTTCTTGCAATTGGATTGTTCAGTTGTTTGACGTGACTACATGTACGATCATGTACGTACTGACTGTAGATAGGGATTGTTCACCTGAATTGGGACAACAATCTTTTGAGATTTGACCGATCCAATTAGGTGCCTATGCCCAAAATTGCCAATCACTCCTAGTCATGGCCTGCGATGCTTGGAAATATGGAATTCTGCCATCCTACTCCTGCCAGGTGCGACATGGTCCCAGGAGGGAGCCAGAGAGCTACACAGTAGAGAAAGAAGCCGTGAAACATGCAACTCGACAATTCGACCAGATAGGAAGACAATGGATATTATGATCTGATGGATATGTGGCATTGGAAACACTGGAAACACGCGAGCCGCGAGACAATCCCCGACTGTTTCTGATTAGCAATGGAATACCCTGGCAACTGAGGTGAAAGTGGCCACAGCCACGCAGCATGCTGAGTTGATGCAGGTCTTGGATGATCGGCTGGTTGCCACTGCCGATGTGCCAGGACGGGGGCAAACGGCAAACGGCAAACGGATGCAAATGATTGGAATATGTTGGAATCAATGGAAACTGTTCTGGCATGTCCTGACATGACTGTTTGAGAATGTGTGAGAGCCTGAAACATTAATATGATGGTGCCCAAATCAGGTTTTAAGCTTTTCATGCCATTCCCATCCATTCCCAAATCTTCTAGACACCATCGTGAAAGGTTTCAGAGCCTTCATGCGGTGAAGCAGCCATGTCTCAGCAAGGCCTTGGTGTCCGCTGCGGCTGGCAGCTGCTATCCCATCGCAATGCTGCTGCTTCAGGTGAGGGTTGCTGTCACATGTTATCACAACAGGATGCACTACACACACATTCTCTATAATTATATAATACAACTATATATAGTTGGATATGTTGGATACAAGCTGATAGCGCGCGAGGGACAGAGCATTGCAGTGCCATCCGGTCAGGCACGAGCACTCCACAGCAAAGAGAGCTGCTTGGAGAGAACAGATCAGTGATGGACGTGTGGCTGAAAGTTCATTAGGGTTTCAATATCTCAATCCAAGTGGCGGAACGAATTATTGGTGAGCATTTTCATTCGGGCTCTTATCCTAGTCCTAGACATTCCTAGGCTGCAGCAGTGTACTGAAGGGAAACTCGCACGTGTTGCAAGAACTTGTCATTTGGCATGCCGAGGTCAGTGTCTAGCCGTAGCACCATGGCTCCTTTTGCTGGAAATGGTCGGAAGGTTCAGATGAAGCCAGTCTCCAGCAGGAACTCCATGGCAGAAGACTTGCTGACGCTTCGGAACGCAGGCAACTTCCCAGCAGATCTCCTTTTCACCGACCCGGAAGCATATAAAGAGGTAGAGATTGTCTTTCAACGTCCCCGCTGTATTCATGCTCTCTCCTTTTTGACAACTGGGGATGACCGACAGTTTGACCCTGTGTGTTGGGAGATCGATGGTTCCATTGATGGCAAGACTTGGATGCGTTTGCAAACACAATCCTGTGAGTTCGACACTCCGGCAGTGCGCCGCAGACCCATCAACACTTTCTTTGTCTCCGAGCCGTGGTGTAGATCTGGGGCAGCACCTGTCAGTAACTCCAGGGTGGATTTGCAAAAGATCCCTGCTGCAGTCAGCGAACGCTTGTGCTTCTTTGCAAGCTCCCTCCGGGCCATCTTGAAGCAGGGAGCAGGTACTGGCGCTGCGAGCCCTGTCCGGGCAGGTAGGGACACCTTGTTGGATCGGAAGATTGGAGGCGTGCCAACTCTGACACAAGTTGTGCCAGTGTATGAGGAGCAAGTGATTTTGACGGAGGAGTTTCTGTGCGCATCGGACGGGCGCAACACGAACCTGGGATTCGTCATCTCCCAGGATGCCTGGTTGCAAGATGTTTCAATGGAAAGTGCTGCAACTTTTAAGATGGCATGGGGATGTATCTTAAGAATTCTTAAGACTTATTTGGGTATGGTTTAGTAGTTTAGTATGATTTAATATGATTTAGGATGATTTAAGTGGTGGGCGTGTATATAGTGCAAAGTGGCTAAAAGGTCCGTAGACCTGCGAGCCTAGTTGTGCTTTCCATGCTCGGTGACCCTGGCGGGACAATTTCTTGGTCATCCAGTTTCAAAATGTTTCAAACATCTCTGCAGCAATCGGCACTCTAACGGCATCTAACGGGCTCTAAGAGCTAACATTCGGCCAGAAGTCTGGTGCCCTCTCGCGGGATCCTCCCCATGCAGCTAGCCGATTGTCAAACGTCAGGCTGAAGATCACTGGGAGATTTTCGCGCGGAAACAGGGCATGGCGCCCAGAGAGCTCTACAACTCCTACACCTTGGGGGAGCTTCATGAATGGCTTCGACAAGCGGAGCTGGCACAGGCAAGGGTGTGCATGCGGGTGATCAATGGCGACTATCACATATAGAATCATATAGATACATAATACTTTTACACAAACACATTGACACACACACACATACGCACACACACACAGATATATATATATATATACATTAAATATATTTGAATCATCATCTACTATAGCTACAAGTTCCTGTCCCAATAAGTCTCTGTTGTCATCGGTTATTGTCATGTTATTGTCAACCAGTCCCAGTTGGGTGTGCCACGTTTGAGCGCAATGTTGGACTGTGACATCTGTGTGAGGATATGGAGAAAGCCCGAGAGGTGAGAGAGCTGATGTTGGAAGTGCGACTATGGGCCTCGCAGCGGTCACAGCTCCTCGGTTTTCATCGCTGCGTATGGCGTGGGACCCTTTGCATCCGACACCACGTTGGTTAACCTGAACTCATGATGACTCATGTATGAACTTGCATACTTATGTCCACATTATTCCGATATTGGAGCCAAGACGCGGTGTTTCTGGGTTTCATGTTCTGTTGTTTCCCTCTTTGGCGGCCCGGAATTGGCAATGTTGCGCGAGTAAGGACTGTTTCGAGAACAGTCATCGGTGCGATTCAGTATCACAAAGTTTTGGATCCTTGGATGAAAACAAGAGCCCATGACTTTATGAAAGGGCGCCATGGGAGTTTGCTTTCAGTTGGGTCTGTTACGATTGTTACGCATTGGTGGCTTCTCGATGCAGATTGGTCAAACCTTGCAGCTTTTCCACTCCAAGCAGCAGTGAATCAAGGAGATGCTGCCATCGGTGCAAGCTGACTCAGACACAGGCCTAGCAGGCCCGGTGGGTTTGTTGGGTTTGTTGGGACTAGTTGACAGGGTACGACGTGGTAATCATCAACATGGTATCACCCTTCACCGACTTTGACGTCCCAACGGTTCTGGAGGAATGACATGTAACGAATCATGCTTTCACAAACGCTGTTCTGCCAGTCTAGTGGGACGGGCCGCGATGACGCAGCCCCGGGGTATCAGCCGCATGCTTTCACTGTGTCGGCTTGAAGTTTTCGGCAATGCATCACTGGACCTACGGACAGGATTGGTGCAGCTGTTCATATCTCACCAGACCTACGGACACAAAAAGCACAAGGAAGAGGCGGATCAAGACATCAGAAGTTTGATTTGGCGATTCCGGCAATATCCAATCTACTTGGTATGCTCCTTGCATGCCATCATGCGATGACCGCAGGGCATGGCAGGGCTATTGGGGTTGGAGGGAGAGGCAAGCAGACCAGCATATGTATGGGACCTTTGGTCGGTATTGCACAGTATTGAGCCAAGATTCGGCTACGATTCCAAGTGTTTCCAACAAAACAATACAAAACGGAAGTATGATGAAGTATGATGAAGTTGCATCCAGCTATACCCAGCTTGAAGCCAAGGCGACTACAATGCGGATGTCGCAAGGTGTCCTGGCCAGCAAGGCGATGCAATATATTTGGAGGAACATTGCAGTAGCATCTCGCACATTCTCGTTCGCGAGTCTTTTCAAGCATGGTTCCCAGATGTTTCCAGTATGTAGATGATTGTAGATGTATTTGACATTATTTGACTGTATTTGTGTAGATGTATTGAATTTTATTGATATAGATTAGCTTTGATGGCGCACAGGACCTCTGGGGGACGAGCTGTGTCCTCCCCGCTTTGAGAATCTAAGGCCATCCTTGAAAGAAATGGTGATGTGCTTCGCAGCTCGGGAGCACAACTTCACCGGACGCTTTCAATATGCATCCGTTCTCCTGGCTTTCAACGAGAACCTTGGCAGTGCAGGCAGCAGTATGGAACAATATGGAACAATATGGAACGCACCACCTTTCAGAAGTGCCTGCAGAAGTGAAGTACAAAGGAACTATGCACCGGGACAGCCTGAAGAGAACATCGTGAAGGCTGGACCATGAAGCCATTGCTTCATTCCACGCCCCAGTTTGCGTCCTGTTGAGCCTTATGCATTGCAGGTAGTGGAGGTGCTGCCACGGGTCTATCCTTTAGTCTTGGGAGAGTTGGAGCCGCGACCACCTGCTGCCAAGACTCAAGGGAAGGCTGGAAATCAATTAGCAGCACTCCGATCCTTGGCATCGCCGTAGGCCCCAGAAAGACTCTTTCTTGTGGGTCTTGGAGTTGACCAACGACGTGCAAGTGTATACACCAGGAAAGTTGAGCAAAGAGAAATGCCGAATCCATGTAGATCCCTACTCATCTCGTCCTCATTGGGCATGGTACTTGAGACTTTTCCACACTTTTCCACATTGGCACCTCAAAGCGAGCTAGGCTAAGTAGACAAGTAGACAAGTTGGAAGAAACCTGAAGCAATCACACGAAACCACGAGAAACACAGTTTTGCTTTGAAATTTTTGAACTTGAACTGCTGAGGATTCGCTCCCGGGCACTACCTGCAGATGATGGATGCCAACATGGGCGCTTTCTTTGGGGAGGCCATTAACTTCATTTACTGATCACTCCGCGCTTTCCTAGGTTGCAATGTTTGATGTGTCTCTGAGGCTTGCAAGGTGCCCTTCATTTTGCAGCAGTTTCAGCCACCAGGAAGTGATCGCAGGTGTCTCAGCTATGATTGGGGGTGATGTGGAGTTCAGCATGTGTGTGCATAATATACATATGCATATATACTGACTTATACTGTACATACATATGCGGACACATGTAATATATGCACATAAAATTAGATAAATATATACCGAGAATATTTCAATATCTACGGCTTGATGTTTTGCTTTTGAAAGGTGTTGAAAAAGACTTATAGCCTATAGCCAGAATTCACTCATATTTGGGGTAGTTAGTAAGTCAATCAGAATTCTCCACTTCATGTATCTTCACGTATATGTATATATATATATATGTGTGTGTGTGTGCTCAATTTCTCGCAGTCGCTAACTGCTGATCCACCAATCTCTGTGAATCTGAATAGGATCTTGGCTGATCATGCCTTATCCACCAGGACAGTCCAGGCGCGCATCATCGGCTTCCGCGAGCACATTTTCACCGGCAGCCATGGTGCGGTAGGTGCCGATCGCCACCGAAGGGGCTATAAGGGGGTGGTAATCCCTTTCCAATGCCTGGTGCCGACATGTATTAGCCATCCAGTGGCTTTTCTGTTTGGAAATCGGCAGTCGACTTGGGCTCTGTTCTTCGCACTGGCATGGATGAATTGTGCTCCCATCTCTGTATACTGGGTCGGCCTTTTGTTCTATACAAGTGTGTTGCCCCATGAAAGCTGCTGGAAAAGTGTAATTGCAAACAAGGACAGTCTGCGTGAAACGTTGGTGGAATGTGGGTATGCTTCTTGGTGCCAGTTTTTCCCATTGAGTGAATCTGAGTGTAAGCACAGCAGTTTATGACAGTGTCTCACCCATTTTGTACAACCCAGTATTCCTCTTTACACTTAAGTTTGTCATTTCATTTCACGTTCACCTGGCAACCCTTGCCTCGGCGAAGATGTGGGCGGTGTGGTGGGGCAAATCCTCTGAGAAGACTTGGCAAAAAAGGAGGAATTCCAAAGTTATGAAAGTTGATGAAAGTTGCAACTCTGCGTCAGCATATCTGGCAGACTGCAGGGGCCAAGAAGGGCTGTAGGATGCGAATCCATCATACCTCCAGGTTCTATTTTGCTGGCAGAGTCAGGGCTGAGTGAAGAACCCACTGACAGGTGCTGCCATGGCTGATGCCGAGTGGACCTTTGGTACTATTTGCCAACGCTTCCTAGCTGGGCTCGGGGCACGAATGCATTACGGGTAGCTCGGACGTATTGGTGACATGAATGCGTCCTTTGGACCACCAGACTCCACATAAGATGCCTGTCGGATGCACTAGCACCGCATGCATCAAACATATTCACATTTGATAACATTTGCATGTTCATATAATTTCATGCTGCATCGACTCAATTCGACTATGCTGAAAGCTCCCAACTATTCCCAACCCCAGGTGGCCAGTTGCGCTGTCATCGCTCAAACTCGTTTGGCTGAGCCAGCGCCGAGGCATCCTGACTTCTTCGATGCCTTCTGGGCCTCCAACCGGGGATCCATGTCAAAAGCATCCCCCGTGCTGAACCTCTCCGAGGATATCTTTGCGGGCTTCAACGTGTTGATGCGTCGCTGGACCAGAATGAATCCGACATAATCCGACATGACATCCAACAATATCTGAATGATCTGAATAAACAGGAGCTTGTTGAGGTAGGCAGAGCCGGTGCAACAAATGAAGAGGTAGCTGCAGGCCACCTCCTGGCTGTGCCTATCAAGGCACAGCCAGGAGCTATTTGTTTGAGTAGCCAATTTTTTTTTTCATAGGCTAAATTCACTAAAGGTGCACGGTGCAGCATGTTTCAACTCACTATTTTTTAAGCATCTTCACGCTGCCTCCTGAGGTGGTGAGCAGTCCACGCATGTAGATTGCCTGGAGTGGGAGAAAGGACGAGAGGCAGAGTTACAGACAAATTGCGATGGCAATTGAGATGGTACTTGATAACCTTGATGGTACTTGATCCTGTGTTCACCGTACGGCTGTTGTCAATCCAGGCGGCCACGGAACTGTCAGCATGTGTCAGCATTTGCTGCTACAGGTCTCTTTCAACTCTGCATCTTTGTTCTTCACCAAAGTGGCCAGTGGCAATGTGGGAGTGATGCGCTCCAGAGATCTTAAGACTTTGAGCCTTGGATTTTCAGTCTTTCAGTTGCCTTTGCCTAAATATGGAAAGTGGTGCCATTGGGTACGCAAGATTGTGCAAATTGGGCGAGTAGTGGCTTCTAGAAGCTCGTGCTTTTCTGGCCCTGAGGACTGGCAGCATGAACATAGCAGACAGCTTTTCCTTCTACTTTGCATCCGTTGGGTTTTACCTCTACAACGTTGTGACCGACATCTCGATGAGTGCGTATGTTGCTTTTCTATCTTTTCTCAATGTGCAGTGATGTCGTAGTTTTCCCATGTTTTCCCATGTCTACTTTGTCCTACAGGAAAGCTATTGAGAAGGTGCTTTGCCCCCATTGAGGGTTGAAAGAACAACTCCATTGTAGACTACCATAGTTGCCGGAGCCCCGGAGCAGAGCTTGGAAACCGAGGTTTCTATTTTCGTTCTCCTCACCTTGTCCTCCAAGAGCTTAGATGACATTGGGAAGTTGGACTCGTTGTTGGCAGCAGAGTGGGTCATCTCTTTTGGCACCCTTGCCATGTGGCGTGTCTGCAAGTCACGCCATTCATTGCTTTGAGTCAATGCATTTGAATGCAATTGGGTTGTGGAATGCAGCCGTGTCAGGTTCCCGCGGCTAATGGAATTGACCTTGGAGTTTGGCATCATGGAGGGCATCATCCGCTTCTTGCTCCTTGGTATCAGGGAATATCGGGATATGTCAGGGATGAGCTGGACAACACCACGACTTCCACGCAGGTTTGGTTGCAATTCTGCACACGAGCACCTTATGCAATTTGTTGTTTTTTTTTGCGAAAAGTCACAGCTCAGGCCATCAATTCCTGGTGCAGTTCTTGTGTGTCTGGGCTGCATATAGGCGCTAAGAATCTCTAAGAACGCTCAGGCAGAGTATGTTTTCCCGGTGGTTGACGTGGCACTTGAAAACTATTTGCGTTATCCGCCCGGTAAGTTTGAAGGAAGAAATAATGAGGATGCTTGTAACTGGCAGCATAGGGCACCATTCCGTATCTTGTAGCCATTTGATCCATGTTGAAGGGACTCGTGCTTGCCGACAGCCACTTGCTGTGACGGTTCCCAGGCGGGGATATAATTAATTTCTAGAGAGCCGTGACTACTAAGATCTACTAAGGTTCACCTTCATGAACAAGTCCATTGCTGAAGCAGTTGGGTCCACGATGCAGACGGGCATTGCCAACTACATTTCTACTGGACGGCCTCCAGCCAACCATCACTATGGTTGGAGACGCTGGGCACATCACTTCCATCTTGTAACACTTAAAGCACCGTAGCCCTGGAGCACTGAAAAACCGGGGTGCTGCCACGCAGTTGCAGAATTGCCAGCATTGCCTCCTAGTTCAGGCAAGGTGTCTCGGAGATTCTGAGAGTAAGATCCTCTCAATTAGCTTAGTCTCTTTCAGGCCTTACCTGTGAGCCTGTGAGTCTTGTCTTCTTTCAGCAGCTGTCCAAGGAGATTGCTACTTTTTCTACAGAGTTCCTTGGCTACTGAAAAACTTGCCACCCAAGGCAGTGTGTAGGATACAATGGTAAATTCCTACAGCCACTGACGAAGACCTCGGCAAGAAACTGCACAACATTTCAGTTACGCCAAAATGGCGGATGTCTATGCCCATGGTGCACGTCCCCTGAGGACAGCCACTACTATCCGGCTCTTCGGATTCTGATCATGTATGCTGTCTACAGGCCAGCAACATGTCAGAACGCATCCTGACCCTTCCAGTTCATGACAAGTCAGCAGCTTAAAAGCGGCAGTTCAGATCAGCCAATTCAGCCGCAGATGCCAGGCTGCTGGCGCAGAGCTTTGATGTGGCAGCGCTGCCCATGATGGTCTTGCTGGGGACGGCCTGCGTTACTAGGCATTTGTAACCCGTTGCTTTGGCAACATGTGGTAGGGGTTCAAACATTGTAACATGTTCAGGTGTGCTTTTGATAAGATATCACTAGATATCCTAACGTGAAATGGATTGAATTATATTGAAATGGTATGATGGTTCGTGATGAACTACGTGCCATGTCTCCCAGGTTTGGCTGGTTGGCCCCATTTTGTTCTGTCCGCAGCCGACCTTGTGGTCAATTCGTCTGGTACCCAAGGATAGAATTGCAGCAATTTTAGGACGCAACATTTGCTGTCTTTGTTCCTACCCTACGCAGCAGATGGCTAGGTGATGATTTGTCTGAATTTTGGTGCTTTGTAATTGGCACTTCGAATGCTGAACGCGGCTCAGTCAGCAAAGAGCGCAAGGCTGCAACAATATTCTGGAAGTTCTGTGAATGTTACATCATATATCAATATCTAATATCATCAATTTGGATTTGAAGCATTGAGTACTATTCAGCCATGTTCGAGCCACCTTGCCTGTCTGGTGCACTTTAGCATCAAGGTAGTGTGGACCTCAAAGAGGTAAACCTGGAAGAACGACTCGCAGCACGAAAAGAAGATGCCACCGCCAACTTGTACGATGAATCCTGGCTGCAGGCGATTCCTTTGCGGACAGAAACGGCCTCAAGTCACAAGTCTAAGTTTCTCACCTGATTCTTCCATTTTAAGCTTCCAATGCGCATAGGACAGTCCTGTGTAAGCTCCACGCACGCACACACACATAATATATGATAATATATGTATATGTGCATATATATATAATATGAAAATAAATACGTATATATAATACTAGTATAATGTATCATATATAGAATATACATCATCTTTATTTTTTGTATAATTATATATGTATATATATATATGTATATACTATCCGTTTAAAACATATGTATATAGAATATATATATATGTATATTAAACATATCTGCAAATAATATCTACTTATAATATCTATCTATCTGTCTGTCTGTCTGTCTGTCTGCCTATCTATCTATCTATCTATCTCTCTCTCTCACTTATACATGTTTACATATATTGTTATATGTGCAACACATAATTAATACATACATACATGCATGCATGCATGCATGCATACATATACATACATACCTACCTACCTACATATATATAATATAAATATCATATATATATAATTTACATGTCAGAATAACACAAACACACACGCACACACTTGCTCAGATATATATATATATATATACACACATATACACACACACATATATATATATATATATATTTTTTTTTAATTATTATTATTATTATTATAATTATTAGTCTCCATCTCCAACCATCAATCTTAGCCACTCAGGTGTGGTTGTTTGACAAGTTGAAGCACAAACGCGCTCCAATGCTCGCTCGTCTCATGGAGCTTTTGGTGGCATTTCTTTTCTTAACCGTGATGTTAGCAGCAACTCAGCTGCATCCCATGGCCCTATCTGCCAGTGACTGGTGCTGTGCCACAAATTTGTTGTTGCAAGATGGACGGATATGAACGGCATTGGATCCGATGATTTTCCACTATAGGAGCACGTAGGGATACGTCATCGATTCCTGGATTCCAGCTCCACGGCCAGGTGGTGTTTGGCACTATGGTGGACCAGATCCGGTCCGTAGTTTTGCTGGTGTTGGTGAACTATTTCATCCTGGCGCTTTGGCGAGTCTTTGGTCGTCCCACCATTCTCATGAGCCTTGCCTTCTGACCTGGATGAACATAGCTGAAGCTCACCATCATCCAAAGACCCCAACCAAGAAATATCATAGCAAATAAGAAATAGAACAATGAAAAACAACCGTTTTGTTCCCTTGTTCATCCTGGGTTGCTTCATTGCCCCATTCCACTTCCTGAGCCCTCTCCAGCATCAGGATGCTCTCTGCCGGCCTGTGGCTTTGTGCCGTTCCCCTGGTGCTCAACAGCCAATCTCTGGGAGGAGTATGCAGTGAGTAGACATTGCCGAGTGGGAATGGTGTCCCAAACTCCAATTGGATCCCATACTGTCTGGCCCGTGGAGGACAATATGGAACTCTACTGGTAGCGTTCATCCTCACGTTCCAAGCCTTGTCAGTAGTTGAGAAGGCACGTCCCAAAAGACGTGCAGTTTGTGACACACGGCATGAAAGCTGCTCACGCCATGTAACGGAATGGTCCATGCCCATAACATTCCATATCTATCCATATCTATCCATATCTATGAAACGGTGGCTTTGGTGTCGAACAAGGGCTTGCCTTTGGAAATGACAATGCCTCCGTCGCCAGATACTGCTGCTGTGTGCCTGGGGGCTCTTACGCCCAGACCCAGATTGCGCATCAATGCCTGAAACCACAATGGAAGAGGTCCACCAGAAACTGGGCCAAGGAAAGTTGGCTGTAACAGCCAGGGTATTGAGCGAATTCGATGCGATATGTGTACCTTATATACAATTGTCTACTGTAATTGATTTTAATTATAAATGACGGGATCACTGCAAACACTTTTTCTCTCAAAGACCTTATTTGCATACTCTAGCTGTGAATTCCTTGGATATTGCTATCTCTGCCTTGTGTTGATACAATGCAGGCAAGACTTCAGCAATGTGTTGAAGATTCAGGAAGGGCGGGCCATGTGGCGCATACAATGTAAGGGAAGATCAAGGAGTTTTCTTGTTTCACCGTGGCCGAGGAAGCGGGAAGCTGCACGCAGAGTTCAAACCTACGATTCTTGGCAGCCGATGCAACCTTCAATCATTTGATCATGATCCCGTCTCTCGTGGATCGGGGAATATGCATAAGGAAGCATGTGATTTTAAGAATATTGAAGAGATGGCTGTGCAGCTTCGCGGTATCGCCCAGGATGCGGTTGTGGAGTACTTTTATCTGAACTTCATGTCCTACCAGTGGCATTTGTATGTTTCCATCATGCTCTTGGTGGCCAATCTCGGAGTTCAGCTTGGCGTAGCTCTTTTGGAGATGCTTGGGGCTCAGGTCAAGGGTATACGGTAATACTAGTAAGTCACTTTGGAGGTCCTTTCCCAGTACAAAACAAGGATGTAAAGATATATAAAATTATATAAAGCCTAAAGTGCCTAAAGTTTAGAGGGATCCAAGTGTGTGATGATACCACTTCATTGGTCCTTTCGTGTTCTTTCTGGTTAAGGCTTGGAGGACTTCAGTCCTGGTGGTTGCTTGGTGGTAAGCTCCGTGGGGGTTGCTGCCGCCTCCGGAGGCTGGATTTTTACGGAGGCAGGTGGCAAACCGCTCTGCACAACACCTGGTGGCAGGCCAGAGTACAAGCCGCCCGGCAACGACCACGACCCACCTACAGAACGTCGTAGCCAGTGGCTTGGCAGCAGCAAATGCAGTGGGGGATAGGTGGGTGGATAGGAGCCTGGCTTAGCTTGGTTTTTGACAGTGGCTGCCACTGTTGAAAATTCCCTGCGTTGCGCCATGAGCCATGAGCCTCAGGCTTTCTGGACCTAGCTCGGAAGGTCTTCGCAGCCGCTTGGGCAAGGGGATCTCTTATACCGTTGATGGTGCTGAAGGCTGGATATTGAAATGCAGCTCACCAGTCAGACCTCTTTCTGATTGTGCTCAAAATGTAGGAAGGATCGGTTGAGACGTTTTTTTGGATACATCCTGCGCAGCAATTGGTCAACGTCTAGTCAGCCAGCAAAGGCAGAAAACGATATAATCGAAGGAAGTTTAGAAGTCAAACTTCCTGAAAAGCAGAGATGGGAAGAGTCAGAGTAGAGAAGAGAAGAAGAAAGAAGATCAAAAAGGGAAAGTCTCCGAAGAAAGAAGATCCAGGTGTGCGAAAAGGTAGGAAAGTCGCGAAACACTGTGTTTTTCCAATGATTTGCGGCTCCGGAGGGTCGAAAAGTAGGCTCGCTAAAGCGGCGGGTGCGGAGCCAGCTGGCCAGATGAGAGATGAAAACTGGCACGCCGTTGTGGCGCGAAGCACATTTCCAAGTCAAAAGTGTAAAAGACTGACGGGTTCGGAGCACTTTTGGAAGTTGAAATGTCGAAAAAGTGCATGCCGTTGTGGCGCGAAGCACATTTCCAAGTCAAAAGTGTAAAAGACTGACGGGTTCGGAGCACTTTTGGAAGTTGAGATGTCGAAAAAGTGCGTGCCTTTGTGGCGCGAAGCACGTTTCCAAGTCAATAGTGTAAAAAACTGACGGGTTCGGAGCACTTTTGGACGTTCAGATGTTGTTTTTCGTGGCAAGCGCAAGGGATTGTGCACCTGGTCAAAAGTCAGCAAAAGGTGACGGTCTTGTATCATTTCCAAAAACGATGGCAGGTTTGGGACATTTGAAGAGGATCTGCAAAGATGCATTTTCCGCGGCAGCTGCAGTACAAGAAACGTGTTCATCAGAGATGTTAGGAGGTCAGGGCGTTGATTTCCTGAGAGGGGTTGCATTTTGGAGCATCAGATCGTCAGGTTTGCTGTGATGATTTTACGTGACAGGTACAGCACTTCGTATGATCTCGCATCAATTTTCGTGGCAGGCGCAGCACTTTAGACAGGTGGAGTGGAAAAAAATCAAAACGCGTTGGTACGAGGCCCTCAGCTCTGCACACAACTTTCCATTTTGGAAGGAAGTCTCGCAGAATGGTTTCGTTTTTGACGTTGTCAAGTTCAAGTCTCGCAGAAATGTTTCGTTTTTGATGTTGTCAAGTTCAAAAATTGAGGAAGTCTCGCAGACTTGTTTCGTTTTTGACGTTGTCAAGTTCAAAAATTGAGGAAGTCTCGCAGAATTGTTTTGATGTTGTCAAGTTCAAAAATTGAGGATGTCTCGCAGAATTGTTTCGTTTTTGATGTTGTCAAGTTCAAAAGCTGAGGAAGTCTCGCAGAATAGCTTCGTTTTCAAGCTTGCAGAAAGACAGGCAGATAGATAAGATAGATAAAATAGATAGGATGGATGGATAGATAGATAGATAGATAGACAACTACAACTGCAACTACAACTACAAGTACCACTACACTACACTACTGCTACAGCTAGAAGTACAAATATACTACGCTACATTACACAACACTAATTACACTACACTACACTAACTACATCTAATTACACTACACTACTCTACCACAATTACACTACAACTACTACAGCAGCAACTACTTCTACTACTTCTACTACTTCTACTACTTCTACTGCTGCTGCTGCTGCTACTACTACCATCACCACCACCACCACCACCACTACTACCACTACCACCGCCACCACCACTACCACCACCACAGCTACAACTACAATCGCGGCTACATTACATTACACTATAATTAAACTGCAGTACATTACAGCCACAAATACAAATACACTACATTACATTACACAACATTACGCTACACTAATTACATTACATGGCAACTACAACTTACAACTACAACTTACAACTACAACTCCGCCACACTACACTACACTACATTTACACTTACACCTACACTTACACTGACACTGACTCTTGCACTTGCACTTACTCTTACGCTTACACTACGCTACACTACGCTACGCTACACTACGCTACACTACGCTACGCTACGCTACAGTACACTACACTGCACTACAACTGCGCTACACCACGCTACATCCAGGAATTGTGGTGCGGTGACGACTGCAACCATTGCAACCACTCCAAAAACACAGCTCCAACCACCGTGATTCACAACAACCAACCTCTCCTATAAGTTTCCTATTTTTGAAACTTCCGCCACCTTCTTGTTCGCTACTACTGGTATGTTACATGTTTTTTGTTATTTTGAACAAAGCTTTTGTGTTACATTGGTGCTGGAGGCGCGGCAAACACAGTGAGAAATTAGTGGGCGTTAGTTACGAGGTTAGAGAACCCTTTTGCTTTCGGGATTAGGCGCGATTGCCACTGGCTATGGCGGGCCTTAGGCCAAAGGCCAGGGTCGCACTGGCTGACCGTGGCAATTGCTAACAACAAAAAGGGCCAGTGAGGCCGAAAAAGATCAGTTTGCTACGTCTGCCATATGCTGGGCCCAGCAGCGACGTTGCATCGACTTTGCAGTCCTGTGGCCGGGGTTGTGCGGAGTTTTCTCGTTCAGACTGGTAGGTTGAGCTAATGATCATAGACCATGGCAGGGAATTCCCGGGCGCGGCCTTTGTTCAGAGCACTGTCAAGGAGTTTGCATCCAAAACTGGCGACACTGGCATATTATGTGCGTTATGTGTCAGGATTTCCTGGATCATTTCGACGAGTACAAGGCACGAAGCCAGTGACCTGCCGTGATTTAGCGTTGAAGCTCTCCCTGTAGCATCTAACATAATCTAACACACCTTTTGAATCCTTGATAGTTTTATAATTTTACGTTTTTAATCTGTGTGAATCCGCCTGTGAAAGCTTGAACATAGACGAACAGACCATGGGAAGTCCCTATGTGAGGCAAACCTCGCCCAACTGCGAAAACATCGCAACGTGGGGCATGGTCGGTGTATTCCCACCTTGGTTTGAGCCTTGCGTTTGCCAAATTGAAAGTGTGACAGTGACATACAGTGACTAACTAAATCTGAATGGAAAACTGTTGCGATTCGGTGGAGCAAAAGACCGCCCCACTATCAATTGCAGCTGCATTGAGTGATAGGCCCATCAACTGGCCATTGGAATGTCATTATGGCCTTAGGTGGACACGCAGAATGTATGGCCAACCGCACAACGAATTCAAGCGGCTGGCTACCCCCTCAGTGGGCATGGAGCTCGGTCTCAGTACTGTTGGAACTTAAAAATTTCCAGAAAATTACTTGGGGAAGCTTTGGATTTTCTGCGTTCAAATGCTCGGATGTCGCAGTGCCTTTTGGCTCAAACTGATAAACGGTCGAGGGAAAGCAGCTGCGTATTCAAGCTGCAGAGGGTCCATTGGAAAGTGTCAACGCTGTTTCCGTTCGATGTAGCAAGACTCCCAGACCACCTGAATCTCATGCAACACTTTTTTGAAGAAGGACAGTTCCCACACAGCAACCCCAAATCTGAAAGCAGCCTGCTCGAAACGAGCAAATAGATAGAAACAAATCATTAACACGTGTAAGGGGGATTTTACCCTGAAACAAAAGACAACAAAAGCACGTTACATACACGTAGATCATTGTAGATCGGCAATACTTTTTCACGATCTTTTCATTCGCCATGGGGAGGCTCCGAACACATCGAACACATCGAACACCTCCATTGGTTTCGTTGAGCCTCCTCCTAGCGGCTCGGTTCCTATTCCCGCAGCTTCCCAGTTTCGTGGCTCCCAGGGCTGGACAGCAACCCACAGCCACAGCCACAGCGGCCAGCGGGACTGCAGTGCTCAGTAAGACGCTTCAGTTACCCGGGGAAGCCCATGCGGTGCCGGAACAGCGAATCCTGGACTTTTTCAATGTGACCTTGGATAAAGGTCTCTCAGAACATCAGGTGCAACAACAGCTGGATGAATATGGGGCCAACCAACTGTTGGAACCAGAGAAAAAGTCCTTGTGGGAACTGGTGGCCGAGCAGTTTGATGACTTGCTGGTTAAGATCTTGCTGTTACCAGCTTTGGTGTCTTTTCTACTGGCATATTTCAATACTGATCAAAAGGAGGAAGGCTTGTCTGCCTACATCGAGCCTTTGGTGATCTTGATGATCCTGGTGCTTAATGCTTGTGTCGGGGTGTGGCAGGAGTCCAATGCGGAGAAGGCGTGAGTGATTGTGCACTGTTCATGAAGATGACCCATGAGTGCTGACACTTGCAGGTCGTCACAACCATGTCACAACCATGTTACTCTCAAATGCTTAAAGGATGACATATGCAGTTTGGCAACTAATGTTACATCGACCATAGTAAAGGGCCCCCCCTCTATTTTTTTTTTAAGGGGGGGGTCTGCTTTGCAATAGTAAATCGAAAATCCCAACTCTTCCCCAAGGCTTCTGTAAGGTTTTGACAAATCCAATGCAATCACAATTACAATTAAAAACACCAAGGAAGAAGGGAAAAAAATACAGCTAGAGCCAGAAAGGTTGCTTTTTATTGCAAGTGCTAATTCCGATTTTTAATTGCAAATGCAAGGACCTGCAAGGGGGTACCCTTTGTGGACCTGTTTTTTGCATTTTTTTAAAATGATTTTAATAAAGAAAGCAGCTTTTTTGAACAAGGTAAAGTTTTGGATTTGGTAAAGGTTTGCTTTGTTTCTGCTTTTTAAAAGCATGCAATCACAATTAAAAACAATTAAACCACAATTAAAAACACTAAGGAAGAAGGGAACAAATACAGCTAGAGCCAGAAAGGTTGTTTTTTATTGCAAGTGCTAATTCCAATTTTTAATTGCAAATGCAAGGACCTGCAAGGGGGTACCCTTTGTGGACCTGTTTTTTGCCTTTTTTTAAAGGATTTTAATAAAGAAACAAGGTAACGTTTTTGATTTGGTAAAGGTTTGCTTCGTTGTTGCTTTTGAAAAGCATGCAATCACAATTAAAAACAATTCAACCACAATTAAAAACACAAAGGAAGAAGAAAAAAAATACAGCTAGAGCCAGAAAGGTTGCTTTTTATTGCAAGTGCTAATTCCAATTTTTAATTGCAAATGCAAGGACCTGCAAGGGGGTACCTTTGTGGACCTGTTTTTTGCCTTTTTTTAAAAGGATTTTAATAAAGAAAACAGCTTTTTTGAACAAGGTAAAGTTTTGGTTTTGGTAAAGGTTTGCTTTGTTTCTGCTTTTGAAAAGCATGCAATCACAATTAAAAACTATTCACTAAATATCAATTAGCCCTTTGACAATTTAGTATTGGACAATCTGATAATTTGGGAATTTTCTGAAAATTATTTGCAGCTATTGCGAATGCAGCACAACTATTGCAGATGCTCTGGACCAAGATTGATATTTAAAATCAATAAGGCCTAATTTAAAATCAATAGGGGCTGAAAAATCAGATTCTGAAAAATATTTGTAGCTATTGCACGCGCTTTACTACTGTCCATCCAACATTATGAACAACAAGAGTAAGAGAGAGCCCATGCGCACCAGCTGGTAGACAACCTGCCGGAATATTTGTTGGAACATGTACAATATTTATGTTGGAACATGCTGGAACTTGGGCATCTTGGGCATCTTGGGCATCTTGGGCTTGAAGGCCTTGGACTCCTTGAAGAAGTTGCAGTCCGACACTGCCACTGTCTTGCGTGGAGGTAGATGGGGCCAAATCGATGCAGTGAATGTGGTTGCTTGGTTTCAGAAGCTATCCAACAGGGTTCACAACCAATCCCAAACATCAGTTTCACATATTCTCACTGCTGTCGCTGCATGAGTGGATTGCGGTGTGATGCGCCACAATTTTGAGTGCAACCTTGCGTCTCCATATGCGAAGATATGCCAAGGTACCTGGTGATGTTTGTGAGGTCAAGGCGGGGGATAAGGTCCCAGCTGACATTCGACTGGTGAAGTTGAAGACAACCACGGTGCGGGCGGAACAGTCACAACTCACAGGCGGGGCTAGAGCAGTGACTCTCTACGTCACAGGTTGCTTGTTTGATGGTTATCCAGATGGAGTCAAGATGAATCTATATGATATAGCCTATGGGGTTCATCGTATGCTAATATTGTTCTTACCTTGTGAGGATAAGCGATAGGAAAAGCTTTCTGCAATTTCCTGCAGCAAAGAGGCTATGAGGAGTAACAGCAGTTCTGTTTGGGGAGGGTTTGCTTTGACTCCAGCTGTGCCAGGTGAGACTCAAAGCGTAATCAAAGACCCAGATGTCGTGGATGATCCTTCCATGGTTATCCAGGGCAAAAACAACATGCTCTTTGCGTCCACCGCTTAGTAGTTGACTGTGCTGCTTCTTTTGCTGTTTCGTGACACGTCACAACAAGATAACTGATTGATGCCATACATCAATGGTGGCCACGCAGTCCTCCAAGCAATTGCATGCACCCCGTTGCGTGACCCACATTGCCACTTCATGGGTGGTGAATAATGGTGAACCATGACCATGATGAATTGCTTGAGTTTCTCAAGAATTGCAGAGTGTCCCCCATATTTGGCCACATATTGGCAGGTCTACCACCATTTCCAATGGCGCCTGCGTGGGATGCGTGGTGGCCACTGGCATGTCCACAGAGATCGGCGCCATCCAGGGGGCAGTGACGGAAGCGGCAGGGGAGAAGGATCCCACACCATTGCAGAAGAAGCTGGATGAGTTCGGCAACACCTTGGCAAGAATCATTTTCGCCATTTGTGTCATCGTGTGGCTCATCAACTACAAACATTTCTTTGACCCCGTGCATGGATCCTTTCTGCAAGGCTGCATTTATTATTTCAAGATTGCTGTGGCCCTAGCGGTAGCTGCCATTCCAGAAGGTTTGCCGGCTGTGGTTACCACGTGCTTGGCTTTGGGCACCCAGCAGATGGCCGAGCGGAACGCCATTGTGAGGAAGTTACCTTCAGTCGCTGGGTACAGAATCTAATATTAATAGAATGGCTTGAGCGCTTCCAAGAGGTCAATCCCAAAGGGTAAAAACAATTAGACACACCTGACATGTGATGAAGCTCACTTGGTTGCTGCTGTTTTGGTGCCTAAAGAACCTTCAACCACGTCCGGAAAAAATGCTAACTAGTGGAAGAGATGCGTTGTCTCCCAACAGCTACATCTGCTGAGATGCTGCATCACCGAGCAAATTACCTGCTACACTTGCATTTTTGGCCGAGGTTGAGACTTTGGGATGTACCACGGTAATTTGCTCGGACAAAACAGGAACTCTGACTCTCAATGAGATGTGCTGCACCCAGATGGTCTTGCCCCAAAGTCCTTCCGAAATGAAATCCTTCAAGGTAGCAGGCAATGGCTATTCACCAGTGGGCCATGTGAACGGCCTATCCATCGATTGGAGCAGCAACAAGGCCTTGCGATTTTTCTGCAAAGTGGCCACGTTGTGCAATGACTCCAGGCTCACCATGGAGTCCTCCGAGTCGTCCAACATCACTCGAACGGGGGAGCCAACTGAGGCAGCCCTCAGGGTGTTGGTGGAGAAATTGGGATGTCCTGATGAGGAGCTGGCGAAGAAAAATCTGGAGAAACCAAGAGATAGAAACAGCATCATGGCCTTCAATGACTACTGGGGAGCTGATGTGAAGAAGCAAGCCACCCTGGAGTTTGCCAGAGATCGGAAGTCCATGAGTGTTCTGTGCACCGATGCGGAAGTTCAATCAGAGAACGTGCTGTACATCAAAGGTGCAGGGCTTTGAGGACAAAACGCGTTTTCCCAAACCACACATCCGTTTTAGGTCTTTGGAGAAGATGGCTTGACTTGTCACAGTCATCATTCTACTTGTGCAGGTTCGGACTCGGTATCACTTTGGGAGGTTTAGCCTCAGCAACTTGAATTATGTGGAATTCCATTGTCCACTAGATTGATGTTCAACCTAATTTTTCCAAGTGATATTCAGGGTGTTTTTTCTTTTCTCTCTCGTACTGTAGGTGCTCCAGAGAGCATCCTCGACCGATGCTCCAGCATCATGCTGCCAGATGGAACCTTAGCCCCTCTTACGGAAGATTCCAAGAAGCTGATCCTTGGAAAAATGCTTGAGATGGCAGGCAGGGGATGAGAAAACCCCTTAGAGCGGGCAAGCTTTGGGTTTGAATGTGATTCAAATTAAAGGGCTACGCACACAGGTTTGCCGCCGACCCCAGGCGTTGCGGTCCTGGGGGAACGTTCACTCGGTTCTGTGCCCGTTGGACTGGGCGGACCTGACATGACCTGACTTTCCTGGCTTCGCCAAATCAAAACCTCACCCCAGCTGCGGTTTCACCGCGCCTTTCCAGGCCCAGCTGTCACTGTTTATCGTTGCTTTCTGAAGCCTCTAGAAAAAGGTTGTCGAGCCACGCAGCTAGCTCCGAAGCCTGGCTTCGCCACTCTTAGCTCATGGGCAAAGGACCTGTGGGCACAACACTTCTCCTCTGATGCGCTCCCCCTGCTGAACACTGCTGTCGGCGGATTACAATGTAGGGTCGAAGGCGAACATAAATTCAAAATTATTCAGACCTTTGCAGCGGGGATTCAGCCGAAACGTGCGCTTGGCCCCCCTTCAGGTGAGGCCTTGAGAACCTTGGCGCTGGCTGTGAAATTTGACTTGAAGGAATCCAAGTTAAATGGCTATGATGGCCCCGGGCACCCCAGCCATGGATTGCTCTGTGACCCTAGCAACTTTGCATCTGTGGAGCAGGGCATGGCTTTCCTGGGGATGGTGGGCATTATCGATCCACCACGGCCAGAATGTATGGATGCCATAGCTGCTTGCAAGGAGGCTGGGGCTTCAAAGGTTGATGGGCCCTAGAGAAACAGATGGATTGCTGATGCAGACATCGAAAGACCATCTCTCTCATACAAATGACTTAGAAAACATGTAAAGAATTGTAAAGACAAAATTGGCAAAGAGTCTCACAGTGGTTGAGCCACAATGATCCACAGATCCAACATGATCCAACATGATCTAACATGATCTAACATGATCCAACCCCAGAAGTACTTGATTCACATTGATTCACACATATATTCACAACATTTCACAACTGACTGATGTTCGACGGTGAGGCGGGCATCAGCGTCTTCATGACCACTGGAGACAACAAGGCCACAGCCGAGGCCATCTCTCGTCAGCTGGGCATTTTGTCCCCAGACTCGGACGTGGCAGTGAAATCCATCACCGGGAAGGAATTTGAAGAGATGTCTGAATCCCAAAGCGCCTCGACATGCAATGCAAATGGATGCAAATGGATGCAAATGGATGCAAATGGATGCAAATGGCAGATCATTATTTTTTTTTGTACCCAAGTCCTTAGCAGATTGTTGGATGGAAGTTAGAAAGGCAGAATGGAACCACTTTGCAATGGCACGCATCAGCACACACACACACAGAGATGCATGTAAATATAAAGGGTATAATATGGTATAATGTGGTGTGATGGGGGGGGAACCATGGGAGTTGCTGGGCGATTTTACCCCCTACTGGGTGGGCCGCAAAGGAACTGAAATCTTGAAGAGGATGATGGCAGACCGTGGGCAAGAGGGTGCCGTTTTCTCACGGATGGAGCCAAAGCACAAGCAAATCGTGGTGAAGATGCTGAAGGATCAAGATGAGATCGTGGCCATGACAGGTGATGGGGTCAACGATGCCCCAGCCTTGAAACAGGCAGACATTGGGGTGGCTATGGGTATGGGTGGCACAGAGGTGGCCAAAGAAGCCTCCGACATGGCTCCTTGGCCTTGCTGTCAGGTTGCCACTCTAAACATGGACCAATCCAAGGAATCCAATGGAATCCAATGAAACCCGAAAGCTCTTGTCGTACCTCTAAAGGTCCTAAAAGCGTACGCTGGTTATTGGATCTGCCCAAATGATTAGTCGCGCCGAAGATTTTGTTGGCCGGACGCTGGCACAGTGGTGCGCACATGGGCACACAAATCATCGCAACACAGTACATAGATGCAACATGATGCAACGCACTGTTGGAAAAATTGCACATACCTGTTTTGGTGTAAGTTATATGCGTCAATGCGCATCTCTGAAGAATAAACACAATGCACAGCAATGAGATGTAGCGCAAGCGGCTGGTATGATTGGTATGATAGTCTTATGTAGTGTGGCAGTTCATTTGCTTGGCACATCATACGTGGCATCCTCCATTGTGAAGAGGCGAAGTGGATTTCAAACAACAAGCCGGTCCTTTGAGGTGTTGGCAAACGACAACTTCTCATCCATTGTGGCCGCAGTGGAGCAAGGTCGTTCCATTTTCAAGAACATGAAAGCAGTCATCCGGTCCCTGGGCAAGGGCTTGTGGAAAGGGGTCCGGGTTTTCTTGGGATCCACGATTGTTTGGCCATCCAAGTCGCTTGCAACTCCTGTTCCGACTACAGTAGTTCAGCCGGCTCCATTCCAGGCCACCATCAGATACCCTTGGACCGTAGCCCACCCCAAGATCCATCGAGGTATTTGATCTCTTCCAACATTGGAGAGGTGGCCTCAATTTTCTTGACAGCTGCCTTGGGGATTCCGGAAAGCCTGGCACCTGTGCAACTCCTGTGGGTGAATCTGGTCACAGAGACTCGGCAGAACTGCCACTGGTAAAACATTCACGTATTGTGGTCTGGGTTATGTAGGGATTGTTAAGATTGGTCAGCTGTACGACCAAATGCAACCAAGGATGGGCTTCCTGCCACTGCCTTAGGCTTCAACCCTCCGGATGAAGGTGTGATGTCAGAACCGCCGCGGCGAAAAGACGAGGGCTTGATCTCGGGTTGGGCGCTCTTCAGCAACTGGGTGAAACCTTCAGTATGCCCTTTTCGTTTCACTCTCCTGCGCCACCATTCTGAGTGGCGGGGCAGAGTTGCATGATTGCAATGGTTGGCTTTGTTTCCATACATTTGCATTTTCCATACATTTGCCATGTTTCACTTCTGGATAATCAGCACCAAGGATATCTCATGATCGGATTGTACGTAGGGTTGGCCACTGTGGGTGTCTTCATCTATTGGTTCACCACAGATGATTTCGATGGACACACCCTGGTGTCGCTGGATCAGCTCATGAATTGGGGTCAGTGTTCTGCCTGGGGAGGTTTCTCTGCAGAGCCTATTATGGGCATGGACTTTTCAGCAGACGCCTGTGACTTGCATTCGCTCTTGCCAATATGTCCTACCCTTTTTGTATCACATACTGTACTGAACTGATGTACTCCATGTACTTAGAGCATCTTAGAGCCAAGATTGTCGGAGGTGCATGGTGGTGCGGTGTTGCAAAGTTAGCAAATGTTAGCAACCGCTGGTTGCAGGTACTTACTTTACAGTGGGCAAGGTGAAGGCAGCTACGCTGTCCATTACTGTCTTGGTGATGATCCAGCTGCTGAACGCCTTCAATGCTGTCTCTGAGGATGGATCCTTGCTCAGTCGGCCCCCATGGTTGAACCCCTACCTGGTGACAGCTTGCGCCATTTCAGCGATCTTGCACTGCATCATTCTGTACACGCCCCTGGCACAAATCTTTGGGGTTTGCCCACTTGACGAACACGATTGGGTCTTGGTGGCTGCCTTTTCTCTCCCAGTGTTGCTTCTGGATGAACTTTTGAAATATATCAGTCGACAGCGTTCCAGTTCCGGCCAGTTTGAGGCCTGATACGGCCTGACAGCGTAAGTCTGGAGGAGGCAACTCAAGATTGCGCTCGGCTTACGTGGCTTGTGCTGCCCAACTGAATTTAATCATATTTTAAGGACACGCTCTGGATGAAAATGGATGGTGCAGACCCATGATCCGTATGAAACCATCATAGATCAGCAAGATCAAGCTAGCTCGGGAATCGCACCATCTGTATACCTCCCAGGCCACGCATAGCTTTGACAACAATATCCCATCTTGGGAGAATACGGCTCGCAGAAGCATCGAAAAAAGATCGGGACGCGATGATCCTCGCATTTCGCGGCCACGCCTCATGAATTCCTACGAAGGTCACTCACAGATATACAGTCGATAAGTTATGATAAGTTATCATAACTTGGAACAATGGGCAAAACCGCCACAACACTCCTGCAATGTATGGGTAAATTCTCTTACCTTCCCAGCATCATCCAACAAAGGAAATTCAGCAGCAAGAACCAGCTCCTTTCACTTCATGAGGCGCTATGTCAATGTTGGCGCGCATGATGGTCAGTACACATCTCAGTTGTGTTTTCCTCCAGGTAGCTTATCGATCCTGTCACTTTCCAATCATCAGACCAAGTCATCAGAATGTTGAATTTCAGTTTAAGATTATTTAAGATTATTGATATCCTTAGCTTGGCAGCTCTGATTTGGAAAAAGGGCCGATTTGAACCTGCCACCCAAACCTGCAACTCTTACGTGGATTCAGTTCGGATGATCCGCTCTATGACTATGCCCGCCCTCATCTCGGAGACAAGGAACGCAGATGCTGGCGGTGCAGAAACGGGAGAGGTGGGGCGGATAAGCCGCCGAGGCGAGAGCAACGCGACTGGTGTTGCTGTGGAGCGCGACCCGGAGAGATGTGAACGTGCAGAGCCAAGTGGAAGGGGGTTTGATCAGTCCATTGAATGAGATGCAGGCCATCCCGTAGGGGCCATCCTGTGAATTGTGCATGTGGCATGTAGCAAAGCTTTGATCCTTGAACATGGCTGAACCGTCGGAATGTGCTTTTGCAGATTCCCTAGGAGTGCTGGCAGTTACCTTTCCATACCTTTCGAATCATTTCCACAAATGCTGCGGCCATATCAGAGGATATCACAGGAGGATATTGGTAACAGCTGGTCTTAAACCTGAGGTCACCGGGCAGCCTTGCCGAATGTTCACGTTGCCTGCTCGGAGGCCACACCTGCTTCGCCATGAAACTGGTCGATAGAAAAACATCTTGAGGGCTTGGACAACTTTTCATGCCATGAGCTCGGTACCCTCGCGGAATTCATATGAATTCATTCAGGTATCTCTGACAGTTTTTGCAGAAGAATGCAGAATATATGCAGAATTAGTTGGTGATGGCATGTGATGGCAATGTTTTTACTCGGCAGGTGACGCCGCAGAACATTGTGTCCTTGCTACGCCCCGTGCATGAAACTGAGCCGACAGTGTCATGCGTTTGCGTTTTGGTGCTTTGAGATGTTTCTGGCTGCGAACCACCCGGGGGTGGAAGTCTTGGGCACATTTGTTTCTAAAGCACCAAACCCTTCGTAAATCTTTGGAACATCTCAGAATCGGGTCATGGGTCTTGGGCCTTGGGCCGTGGGCCGTGGGCTTGTCCCGACAGTCCCAAATGCCCAGGCTTGATACGGGAGAGGAGCTAGATGTGCTCAAGGCTGGGCAGCTGGGCAGTTTGAGCAGGGCTGACGGATACCGCGGCGTCCTCAAGCACTCTCCAACGAATCAACCTCTGAGGTCTTGGATGCAAGATATCATTTGATAATGGTTAAGAAATATACGAAGCGCGAGCAGCCTTCAATTTTCTTTAGCGACGTGGCACTCCTCAAGACTTTGCTTATCATGGTCAGGTTAGTAGTAGTGGATAGTAGTGGTAGGATGTAGTTTCTTCAAGCACAAGTAACATCTAGCCGTGGTTTTGGCAGGTGGACATTGATTCGTATGATTGTCCAGTCTTAGAGATGATACTGCACGCATCTCAGACCAACAGAAGCTGTGCAGAGCTGCGCCAATTGGCTGTTGGACGCTGATGACGCTGTTGGCCCGAAGGCCGGAAGTCAAAGCCAAAATTGTCCTGGTGGAGGCAAGGACCGTAACGCAGTAAGGGCATGCAAGGACGTCTACCATCATGCACGAAGCCAAGACAAAGGCATTTTGGTAACATATCGATGTTTTGTCACCGTTTTGTAATGTTGGCAACCACCTGCCCGCAGCCAAAAAGTCTGTCCGATCCAGGCCAACCCATCCATTCCCCCACCGTACCAGCCACAACCTCAGAAGGTTGTCCTTGATCTCTTGGGATGGCTAGCTAGCGGCTAGCTGGTGTGAAGCCCAAGGTGGGCAATGCTTCACAGTCCGGAGCGCGATGCTTGGAATGGCTTCTGTTTGGGTTCTTGCTTCCCTTCCAACTTCAGCATTTCTTGGAGTTGACGCACGCGAGTTCATAGGCAAGACATTCATTTGTCCACAAGGTGATGCAGAATAGACTAGAACAGAATAGAACAGAATAGAACGGAATAGAACAGAATAGAACGGAGACAGGTTGGACCGTACTTGTACAATCTTGCACATGACATTGACAATACAATCACCCTTTGCACTTGTTGATTTCTCTTTTTTGTAGCGTTCAATATTTTGTGGAAGATCAGATCGTGAGATCTCAAATGGCAGCATGCTTTGAGTGCATTTGCTTGCTGAAACCATCCTCTCGGCTCATGCGGACATACGATGAAATACGATCACTTTTTTGTTTCCAGTTGCCACGCCTCAATGCTTGAGGTTATGGACCTTCTTCAACTCTTTTCATAGCCCTGAAGAGGCCAGGGCCTGAAACTTGAGGCCAATGTGACATGACACAGGCATTTGCAGGCCTAGAATGACATGAGGGCTTTCTGGTGGCAGGCTTTAAAAGCTTTCACGCTTCAGGTCCCAATCAGAGGCTGCTCACTTGCCTACGAGGTTCAACTGTCAGAGCCTCAAGGCTGCGCATCAGGTCTCAGAGGAATCGAAATTGGTCATTTCTCGTTTGTCAGGCTTGTTATGGCTTGTTTCATGATATCTCTGGCAATATTTCGAGCAATGGTCGCTCGAGGCTTCGCCGCTACGGCTACGATTTGGTGGCGTGCATTGCTTTGTTCTTGCTTGGGGTGCAATTCTTTGTCCTTGGGAATTGGTTCAGACATGAGTTCCATGAATTCTTTGTTGTTTGTTTTTGCTTTGGCTGGATCATTGCCAAGGTTCGGTGGGCATGATGCGGTGTTTACTCATGAGTCTGCATGGGCCCGAGTCATGAGTGTTTGGCCAAGAAGAGCTTCCTTGCTGAACCAATGCAGGAGATGTGGTTGCAGGAGTTTGCGGCCACATTTTCATACACCGCTTCCAAGCTGTATCACTGTGTGTACTATCCTGGCCAGAATTTCAAGGAGGCACCAGCCGGATCTTCATGTCCTGACCACCATCATTCAACATTCGAGGTCCGGAGTGCTTTCCTACCATATGATGTGCCCATGGATGAGTTTGATTGCTACAACGAGGTGCTGTGCTGCAGCCATGAGATTATTGAAGCGGGCCCAATCTCTGGAAATACAGGGCAATAGCGCCCTTATGTATTTGTTTCTATGCGTGTTTCGCCCGAAAACAACTTACATGCTTCAAATTAGGGAGCTTCCCCACAGAATTTGAAGGTCTTGCGCCAGTAGGCCAGAACGCAAGGCCTGCAGGCAGACATTACAACTTCTGCAGTCAGCAGCGGGAACGATGGACATGTGTGCACAGCCATTGGCTCAGAGTTTCTATTGGTAGAAGCTGGCCAGTTGCCATGGCAGGCACTTGCTCAAGGTAAGAAATCACTAGCTGCTTGGATGCCCTTATTCTGTTGAAGGTTGGCCCCACCACCGCCAATCTTAAGCTGGCGTTTGGCTCGATATTGCCTGACAGAGAACACAAGGTGCCGCTCGTGACTATCCATGCATCGACATGCGAACACAATTCACAAATACAGGACGCACGCGGAAGGATTTTCACACCATTGTCCTTTTGCATATTTGGAATGCACGTATATGAGGAGATGCTTCTCGTGGTGCACCCAGTCCGTCCATGTCTGTCCTGAGGCTTGTGAAATCTATTTTTGGCAGCAGAGCTATGGGGTCTATCCCGCGAAGAGGCTAGCGGCTCAGACATGCGGAAGGGTTTTGAATAAATCACCGTGGCGACGGGGGCTCACCACAGAACATGCTGTGCGGGGATGCATCAATGTGACGTGCCCAAACCCAAGAACCCGATCATCAGCCGATTGATCATCGATTTGTGCCGTGGGTCGGTGGGTCATGCTGGTCTAAATGTGTGACGTTACCTCACTATGCTATACTATCCTATACTATCCCCGTCGCCTTCCCAGGTGCAGTAAATTTCCAGTGTGGTTTGCTTGTGTTGCTGTGCGCTGTGCTGCGCGGCACCAGCATGCGGCCGCAGAATTCAGGGACAGTCGTCACTTGGCTGCTACGGCTTTGTCCAGAAATCGGCCACACACCAAATCCAAAAACATATCAAAAAATGCAATTTGGATCAGTTTGATGGGGAAATTTTGATAAACACGCAGAAACAACGAGATTTTTGGGCACCCTATTTTCAGCCCTTAAAGCTAGCTGGCAAAGATGATCAAAGATGTAGCTGGGACATGCTTCTCACAAGAGTGAACAGCTGGGTACCGGTTATTTGGCCGGTGCTCCTAGGAGCCACTGGGTGTTGCTGGCGATCCACTTGAGAATGTCGATCCAGAAATTGTGGAGAACCCTGCCACTCCAAAGTTGCCCTTCTTCGAGGTCGATGTGAATCTTGTCAGAACTCTGCGCTTGGATGACGTCCAAGCACAGTAGACTAGTGACTAGTAGAAGCAAAGACGACTCCCTGGCTCTCGGTTTCGGCCAAACCCGACAGAGAGGCTGTAGTGTTTCTTCATGTTTCGTCCCCGCTGCTCGTTTAGGAACAAGATTCCCTTTTTACATCTTCCTAGTGTTCCATGGATTAGCCGATTAGCTGCTTCGCCGAGGACATTGAAGGATGAGGAGGCAGTGCTGATGCAACATGCCTGAGGTTGTCATGCAATGAGGGTTCCTGAATGTTCCTAATATCAACTGCAGTCGGGATATTGAAACATATATACAGAACCTGAAAGCAGCAGCCACCTAATGAGTTGGTTTCGTCGTTTGTGGATGTTTTTGGCTGGTTTCCGTTTGGTCCATGTGGTACAGCTACCAGCGACCAAAGTTAAGCCGTTGACACTTCATAGCGATGTTACCATGTTGTTCACAGTTGGGCTGAAACCAGGGGGTCCCCGTCAAAATGACTCAGTCAAGTGAAATGCATCCTTTGCCAGGCTGTACTGAAGAAATACGAAGGTGCTGTGTGCCTGGCTCAGTCAGCTGGTGCGCCAGGTCGGGTCTGGAACAACAAACAAGCAGCGAGAGAACACTACTGAACAATGAAATACAATGTAATACAATAAAGAGGAATGTGAACATGCCGTTGCACACCCTTGGTGTTCCTGAAGCGGCACCAGATGGCATAGGGAGGCCAAAAGGGCAAAGTCAGACCGCCGTGAGCATGTCTTATGTTTTATATACTAGGTTGTACTTGACCATGCTGTAGAAATTAAACATCTCTCTTCCTTAGCCCAAGAGCATCACATCACGCTGTGGTCACTGAGTACCGGTGCACTGGTGTACAACAGCCTTCCCAAAGAAGCGAGTTTGGACAACGCGGCTTCGCAACTCATCAAGGACTTGCAGGACCGTTTGGTCAAGGCGCCCCGGCTGACAGATCGGAAATCGTGACATGAATGAAGGGATCATTGTGGATCCATTCTCGAAACAGCTGAACATATCAAACGCATGGGACTGGCTGGCAGGCAGCAAACAGGACAAATTCAGAGAATTCTTGGTGAAGCCAAGTACAATTGATTAACATGTTTTTTTCTTATTTGGTAGGTGCTCCCAAGAGCACCTGTCAAGCCGCACAAAAGCTGTCAAGTTCCAGCTTCACAGCTGCCATGGAGTGCTGAGTCTCAGGAGGCAAATATCACAAGCACGCTGCAAAAGGAGGGAACTGAAGGCAACTTAGCTGAGAAATGCTGAGAAGAGGCGAACGTTTTGCACCGTTTCAATCAAAGACCTGACAACGAGCCGCATGTCACCTTGGGGCCTTGGGGCGTGTCTTGCTGGAAATCTTTGGGGGGGTTAAGCTGTGGACACGATATTTGATATTCTGTGTTAGTAAATGCATCTAAATGCGCTAAACCCACTCAATCTTGACACCCCCCCGCACTTGACGAGCAATTGGCAATGCCCAGACCCAGATCCATTCGAGGCCAAGTAATCAAGCTGATCATGGGAATACAGAGCCCCGCGGCTGCAAAGAAGTGAATATAGTGAAATGATGTCAAATGGAATGATATGGATCCACACGAAGAATCATCCAATATCATCTAGTTCAATTTCTTTAAAGCCAATAACTATACAGATCTATTGATCTATACAATAAATAGCTATGAATAGCTTGATGGTTCACTCCTTTCCTTTGGCATTCCGAGGCTATCAGCTCGAACAGGTGCTTCCGAAGGAGATTGCACAGGAGCCTTCTGTACAAAGCGCACTGCAGAGGTCGAGAAGCAAACCCATGTTTGATAGATTGGCAATGCTTGGCATGACCACCAGGAGTTTGAACAAAAACCATCGGAGAGTAATGCAGACTAGGCCAACTAGAATCAAATCTGTCCAGAACATTCCAGAAACATCCAGAACTATTTAGATCATTTTAGATCACTATATTTGCATAAATTCGCTATGTTTGTCCTTCTGGAGATGCAAGCAGATCAAATCAACACATCTCAGGTGTTGATTTCAATGCATGTGCGAAAACAGATGAAAACAGATAACATGATGTAACATGTATCAACACATATTTGACACAGCTACAGGCTACTTCTCTTGAATGAATGCGGATAATTTAAACCGTTAAACCGTTAAACCTGTTCCAGGACTTGAACACCAGCATGTCTGCACTGCCTGCTGCGGTGGCTGCAGTCAAGGTTTCAGCCTCAGTGGGACGAAGTGGGCTCAAGCTGTGCAGTCCAATCTCTGCATTGCTCTGCTATGCTCTGCTGGTAAGATGTGGTACGCATGTCAGTTGACAGACAACAAGGTACGGGATCAAGCTAATGCAACTTGCCGTTGTCTTGGATGGATGTATTTACACTTTACAAATTGAGCTTAGAAGTGGGTGGATACATTATCGGATACATGTTACGTTATTTGTTTGAATCACTTGTGAAAGTAATTATATAAGTATGTGGATGCTTGTTGAATTTGGGGATTCCAAAAACCCTCATCCATTGGCCAATTCGGGTTGATCGTCGGGAATTCCGAGGTTCAGGATGTGCAACTTGGCTTGTTGACTGGTCATCTTGGTGAATCCATTTCATCGTGGGTTGTGGGAATGCTGGCAGTGATGTACATGGGTAGGTAGATGCATTGAATGTAGTTTGAGCATGTTGGAGCATAGTTAGATACATATAGATACATATAGATACGATATTGCATGTAAGTGGCACATGCCTGGACATGAGTGACAAACAAAATTCAAGAGATACAGTTGATACGTCGGATCAACCAACTCATGGGGGATAATCTGATTCGATGGCAATTGACTTTGAGCGAATCTGAAACCTTCAGTTGCAGATGTTGGAAACTTTGGGTTCAAGTCCAGTCCAGGGTGACGGTGACGATGAAACTGAGGTACGATGACGTGCTGACGAGACTTGACTCTGTTGGCATGCATGAACTTGAAGGCCAACCATTTTCTGTGAACAGCATGATTAACGCCCTCTCATTTGCCTTTTCACTCATTTGCTTTTTCACTCATTTATCCAACTCATCTACGGATCCAATCGCGCCATCTTTCCAGCATAAAGTTGCTGGATGAGACTCTTTCATGCCGGGTCAACAAGCGCTGCTGTTGGCAAGACGGCAAGACTCGGCAAGATCATCTTTTTGACGCGAACAGGTGGGCTAAGACCACTCTCGTGCTACAGTACAGAATCACCTGTGGACTTGTCCATGATGACAGGGTCATCAACCCTGCCCTTCGCACAAGGAAAGTCAGCGACTTCCTAGAAGCCAAGTGGATGAAGCGAATCCCGTCCCTACTCGAGCAGACGCTTTCAAACGAGAAGGTTGAAGCAACGGTACTAGTCGCTGGTCGTGCATTTTATGTCAGCTTCTGTTGTCGGCCCAAGTGCCACGGAATGTGACGCATGTAGATCAATGGAGGCTTGAACGGGATCAAGGGAGCGTTCAATGAATGCCCCTTTGAGTCCGTAGCAGTGAATTATCCCGGTGGCCCATGGATTCCCATGTTATTGAGTCATGTTTTATGCATCGTTGCGTGACAAGTTACTGCAATTTACTGCAATACAGTGTAGTTCATCATTGTTCCGACGGATCCGCTTCCAGGCAATGCATGGCTCTGTCAGCCAAGGTTGTACCGAAGGCGGCGACTAAGCCGAGCAATACTTCGAACTCATCAAATTCGTCATCTGTGCCAGTGGTCGAAGTTGTTCTGCGTGCCACTCGGCAGAGCAGCTAGCAAGGTTTTTCGAGGCATGAAGTGAACATGGGAAATACTGGAAATCACCGGTAAAAGACCGACCAAGACTTACTGATACTGCAAGTTTTTTGTTGGCAGGATTGCAAGTTGTGGTTATGATCTGATCGATTTGGATCTACGTGGCTGTTTGTGTTGCCATCCTCTAGGTGGAAATGGAGAAGCGGCTGCCTCTGGCACAGTCAGCAGACCCACAGGTGAGCGCAGAAACGGTGGAGGCTATGACGCAGCAGAAATACTTAGCCCTGGTGCAGCCCAAAATTCAGGAGACCTGCTACACTCCGCGGCTTATTACAGGGTTGTGTTGTGATATGTTGTGATGCACAGCTACTAAACAATAGTGTCGCCGTACTTTCTCGCGAAGACGTGTGCACGATTTCATTCATTCGATTTCAGTTTTGCACCTATCTCAGAAGATCAATTCATCATAATCATTCATCAATTCATCAATTCATCATATAATTTCTCTAGTCAGCGGGTGTGTGTACTCTGCCACATCTGGTGAGGAGCACGTAGCAAGAGGGATCCGAGTAGCTTTGGCTGAAGGCCATGCCAACTTTCGGTCGCATGGGCCTTTGGGTTGATCTGACCATTAATTATTATGTATTAATTATTATAGGTATTAATTATTATGTATTCTGTATTCACATACGCATATTATACATACATACATACATACATACATACATACATACATAAATACATAAATACATAAATACATATAATATTATATAATATATTATATTATATAATATTATATAATATATTATATTATATTATTATATTCTATAATATAATATAATACAATAACCTAATGTAATATAATATAAATAAAATGAAATATAAAATAGTATAATATAGAAAAATATATATAATGAAATATAATATAATACAATATAAGATAATACAATATAATTTAACATAACATAATATAATATAATGTAATGATATAATTATGATATAATATAATATAGCAAAACATAGACAACGTAACATAATATAATATAATACAATATAATATAATACAATACAATACAAAAAACACTATAATAAAACTTAATATAGTATTACATATTACAATATATATAAAAATGCAACAATATTATTTGATATGATATATAACATGATATATATATATATATGATATAATATATATATATATTATTATTATTATTGTATTCCTATGTGCGATGCCATGATATGTCTTTTATACAGTAAGCATCTTATATGTCATGAACTTGCCCTTTCCGGTGTATATTTTGCCCTGTGATTGCTTTCGGGCCTACATGGCCTACTGAGCAAATATATGAAAAAATCAAAGTGGATCTTGGGTCTGAAGAGCTGTGTGCTAAACAGAACCGATGACACACATCTGAATCTAAAGATATCTAAAGTGTCCAAAATGAGTGGAGGTGCCGCCACAAAAGTTTGGATTCCGCCAAGGATTTCTTGGGAGGCGCGTTTCCCTTCACAGCGAAAGCTGAATGTGAAGTGCTCAGAGTCAAGATCTGTTTTAGACTTGCAAGAAGATCGGGTAGGGTCAATGCAAGGGCAGCCGTGGCAGAAATAAATAGAACATGGTACCGAGGTGATTCGGACTTCGGAAGCCTATCGAAGCACAGTTTTTGGCTCCCGATCAACATTTCAGACTTCGATGAAGTGAAGGGACTCAAGGCATTGAACAAGTCCCTAGCAGGCAGGATCTGTACCGCTAGGACTTGGTGGCCTCAGACTAGTGAGAAGGACTTCAGAACAAGAATGTTTTTACAGATTTATACAGTTCTACATGGTTTGCAACTTGTGCCCCATTTGTGGCAGGCTTTGGGCCACTTCAGTAATCATTATATAGTTGAACCCCGTGGATGGATATGAGAGAGAGAGAGAGTTCTGCCTGGCTTCATCCGAAAGTCTTGGGAAGCAAGGGCATTAATGACTGTATCATATTTACACCCAGTGGCTCCAATTGCGGCTACATAGGTCTCAAATATCACCGTCCTCCATGGGTCTAAGCCCAGTGAAGCGGCATGACTATTCCTGCTGCCAGATGATGCTCAAAAGCTCTTGGGCTTGCTGGACAAGCTCAGCATATGTCCTGTGGCTTCAACATTGGGAATGGTAATTGAAAATATCCTCCAGCTGGGGGTTGAGGTAACAGGGATTCTCTCTCTCTATATATATACACATATAATATAGATGATTCTAGAACATTCCAAGCAAGCATTATCATGAACTGTGAAACCATGCGCTGTTCCCAACCGATCGCTCTTGTGAACGGAAAGGTTAGATCTGCACCATAGCAATGTGTGCCCGCACGTTGCAAGAGTGTATATTGATTTTCATTCGTAGGGAAAATTGGAGACAAACAGTTCATGCATTTGGGGTGGGGGGTGGGATGTGCCAAGAGTTGACGGGTGTGATCACCGAGGTGGAGTACCGGATATGGTCATGGCCTGAATGGGGGCTCTTGTTTGCAGAGCGTAGCCGCCGTAGCCAACCAAAAACAGCAGATATACTCTCATACTGCAGTTAGGTCGCCAATTGGTGAGATGGAATGAGTTGACCAACCCACGGCCCCTCTCTCTTTCAAACTAGCTAGACGTAGCTAGACAGTAGCTATGGCGGACTGGCATGTACGCTTGAAGCCTTATGGGCAATGCTGCAGGCTGAAGCCGCATCAAAAATTAGGGGAGCTTTGCGCGCTGGCATGCTGGAAAAGTTGCTGAAAGGCAGGGATTCTTCAGAAGTGTGCTGGGTAGTGTAGCATGTAGGGCACCACAAGGGGAACGCCAAGATCCACAGCAGGTTAGGCTTTTCAAGGTGCCAGTCACCCCATTGCACTGCCAGGCTTCACGGAGCACGTGGGCTCTCTTTTGGGTGCTGAAGTCCAGGCAGTAAATGGCTCCACCTTTCGATGGTTCCAACAGCAGGCACCCTATGGCATTTGCTGTAGAAGCAAAGCAGCCTCCAGCAAGTCCAAGACGGATGAGGCGCAGGGAGTTGGAGGGCGTTCAACTTTTGAGGGCCAGAGGACACAGAGAGGACACAGAGGTTCGGAGCCAGTGGCCCCAAGTTCAATGGTGCATATCAGTAAAGTATCTATATTTGTTGGTGCTTCCCACGCATTGATGTTCCTTCGGAGTTTGATGAGCATGCATATCTTCAAGATTTCATACGATTCCAAAATAGTATTTTTTGCCATCACAAATTCAATCAGCTCAGCATTTGCTGTGAGGTCTTTTGGATAGCAGCCGAAGTCACGGAGGGAGGCAACGACACCCACAACGGCATTTGCCCAATTGTTCAGGACACTCAGCAGGCTTACAGTACCACAGAGCTTGCCAGGCTTGATGGCAAAACCACCACATGACATTGATTATAACATAATCGGTTCTAATGACTTGTAACAAAGATGCCGTTTGGCTTTGAGAACGGCACCGTGAATTTGCACAAGATGCCATGCCTCCTGGCGTGTCTATTCACAGCTGTTCTACCAAGTGCATTGACAGCAATGGGCCCAAGGAAACTCAGAACCCACCATGCGCTTCCAGAAAGAAAAGCGCAGAAAAGGTGGTGCTGCACCACAGGCCTTACACCGTCCCTTGGACAGCATACGCAAGCCACACACCTTACTATCCAGACTATCCAGCATGGGTATGGTGTGGGTTCATGGCTGCCTTGGAACCCACCAAAGAAACAGAAGGAATGCCAGTCCAATCATTCCATATCCATCCATTCTGAGTTGATTGGTGGTGGGGCCGCTGGAGCGCAAATACCGATGAAATGATGGAACTGGGAGATCCCCTGCTTAGCATAGGCCAATATGGGCCGACGGCAGTTTCATCTTGATACCTTCAACTCGAATCAAGTCCCCACCAGACCTCACAAGAAAATATCAGAAGCATGCCGCAGCATGCCATTGTCAGTAGCTCAAATCTCCATCAAATGTCTCGAAACAGGAGCCACCAGGATTCAATGCAAAAACAGTGTCTGTAGAATTTAATGTGAAACGCAGTTGTTCTTCCAGGTTTCCACTTTTTCAAGATTCCGACATGTCCTGGCTGCGAAGGAGTGCTTCAACTTAGCTGAACTCAAGGACTCTGATAAGGTGCCCTGTTGTTCTGCGGAGTGGCGTGGGACCTTCGGGATACTGGCTTTTATATGGACCGTGCCAATGAAAACGGAAGGACCTGCTGTTGGCTTCGTTCTCGCCTAGGGCCTACCCCATTCAAAGAGTTCCGTCAGAATTGAGAAGCCTAGCATTTTGCAGCGCTTCGAGAACATGCCCAGGTACCGGAGCGAACTGCTCCTTTTGTGTCATCAAAATGCTGAGAGGCCCCCCCGGCTGCACAGCTGACCATTTTCTCATTGTTTTATTTGTTTTTTTTGAGATGTAGTTCCTGGGTGTTCATCTTGAATGAAGGTGCATCAATATGCATCAATCCTCGACAAAATTATCATGATATGTCGGATTTCTCACATCTGACACTATCTAACAATATCTGACACACTTGGTGCATCGTGGTGCATCGTGGTGAATCGTGGTGCATCGTGGTGCATCGTGGTGCATCGTGGTGCCAGATGTCACTTCACAGTTGGTTTCTGTCACCGAGGCCTCAAGCTGAGCGGCCGCGGCAGTGCAAAAGAGATGCAGACGTTTTGTCATGTTTTGTCCAACGCCTCCAACTAACACTTCGTCGAAAGTTGCGGCAAGAAAGCCAGGAAACATCAGAAACTTTCAATTTCCATCAAAAAGCCATAGCAGTTCTATGTCGCAGTTCCATGTCGGGTCCTCCCCAGCAAAAAGAAGTCAAGAAGTTGCAGTATCTTATATAATGTATTGTAATTATGTTGCAGTATGGACCAAAAGTGAGCCATTGCGCCCATGCCATACTTGTGCGGCCAGGCCTTCATAGCTGCCAATGGAATTCCAATCAGCCGTGGGGTGACCCAGGTCATGTGACCATGCTGTAGCTTTGCCGCTTGATTCAGCCGGTTGCCATGTGAGGTACCCGCCGATGGTTCTTCCAGCTCAGCGATACGCAGGTATGCCAATACATGTCCCATGAAACGCCTAGTAACGCCTGCTGACTTCGAGCCATGCCACTGTGGACCTGTTTGATGTGCAAGAACCTCACATAGCTTTTGAAGGCTGTGAGGCAGTCCTCACCCCTGAAGATGCGCCATGTTTTGAGAGTTTGATCAAGTGACAGGTGGGCTTGCCCGAGATTTGGAACTTTTTCGTCGATTGGATGAAGGTTCTTGCATCGCATTTGCCTGCGGTGAGCATTAGGTTGTGCACCATTTGAATCCATTTCCGCACGAGGAGGGGGGTATCTATAAGACCTTTTTCATCTATAGATTCTATAGAACTTGCATGCGCCGTGCGCCAGCCAGGCCCGTGCGTGCGTGCTTTGTTGGAGAGTGGTGCACTGTTGCAAAGGTCACACTTGAAGCTCCGCACTTCACACTGCATTCTTCACACTTCACGCTTTACACTTCGCATTTGCACTTCGCATTTACACTTCACACTCCACACTTCATCTCATCTCATCTCATCTGAGCACTTCTCACCTCATCTCACCTCATCTCTTCTCATAATCTAAGTTCTTCTCAACTAATTTCATTCCATCTGAGCACTTCTCAACCTTTTTCATCTCATCGAATCTCTTCTCAACTCATCTCAGCTCTTCTGCACGTCAGAAAGCTTTTACTGTCAGAGAGAGGACTCTTGCACACAAAAACCGTAGTGCGCAGACAGAGAAGCCTTTGCGCACAGAAGCTTGGGACACAGATGCGTTTACACAGAAAAGCCTTCACACACAGAAGGCTTCTGTACATGAGAAGCTTTTACACGCAGCACGCTTTTACACAAAAAAGTTTTTACACACAGCAAGCTTTTACATGCTTTTACGCACAGACAGCTTGTACATACAGCAAGCTTTTACACAGAGAAGCTTTTACACACAGCAAGCTTCACACACAGCAAGCTTTCACACACAGAAAGCTTCTACACACGGCAAGCGTTCACACAGCAAATCACGGCAATCGTTTACACAGAGAAACTTTTACATACAGCAGCTTTTTAAACGGAGAAGCTTTTTACACACAGCAAGCTTTTATGCAGAGAAGCCTTTAGAGACAGATGCGCTTACACACAGCAGCTTTTACACAGAGAAGCTTTTACACACAGAACCTTTTACGTAGTAGTTTGTGCAAGACATTTTCCAGTACTACTTTGCACTACAAAACTTGCACAAAGTATATACTTCCCACTACTACTTTGTACTAGAAAACTTGGACAAAGCTCTTCCCAGTAGCACTTTGTATTACAATGCTTGCAGAAAGTACTTGGCAGCACAAAGTCAACTACAAAGCTTGCACAAAGTACTTCCCATTGCTACTTTGTACCACAAGACTTGCACAACTGCCTCACACACGAGCTGCCCTTCATAGCCAGCTGCAGCCACTTTACCCGAAAAAACGCAATGTTTCGCGCTCCGGCCCCCTCCCCAAAACAAACCCCATGCAACATTCATGCGGCCATTACAATGCGTTTTGCAGCATCACGTGGCAAACCCGCATGTATCTACGCACATGGCAACAGAACATGACAACAATCATGCAGCCATTACACTGCGATCTGCAACCACAGATTCCAAAACAGCCTTTACATACGCACGCATGAACAACCGCACGTTGCAGAACACCCTGGAGGAACCGATTACGCGTTAAAACGGTCCAAGCCGCAACCGCCTCACACACGAGCTGCCCTTCATCGCCGGCTGCAGCCGCTTTACCCGAAAAAACACAATGTTTCGCGCTCTGGCTTCCTCCCCAAAACAAACCCCATGCAACATTCATGCGGCCATTACAATGCGTTTTGCAGCATCACGTGGCAAACCCGCATGTATCTACGCACATGGCAACAGAATAAGACAACAATCATGCAGCCATTCACTGTGATCTGCAACATTCTGCAACCACAGATTCCAAAACAGCCTTTACATACGCACGCATGAACAACCGCACGTTGCAGAACACCCTGGAGGAACCGATTACGCGTTAAAACGGTCCAAGCCGCAACCGCCTCACACACGAGCTGCCCTTCATCGCCGGCTGCAGCCGCTTTACCCGAAAAAACGCAATGTTTCGCGCTCCGGCTTCTCCCCAAAACAAACCCTGTGGAAACAACTCCCACACTGGCAGCAGCCGGTGTTGCACCTTTTGCTCGCAGATGCTTGAGCCACAGTAAGTGGCAGATTGCTGATTGGAAAAACTGTACATGTAAATGCAAATGAAAGGACATGTTTCTGCCGTTTCGTTGTCTCACGTTTCCATGCCATATGATATGTTATGCTGTGCAGTGCTGGGGTTACATGAATCTTGAACAGCTTTCACATCCCTCTTAGTTTTGGCATGAAACGTGAACTGCATCGAAATCGTGCTACCGGACATGGCTGATCTCAAATCAGCTGTGTCCATGTGTTTCGTCAAACCGTCCGCTAGCATCGTTTTCGTATCGCACCACTTCACTTTGGTAGTGGAGCCTTCAGGCACGTTTTCACTCATCATCGGATCTCCATATTCTTCACCAACATCACGCCAAATGATCTGCCGCAGGCCACACAGATCGATGGCAAGACGCTTGTCTTGCACTTCACCACCAGAGCATTGGACAAGGTGATCTCGGAGAGATCTGCAATCGGTCACCGCATGGACTGTTATAGCGTCCTTGGACTCAGTCTGCCATGAGGTAGTTCTTGGGTCATGCGGCGTTTTCAAACCATGCAAAACCATTCTCAAATGCTCTGCATCTTCATAACTTGCAAGCATGCTCAAAGACTCAGCTTGCAGCGTGGAGCGGCAAACGCGTCGAATCACCTGGCTTTTCCACTCAAGCAAATGGATATGGCCAGTTCCAGTGCGCATCACTTCCGGGCCTCCAACTGCAAGAACACGGCCTGACTGAGACCGAAATCCCATCTTCATTCCAGAAGCTGACAAATCATAGTCGGCAGCATGGCTGGCATCGGTGATCGAAATGATCTCCATGCTGTCAAAGTCAAACACCATAAACCAACTTCTGATCTTTCGTCATCTGGGCTCGGCGAAGCAGGCTGTTGGCATCGACCAAATCTTGGACAATCGGTCGTTGCACGCAGGTCTGGAGTCTGTTGGTGTCGTAGGCCAAGTCAGGGCGACACACTCGCACAATCCAGTTGAGGGAGCCAAGGACACTGCGCAACTGTCCTTGTTCTTCTGGAGTCGCTTGAGCTGTGCGGTCACGTTTTCGGCCAGTGCTAAGCATGATCGGCCGGGTCTTTTCAAGTCCATGAGGGCACTGAACAACAATTCCTTCATCAGTCTGCGAAATTGTTCTGCCGCAGTACTTGAAGGATGTATCTTCAACTTTGCCAAACTTGAGTTGCTCTTGCACCACTTTCATCGCATCTTGGGTCTTCTGACCACCACACCAAAGCAAATCATCCACATGACAAATGCAAAGTCCATCAATCTCACCATTCGGCCCATTCATGACGTAGGCCGCCTGCTCATGAGGCACAGGACGGAATCCAGCCTTCAGCATTGTTTTGTGCAGTGATCTCCAAAAACCTCTGGGAGCATCTTTGGTGCCATAGACAGGCTTCTTGGCAACCAGCAAGCTTCCAGCAGGAATCCCAGGAACACCATCCTTGGGCAAGGCCATGATCAAAACACGTGCAAGTCCAAGACCTTGGAGAAACGCGGCTGTGATATCGCCACAGTGCAGCATCAAAGAGTGGCATGATGCAAAGGTCAAAAGGGTGGAAAGCATCAGGTGACTTGCTGTGGGTGAATCAGTGCGCACACCACCATCTTGCGCACTTCTCTCCAAATCACCTCGAACAACCAAACGTGATTTCAATTGCTCAGGTTCACCTTGACGGGCTTTGTTGATGTCAACCCATCGTGTTGGAACCACCTGAGTGCCAGGGTTCTTCTCCAAAAACTGCTGAGCTTGTTCAGGAGGAATAACTTCACAGGCATCAAAACCAATCCAGTTGTTCCATTCTTTGGTGCGGGCAGCATCAATGCGTCCCTTCAAACTCTCATCAGCTCGGCCATAGCTCAGCTCTTTCGCCATCTTCTTCTGAACATTCTTCTTGGGACCACGCTTGGCCACAAAACCATGAAAAGTTGAGCTTTGCTGTTGCTGCTTCTCAGTCTGAGATGCAAACATGGCACGAGGAGGTGGAGATCTGGAGCGGTGTCTATTGGGCACACCATCAAGCTTGTTGACAGATCTCCTCATAGCCTCTTGGAGCTGTGAGACTTGTGGTTCTCGTGGAGTGTTTGGGCCAGGAGTTGGAGGAACTGTCGGTGGCACTTCTTCCTGATCAGGTTCAATTTCAGATACGGTCGGAAGACGACCTCTGACTTCAGAAGGTTGAGGTTGATCCGATGTCAGCACAGCATCCTGCATCAACTCATCAAAATCATCAAAAGGAACTGCAGGCAATTGTGAGTTGATTCCGGGAGGAGGCTGAGGCGCAGCTGCAAGTCCAGGCAGCTCAGTCACAAGTCCAGGTGACTGTTCAGATGGTGAGGCCACAAGTCCAGGTGGCAAGCTGGGATCACCATCCAAAGGAAGTCCATCAATCGCCTCAGGCGTCATGTGTGAATCCTCCTCAGCAACTGGAGTACCAGGAGAGTAATTACTCAAGTCCATCATCAGGCAAAGGTTCAGGCTGTGCTTGTTGCTGATCATCGGACACATTCATCGGACCAGGAGAAGGAGGAACATTTGCTTCACCACCACCACGTCCAAGGTGAAAGTAGGAGCCAGGTCCACCACCAGATCCATCTTCATCTCCATCATTGCCATCAAGGAAGTCCAGGTCATCCAAGAAGGGTAGTTCATGGTCAACATCTTGGGTGATCTGGCGCTTGCGCTTTCTCGATGGCTTCAGTTCAGTGATCTGCTTGGCAATGACTTCGCCAGCAAGTGCAGGTCGCACGCCCTCCTCTGAGATGACAATGGGAATGCCACCATGAATCAGCCAGAGATTTGAGCGTCCCTCTCTGCCAATCATTCGAGCTGGGCCAAACCACTTGTTGCCGCGGTAGAAGCAAAGCAAGTCTCCAGGAAAATAGGGCCCTCTGCAAGGAGTGGATCGCCGCATCAAGGCAGTTCGAATCCTGTTGCTGGAGTCCACATGGGCAAAGGATTCTTTGGCAGCTTGTCTGATGTTCAGCTGCTGTGCAAATTGGTGTTCTCCAGTGAGGATTTCTTGATGCACTCCAAGATCTCCTTCAGCTCGTTCGGCAGTGAGGCTGCAAACTTCTTCAGGCAAACGACCAAGCACCCATTGACTAGGCGAAAAACCGCCATGGTTGATCCGGTTGTTTTTCACAAAAGCGCACTCAGAAACAACCATCTTCATCATTTGAGATCCAACAACGTGCCTCCCTTGAACAGTGTGAGCAATCATCTCTTTCAAGATGGAACCTTGACGCTCAGCTCTACCGATCTGGTAGTGGGCTTCAGTTCCAGCATAGCGTAGGTAGGTGCCCTGTGATGACATCAATGCGGCAAATTGGCCACGGTTGTGCACCCCTCGGTCCACAGTCATGTAGCGTGGAGGTCCAAATTGCAACCAACCATCTCTGACAACTTCAGCGCAGCGAAGACTGGATGGGGTTCCACCACCTTCAGACACCACCCAAGCAGCATGGTACAAATTCCCCATGCAAATGACGCTCAAAACACTGTATCTGTTTCCAAGGGAATCACGGCATTCAAAAACATCTGCCGTCACCTCATAGTTGAACACATAGGGATTTGGAGGTCGGACGACAGGTCGAGGTTTGGGCTTTTGGTCTTGAAGACAAGCCTCACATTTGAAGTATCGAAGTCGTTGGATGACTTCAGGGGCAGCTTTGGCAACACGAAGCATTCGTGACATGGCTGAGGTGCTTGCGTGGCCAGTCATCTGGTGAAGACGACGTACTGCAACTCGTTGTGAGTAAGGGAGTCTCAGCCATTCTTGTTTTCTGATCGCATCCTCTTCTGCCAAAGCTTCGTCGCGTTCTTGACGATCTTCTTCACCCTTGAGCTCCTTGTCATCTGTTCGATGTTGGTGAAGCCCAGGTGGAGCAAGGTCGGACTCATCGTAGATCTTGTCAAGGCTTCCAAGAGGGTTATCTTCCACCACAGCTTCTGCTGGGAAGGCCAACTTGGTCATGTTGAGCTCCAGATCTCGCAAAAGTCCAGAGATCATAGCCTTGCAAAATTCCATAGGCCATTCTTGAGCTCGATGTGTCCGATTGGAGCCTTCAAGTTGTTGATGTTGATGATCGCCAGAGCACTGGATGCCAATGAACTCTTTCACACCAGCAGAAGCAGTCATGATGCCGGTGGGCTTCTTGTGGGGCAGCTTGTTGACCACATCTTTCAACCCAAACATGCATTGGTCGCATCGTACGGCTTCAAGGTGCTCACCAGTTGCTGCATCGCATGGAGCGTCGTGTAGGAGTCGTTGCATTGAGAGCAAATCCCACATCTTTGAAGGCCAGGGTTGCTCAAAGATGATCTGGCGACCTTTGGCAAGCCGCTTTCGTATCAACTGCACCATCCATTGCACCACAGGACGCCATTCACGGCGTATCTCGCGCAGCTTCATCTCAAAACTGGGGTCTTTGGCAAGGTTCACATATTGCCAAGGAGACCAAGGTCCACATGTGGGCGAGAGGCTGATGCAGTAGGGGTCGTCCTTCTCGATCTGCTGGTCGATCAAGTCTCGGTGTTGCTTCCATTTCAAGTTGATGCCATCATGGGTCACATCAACAGGCTGGGAGACTGGAAGTCCAAAATCAATCGCCAGCATGGAGAGAAGGGCAGCACCAGCAAAAATCTCAAGCAAAAACGTTCGGCAGCCACGTGGCAAAACTCTTGGCTGTCGTGACAAATGCTTGGATGCTCTGAGGCAGCTCCACAAGTGGTTGTCCTGGTCTTTGACTTCATGGATGGTCTGCGCCAGCTGTCGCTTCTGACCTTTTGTGAGGGTGGTCTTTGGAAGCTCATCGACAGCGAGATGCACTTCCGGAGTCAAAGGAAGTTCATCTTCTTCAGCATCATTGTGCAACGCCTGAGTGCTGTGATCTTGATCACCTTGTTGTTGATGTAGTTGATGTTCACCAGGCTCTTCAAAATAAGTTTCATAGCGGGTGTTGCCATCATCATCGATGGTGCACTTCAGGCCAATGTAGCTTGGGATCAAACGGATCGCCAGAAGTCCATCACGTTGCACAAGCTTCAAGTTGCTCTGCAAGGTCGTGCTGAAGACATTGTTGTTGGCAATGTCAATCTGGAAGCCAAGTTGCCTCTGTGTCTCGAGGCTCAAAAGGAGTGGAGCTTGCGATTGGGCAAGTTCCAGGGAAGGCAAAGTGCCTCTTGCAAACGTGCCACATGTCAACTCAAAGCAAACTTCAAGCACACGTTTTCCAGTGACACGCATGTTGCCACCAATGCCCTTCATATTGGATCCAGCGCATGTGTCCAAGCTGACATTGGGACATCCAGTGGCTTGCACAAAACGTTCATACCATTGGCTTCCATGACAAGTTGCATTGCATCCGGTGTCAAGGATGGCAATGAGGTCATTTTCTGATCCACAGCTGTCCTGCACCGCCATAAATCCAGAGACCGATGGAGCAGGGGATGGACGACGCTGCATCTCACGGAAGTAGTGGCAAAGCTGCTTCAAGCCACTTCCGATGGATTTTCCAGATCGCTTGACATTCTCTTCCTCCTCCAAGGCCCAATCCACATAGCTTCGATCACACCAGGCCTTGTAAAAGGTCTGACCTTTGAACTTGCCGAAGTTGACAAGGTTCGTGCCAAGATCTTCAAGGTGTTCAGCTTGGCTTTGGCCACCAGGTGTGTGAAGTCCATGATGAGTAGAACTGGCCGGAGTGCCAGGGACAGGAGTCGTGGATGGAGGAGTCACTGCAGAAGAAGAAGCTGCTCCATGAAAATCCAAAGGAGCGTGTCCAGATTCAAGTTCATGAAGTGCAGTGACACCGATGGCATAGTCCATGAGCATGTGAAGTTCTGTGGAACTCACCGTCTCAGCTTGCGGCATGCTGGCTCGTTTGGCATTCAGGGCATGTTGGATCACCTGAAGGAGCATGGTGAAGGAAGATACTCTCACTGGTCGCTGCAGGCCAAGTCCAGGTGCCTGAGCTGAAAGTCCATGACCAGTGTTGTTGGCCGCAAGTCCAGGGCCAGTGGCCATAAGTCCAGGGCCAGATCTTCCAGAAGTTCTGAGTCTCTCAGCGCCAGCCACAGGTCCAGTGCGGACTTCGCCACAAGCACGGCAGGTCCTTCTCCATTGGAACGCATTTGTTCCAGCCCAGGTCACAGAGTGGTGAGGACAGTCCATCCGATCAGGATGAAAGACATGTCCAACAGGTCCAACAGCACCACCCTTGGGCATAGCTCCAGTGACGGTGGATTCTCGACGTTCTCGTGAAAGAACCATTCCGCAGTCAAGGCATCGTCGCAGGGTGTAGTATGCATTGGATCCACGTGTCGTCACACGGAGGTGTTCACATAGAGGTCTGTCATGTTGAGGAGGTTCATCACCAGGAGGTCCACTTGGCATAGGCATTGTTGCCTTGCTCATCGAAGGTTGAGGTTGAGCTTGTTCTTGAACAGGCATGGGTCCAGCAGGAGGCGGCATAGAAGACTGTCCGGATAGATCAGCAAGTCCAAGAGGTTCCGGCAGTCGTGGAAGAGTTCTGAAGAGCTCTTGAAGTCCAGATCCAGTCAGGTTGGCTGGAAGTCCATAGCCTGCAAGTTCTTCAGGAACTTCATAGATCACTCGTCCATCATCACGGGTTTCAGCGACACCCAAGGCATTCACAAGCATGAAGGTGTCGAGCTCGTCTTGGGTCAAGGTGGCGCCTTCAGCAACCTGAGTCACAGGCACAAGTTGGTCATCAAGCTGTCGCCGATCTGGCGTTGGTGTCGGAGTGGCCACAGGTGTCTGCTGTGGCGTGACAAAACCATCCTGCAAACTGCTGGGAGGTGGTACTGCATTGTACCTTTGTGCCATGTATCCATGTTGTTCACCATCATCATCACCACCATGAACTGCAAAGTACACGGTTCTGGTTTTGGGTTGTTGCGACTTCCCAGAACCCTTGTCACCCTTGTTGGATGAGGCCCCAGCAGCAGGTTTGCCTTTTCCAGATCCCTTTGGGCAGCTAGGATCTCCACTCCAGTGCCCAACTTGGTTGCATCGCCTGCATGTTGTGCGGCTTTTCAAAAGCTGAAGTCGCTGTTGTCGCTCGGTCAATGACAACTGACCAGAGACATCGAAGTGCTTGGTGCCCTTGCTCTTGCCCTTGCCTTTGAAACCTTTGATCCCTTTGTTGATGGCTCTGTCCCTCGCATAGTAGGCTTCCAGCTCAGCCTGAATCACATCTGCCGCATAGTCCATGGACTCTTCATCGTTGACGTCCAAACCATCAGCTGCCAGCATGGCCAAGATCTGGCACTCATCGTTGCCAGAAGCGCCCATGTAGGACTCATACTCATAGTTCGTGGTGTCCTCATAGTCCAGGGTGTCCTCTGAGACAGGGTCATAGGACTGATAGGCCTCAGGTTCATGCCAATCGTCATAGTCCTCTTCAGCCACATAGCCATGACGCTGATGTCGATGCCCTTGTCCATGAGACTTCCAAGATCTGCCATCGCCTTTGGGTCGTGCTCCATCATGTCGTCGGGGTCCAAAACCTCGAGCTTCTCGTTCATGGATCTTGGAGTGCTGGGCAATCAACTCAGTGGCAACCTTCTCCAGGGACATATCACCTTGGATTGCAGAGCGTATCAACAACTGCATGTTGTCAGTGATCCCGGCATTGGTGAGCGTCTGCTCGGCCAAGATCAGGTCAGGCAGTTTGAGCTCCTTGTTGAGGTCCACCATCGCTTGGTACCATGCTTGACGGCGCACCAAGTAGGTTCCCATAGGTTCACCTTGCTGTCGACTCAGCATTCCATTCTGCTGAGCACCTGCCATGTACAACTCACGTGCTTCCTGAATCCTTCTTGGCTTCAGGGTTTCATTCAACTTTTCCAACAACATTTCGGCACCCTTTTCACCAGCTAACTCCGTTGTTGAAATCAACTGGGCTATTCTAAGTGCTGACCCTGACAAACCTTCAACCAACCTCAAACCAAGTGGTCCTAGTTTCTTCTGCTCCTCTTCTGGCAGAAGTGCTTCTCGAGTGCCACGCGCCCTCACACGCCAGCAGTATTCGGCAAGCTTCTGCGCTTCGCCACCAAATCGAGGTAAGCCACCACCCTTCGATTCGGTGCTCGTCACAGCATCCTCGGCATGGATGAAGTTCGCATACCGGAACGTCTCCAGCAGCGCCATGTTGCGCAGCTGCACGGCGCGTCAGCGCCACTTCGAAAAGTAGGCCCAGAGGCCCTTGGAGCCGTGGTAGCTCCGCTACCAGTGTGGAAACAACTCCCACACTGGCAGCAGCCGGTGTTGCACCTTTTGCTCGCAGATGCTTGAGCCACAGTAAGTGGCAGATTGCTGATTGGAAAAACTGTACCTGTAAATGCAAATGAAAGGACATGTTTCTGCCGTTTCGTTGTCTCACGTTTCCATGCCATATGATATGTTATGCTGTGCAGTGCTGGGGTTACATGAATCTTGAACAGCTTTCACAAACCCCATGCAACATTCATGCGGCCATTACAATGCGTTTTGCAGCATCACGTGGCAAACCCGCATGTATCTACGCACATGGCAACAGAATAAGACAACAATCATGCAGCCATTCACTGTGATCTGCAACCGCAGATTCCGAAACAGCCTTTACATACGCACGCATGAACAACCGCACGTTGCAGAACACCCTGGAGGAACCGATTACGCGTTAAAACGGTCCAAGCCGCAACCGCCTCACACACGAGCTGCCCTTCATCGCCGGCTGCAGCCGCTTTACCCGAAAAAACGCAATGTTTCGCGCTCCGGCTTTCTCCCCAAAACAAACCCCATGCAACATTCATGCGGCCATTACAATGTGGAGGCAGCATCACGTGGCAAACCCGCATGTATCTACGCACATGGCAACAGAATAAGACAACAATCATGCAGCCATTCACTGTGATCTGCAACCACAGATTCCAAAACAGCCTTTACATACGCACGCATGAACAACCGCACGTTGCAGAACACCCTGGAGGAACCGATTACGCGTTGAAACGGTCCAAGCCGCAACCACCTCACACACGAGCTGCCCTTCATCACCGGCTGCAGCCACTTTACCCGAGAACACGCAATGCTTCGCGCTCCGGCTGTGTTATTGTTGTGTGATGTATTGTTTTGTGATGCAAATGTATTTATTATTATTTGATGTATTGTTGCGTGATGTATTGTTACTGCATTACACTTCATCCGTAACTCGGAAGATTGCGCCCCAACTTCGTTTGATAATTGTGTTCGCTTTTGTGCATCTTGTGCAAGTTTAGACATGTCACCCACTGAGCAAAACTGCAAGATGGATCACACTCGCTGACCAACTGGCTGGGTCTAGTGCGAAGATTCTCTGAACTTCGCCAGGCCAACTCACCTGACCAGCTCTTCTCATTCGCCCTGCGGGTGTAAAATGGTGAGAACTGAGCTGTGCAAAGAAATGTGCAGCTAGGAAGGGTATATGGAAGGGTTATGGTTGGTGCAAGATGGAGTCATCAATGCTTAGTCAACAGATTAGAAACTTCTAATATTCGTGAGATGCTTGACTTGTCACTTGTACCATGAAGTATCGCAAAGAGATGTTCAATAGGATGCCGAACTACAATGAATTTGGCCCGTGACTTTGTCCTCGGAGTGCAAAGCTGGCAACGATGTGTCGCGCTCAGAGTTTGGAACGAATTTGATTTGAGATTTGTTTGGCAGATGTGTGGGGCCTGCAGATTGCAACCATTCGGAGAAATACTGTAGCGGGCAGTGTATGTCTGTTACACCTCGATATTTCCATTGGCCGTCATCTGCAGACGAATTGTTAGCAGAAACATGTGTCAGCATAGAACCCTGTAGGGTTCTTTCCTGTGGCTGTTTCTTGTTGAAACGCTGCTTTAAGTCAACTAGGTCAACCAGATGCTCAGAGGTTCCTAATCACAGAGTACGTGCCGGAGGCATTTTTACATTTTCAAGGAACGAGCGTTCCGGTGTCCAGGGAATGTACCAACAAACTGTAGAGTCTGTAGAGATCGAGGAAGAGTTGTTGGAGTTCAAGTTGATCGAACGATGGACGTTCCTGGAATACCTTCCGGTGAAGGCAGGCGTTCGCAAGTCCTCCAGCAGCCCAGAGCTCACCGCTCTGGAGTTCGATCCTCACTCGACAAGGACAAGACCTGCCCAGAAAGAAACCTGGGGCCGGCAGGCCAGTGTCAGCACCGATCGTTCCTCTGGTGCCACCTGGAGCCGACAGGAAAGTGCAGACATCAGATGTTTGACATTCCACGACACTTTGGTCAATGCTGCTTCCACGAAGTCTGACAACTCGGATCCCATTGCGACAGGCTTCGCCGATCTTGCGATTCCTGAGACTGGATCGAGCGGATCAGAGCTTGGTGCAGGTCAATGGTCAGTGGGATCAGCCCTGCATTCGCAGGGCGATTGCAAACCTTGTGCGTAGACCCTTCTCGCTTGATGACTTGCATGATGGACTGAAATGGACTGAAGTTGAGGATTTTCCATTTGTGTGAGATTTCCAGTGCTTTTCATGTTTTTTCTCCATGGTTACGGTGCCTTTGATATAAAATGATAAACATCTGTTTGGTCCGTATAGCTGTGATGCTTCAGGGTTGATCCAGCCCAACAAACTTGTGATGACATTTGAGATGCCCGAATGTGTTGATCTATGTCGATCTATTGTGGTCGCTACCCACTCGCCAGGTGGTTTTGGCGGCCGGGCGGCTGCACTCGAGGTGAATCATGTCACTGGATTTCCTGAAGTTTTTTTCCCGTTACGTTCCCTATCTTTCCCGTTAGTCAAGCCAACATTTCGGGAATCTACTGGGAAAGGGGCTGTGATATTTTTAAATGCATGGTTTTTTACTATTCTTTTGGGCCCTCTTCTGCAAATCCAAGGTCAGCATTGTCACTTGTGTCCTCCCGGTGCCTTGCAGAAGAGGAAGCGGCAGCAACGCCAGTTGGTGAAGGCATTGCGCAAAAGCACGGTGGCAACTCCGTGAAGTTTGGGTACTGAAAATGAGGGACCCTCAAATTTTGTGTTTAAAGGCCATGTGGCCACTCCACTCCATAGCCTTCTGATCGTGCAACTTGAGCGAAGGTGATCCCTTCTGCGCGACTTTGTACGCCAAAACACCATGTTTCACGTTGTTGCACGTAAGCACATACATGTTGCGTGATGATATTTTTTTTGGTGACACTGCTCAACTGCACGGTCAAGGCTTGGCAGTGACACGTACAGGTCTTCCAGCATGGACTCGGGACGCACAACTAATTTGCGTGGCAGAATTGTGCGACATCTTGTTCCTTTTATCTGCTGGACAGAACTCTTGCGAACTTAACTTATAGATTTATAGATGCAAGATCATGCATGGAATTATATATGAGGATCCTTTGGGATGGCTCACCTTTGAACCACCAAAATAGATCCAAATAGTGAATGTCTGAGCGCATATGATTTTATCTTACATGTAAGTGGGTTTAGGGTTTAGGGTTTAGGGTTTTCATGTGATGTGAAAAGATTTGTAGGACGGCTAGTTGACTTTGCCAATTTTGGCTCAAGTCAACTAGCCTGTCCCTATTGCCTTTTTGACATCCCACCCTCCTCTCCCTGATCCCCTCTGCAGGGTGATGGGAGGGGGGGGGGCTTCGTTGGGTTTCCAGCCCCCCTGTTTCAATTCGTTAGATTGGTTGGCTTTGGTTGGTGTCTAAAGGTTTCCCTTTGAACCTATCTATCTCAAGAGTGTAAGGGTGATCTGTGATATCAAACCTCTTGTTTAAACCCATTGTTATTTGTTTCTTTGCTTGGAACTTGTGGAGAGCAAGTAATGTGTTGACGATATAGTTGCCCAAATGGCTATGCCATTTTGGCTCAAGTCCTCCCCTAGTGACTAAGTTCTCGAAAAACCCTCCCACCACTACCCAATTTCGAGAATGGCGGCGGTGCCTGATGTGTTGGACGCACCACCCGATGCGATCCCTGAACAAGATAAGGACCAAGTGGGCCTCCTTCACCAGCAGGTCCTGACCATCCTTCTATCCAAGGAGATACCCTACTTCATCATTGCCCGGATGGCGGCAGATGGGCATCGTTCAGTGGAGGACCTGGCTGATAGGTGGCCCACCATCACCGAGGCCAGGAACAATGCACCTGCAGACCTCCAATTCCGCAATACGGATCGTGGAGGGGCCTTTATCACGCAAGAGAAGACCAACCACTTGGCAATGCGAATCTCACAGTGTGTCAGGCAAGCCCAGCAACTGCTGGGAACAGGGGGGCTGGCGCCCAGCAGGACTCATGCAGACCGCAACGCAACTGGCACCTTCGCTAGATGCACTCTGTGACAGAAGGCAGATCCTCCAGACCTGGACGACGGTGGTCCAGCTTCCAATTCCACGGCTGGAAGACCAAGGCTCTGACGCCCTTTTGAAGAAGCAGTTCAAGCTTTGTGCACAGGGCGAGGTTGGCTGGATTGCCAGCAAGTACATCATTTCAGCATATTTCAGCGTTACCAGACCAAGATGAAAGACCAATCAAGACTTCCAAAAAGGTGACGGTCGATGGATGGGAGAAGGAAGAAGAGGAAGAGACCAGGAAGCTACCCACCACGCGGAGACAGCTGGAGCACATGCACCTGATCTTTAGGACGAACCTCCTCATGGCCATCCTCTCCTTTCCCAGCATGCCCAAGTTGAACATCACCCACCGGGACCTAGAAGACTGGTACCGCTGGTTCTGGGGCAAGGACATTGCTGACCGACGTCCGCCACCCCGTGAACAAGCGCTCCTTTATGCGGAGAGAAATGCATGGAGAGAGATCCACAACCTGGTCTATGGGGGCATGGGCCTCAAGGAAGCCATGATGCAACTTCGGCAGGACACCCTCTTTTGGACGAGGGAGGTCACAAAGGAACAGGGGGACCAGACCTCCCCCCACGAAACGCCAAGGCAAAGGGGCGACAACCGCCATGTCACCGGCTTAGCCACAGTGGAACAAGCCAAAGGGCACTCCAAAAGGGGGGAAGAGTAAAGGGACCATGGGAGCAGGTAAGGGCAAGGATTCTGATTGGCCAGCCAACTGGGCGAAGGTCTCACCCAAGGGAGTGCAGTACTGCCGTGACCACTTCCTCAAGAAGAAAAGCCCTGGAAACTGTGGTCGTTCCCACAACTGCCCGGTCCTCAAGAATGGTTGGGTCTGCAATGCAGCACCCTCAGGGCACTCTCCCGAACAATGCCCCCACCGTTGACTCCTGGTGGAACCGGTAGCCTCTGGCACCGAACTTCCAGCAGGATCGACGGGGGAAACCCCACCATCCAAACCTATTACAACATGGACAGCTGAGGGGCTTCCCTCACATGGCCCACACAATACAACCATACCGCAGGCCGGATACCCCCTACAACACCAGGGGTGGATGGGCAGACCTTGCTTGGGCTCTGTCCATGGCTATCATCGGTCCCAGACAGGCTCTTGGAAAGCCTCACTTGGACCACACAACCCACTGCCGTGCTGCAGGGTAGGGACATCCTGCTCCTATATGCAGGCCCCAAAGACGGTGGAGCCTTGGATGGTATCCTCACACAACAACAGCAAGACCTGGGCAGGAGGCTCATTGCTGTAGACGACATTCAAAGGCCACATGAAGAGGGGCCAAATGACATCCTAGAGGATGTTTCTACCCAAAACTCTGCTGCGCGGCGGCAGAGGGCCAGCTGACTTTTGTGGGGGGCGGCCCCAACTGCAGAACATGGAGCATCCTGCAATGGTTCCCCAAGCCTGGGGCCCCCAGGCCAGTACGTGGGCGTGACCCATCTCAGACATTGGAGACAAACTTCCGTGGAAGAACAATTGGATACGGACAAGGATAGCCTTCTCCTGCTCCGTCAGATGGTCATCACGGCCCTGGCATCAAGAGCCAGGAAACCATCAGAATTCCATTCTTTCCTGGAACACCCTCGTGATCCAATTGAGTGTAGCCGGGCCCCAGCAGCTTCGCGATGCTCATCAATCTGGGCCACGAGAGCCTACCGAGTGGGCAAAAGAGGTCAACCATCACAGAATCCACTTTGATCAATGCCAACTTGGACAAGTGGCCCGGAAGAGTACAACTTTCTCTACGGACCTTCCGCTCCATCACTGGCAGGGGCTCCAGTGCAACCATGGTGAACACACCAGGTCACCAGCGATGACCTCGAGTGACCTTAGCCGGTACCCGCCCACCCTCATGACAGGGCTGGCAGCGGCAATCATCAGAAGCTTACCAGACAAGGGCCTCCCCGCGACGGGATGCCAGCAGACCGGAGAACGTCCCCCGGTAGGACTAATCGTTCCTCTTCAGTCCCCCTCTCCCAAGCCATGACATTGGGAGATGATCCCATCATTGTCCAATCTGGCTTCAAGACCAGGCCATTGAGAGATGGAGGGAAAACCCTCATCAGGGAGGAAACCACCTCCACTCCGACCCCAGTCCAAAATTGCACCCTTGGCCCAATCCTGCGCACAGGAGGTCCAAATGTCCATCAACAGAGGTGACAGGAAACGCCCTTTTCCTCAGGAGCTCCTTCAGAGGACGAGGCAACACATCGCCCAAGCAATTGGGTTGAACCTGAACACCACCGAGGAAGTGGCACCAGGGCAACCGTTTTACCTGAACCTTATCTCAGCACTGGCGGAGGCTGGTGGGGATGCAGATGCACTCGTCTACCCCAAGGACATCGCCACAGGGGTTCCCCTGGAGGTCACCACACCTACATGGACATCACCCGGCATATGGCCAACCAAAGAGGAGTTAAAAGGAGAATCTGCGCTCTTGAAAAGACCTCCTCCTGCCAATGGGCAGGGACAATTATTCCTCTGCCAGAGATTTCCCATCCCAGGTCAGGCAGACCTTTGTTGAAGAAGTTGACATGGGCATGGTGGAAGGCCCACTCACCCAAGAAGAAGCAGCCCTCAGATGTGGCTGCACTCCAGCCGAACTCTGCCCAGGGCCTCTGGCAGCCATTGATGAAGGCGACAAAATCCGCACGATTTATGATGGCAGTTGGGGTCATGCCAACTCCCACATCCAACAGAACACCGTGGAAAAGACCACTGCCCCCACTATCATGGACTGCGTCCAGGCCAGCCAATCTATCGGGATGGTAGCCTCTGGCACCGACCTTGGGTGGCATCCTCCGCACAAACAGACTACCTGGGCAATCCTGAAGGCGGATGTCTCTAAGGCGCATCGCCGAATCAAGGTCCAATCTGACGAATGGCGTTATCAAGTGGCACAACTTGATGGAGAATGGTGGATCAACAAGGTCGGCACTTATGGCATGGCCAGTGCCCAACTTGGGCCGAATGGCTGCACTCCTCCATCGATTGTGCTACATGATGTTTCCCCAGATTGACTGGGGCTTTGTTTTTGTGGACGATTTCTGCTGGCTCCTTAGAACAGACACGGCCACTGAGGATACATCCAAACTACTCCTCTTCTTAGCGGCTCTGGGGTGTCCCTTGAGTTGGCACAAGACAGTGCTATCCGAGGTGAATACATGGTTGGGATTTCAGGTCAACCCCCGTGGACCGGTGGTGGATTTCCCCATGGACAAGAGATCCACACTCAAGAACCTTCTTCACACAATTGCCTCCGGCGACTCCTTCACGGCGAAGGAGATTGAGCTAGCGTTGGGAAGATTGAACTGGGCGACGGCAGCATGGCCACTTAGCCGTCCTTTTCTCCAACCCTTCTGGGCTTGGGGAGCCGCTACTACATCTTCCGGCAAGCCCAGCAAACTTATCCGGTCCTTTGCTAGGCTCCTTCTTCAACTTCTTCACAACCCCCAAATCCAGCCCTGTCCTTAATTATGATTCAGCATCCAATTGGTGGGGTGCCAGTGATGCAAGCGCACACCCGGTGGACGGGGCCTACATTGGTGGTTGGATTGCAGACTGTGAAAACCCTTCCAAGGAGCAAACCTGGTGGTTTCACTACAAGGTACCCCTTGAAGATCACTATTGGGCTCACAAAGACGGTGACCCAACGAGACGAATAGCAGCCCTGGAGATGTTCGGCACGTTGATCCTGACCCACTTCCTCTTGGCTTTGGGTGGAAAGTCGTTGCTCCGCACTCGGCTCAATCTCATCTCCAACAATCAAGGCAACATTTTCGCCCTCTTGAACCAGAAGACGAAGCATATGCCAACCTCGGCATTCCTTATGCAGCTCATCGTCATGATCCATGCTGCAGGGGTTCAATTGGCGCCCTCGCACATGAAGAGGGACTACAACCGATGGGCCGATGAACTTACTCATCCTGATTTCATTGGCTTTCGCCCTGATCGGCAACTACCAGTGAGTGAGGTTTTTTCCCATTTTAAATTTCTGTGGGCTCTTCTGGATGACCAGACGATTGCCCCTAAACCTTCGGGTAACAATTCCAAACGTCGTAAGACCGACCACAATGCCACCTAAGGTCCACTGGAGCCAGGTGGCTGCGGCCGACTTTCTTTTGACAGTGGTGACTCCCACCTTAACAACCCTTTTTGGATTTTCCCTTGCGCGAGCTCAACGCTCCGGCGGGTTGGGTGGATTAGACGTGTGACACCACCACTGTATCTTAAGGTTTTCAGATGAAACCAGATTTGTGATTGATGCGTTTGGCATCTGACAGAAACCCAGCCGCACAAGCCAACTGCATAGCAAAAGTGCCGCCAGTTTGCTGCAGTTGCTTGTGTTTGGTTTCAGACATTTTCAATTCTGTTCGGGAACACTTTAACATTTACAGCGGCGCAGCCGGAGAGAATCTATCCATAGAGCGGTGAAAAGAAAGTGAGACCTATCCAGGGGTCCTCCCAGTCTTTTTTGAATTGTCTCTTGGACAGACACAGTAATTCAAAATTCGTTGCCAGCTGTGACAACCCTTGGTGAGGCAGCGGGGTTGTCCATTGTATAGTCAGCGACACCGTGCCCAAAGTTGGAGGACTGCAGCCTCTCTACTCTGCCTCCATTTTCGGTGGTAAAAAGTGTGGCAACGCCTTGTTGTGGGGTGATTGAGATGGTACAAATTGGTAGGAAAAACGCATACACAGAGAGAGAGAGAGAGTAGTGACCGCATCAGCTTGTGGGGCTCCTGGGCCTGACTGCTGAGGCCCCATGTATTGGCCAGTGGCTAGCTTGGCGCTCACATGGAATGAAAGCCATGGTCAGCAGTTCTATGTCGCAGTTGGGTACTCCCAAGCATCAAGAAACCAATGAGTCAAGGAGTTAAGACGGTTAAGAAGTTGCAGTACTTCATAGTATGTTGGAGTATGGACCAAAAGTGAGCCATTGCGCCCATGCCATACCCATGCGGCCAGGCCTTCATAGCTGCCAATGGAATTCCAATCAGCCGTGGGGTGACCCAGGTCATGTGACCATGCTGTAGCTTTGCCGCTTGATTCAGCCGGTTGCCATGTGAGGTACGGCCGATGGTTCTTCCAGTTCAGCGATACGCAGGCAATCGCAGGCATGCCAATACATGTCCCATGAAACGTCTGGTGACGCCTGGTGACGCCTGGTGACGCCTGCTGACTTCGAGCCATGCCACCGTGGACCTGTTTATATAAGGAGGGCTAATTATTTTAGGATTTTTTTTTGATCAGGTTTAGGAATTATTTTTGGATTCCTGCTTCTCTGCTTTTCCTGCTTTTCCTGCTTCTCTGCTTTTCTGTTTTTTTGCTTTTCTGCTTCTCCTGCTTCTCTGCTTTTCTGCTTTTTTGCTTTTCTGCTTCTCCTGCTTCTCTGCTTCTCTGCTTTTTTGCTTTTCTGTTTTTCCTGTTTCTTTGCTTCTCTGCTTTTCCTGCTTTTCCTGCTTTTCCTGCTTCTCTGCTTTTCTGCTGTTCCTGCTTCTTTGCCTTTCTGCTGTTTTGCTTTTGTGCGTTTCCTGTTTCTTTGCTTCTCTGCTTTTTTGCTTCTCTTCTGTTTTTTGCTTTGCCTGCTTTAAATACTTGATTTTCATGTAAGATGCATTTTGCACAGTATTTACATCCCTGAGTATCACATGACCAACCTTCTCTTGAAAACTAGCAACGTAACATGTGAGAAGAGGTGCTTGCATTCTGCTTTGGGGGAGGCGCTGCGCCCTCCCCCCAACCCCCCCCTCCCGCTTTTTTTTTAATTTAAACTTAAACCCAAGTTACATTAGTTGGTTTTTGCGAACTAACCTTCTCTGGAAAGCTGACAGGATTACATGTGATAGATAGATAGATAGATGGATAGATACACAGATAGACAGATAGATAGATAGATAGATAGCTGATAGATAGCTTGGTAGATAGATAGCTAGATAGATAGATAGCCAGCTAGATAGATAGATAGCTAGAGAGATAGATAGCTAGATACCTCGATAGATAGATGGCTAGATAGATAGCTAGATAGATAGATGGCTAGATAGATAGCTAGATAGATAGATAGATAGATAGCTAGCTAGATAGATAAAGAGGTAGCTAGATAGATAGCTAGATAGATAGATAGCTAAATAGATAGGTAGATAGTTAGCTAGATAGATAGATAGCTAGATAGCTCGATAGCTAGATAGCTGGATAGACAGCTGGATGGCTAGATAGATAGATAGCTAGATAGATAGAAAGCTAGATAGCTACATAGCTAGATAGATAGTTAGCTAGATAGCTCGATAGCTAGATAGCTGGATAGACAGCTGGATGGCTAGATAGATAGATAGCTAGATAGATAGAAAGCTAGATAGGCAGATAGATAGCTAGATAGATAGTTAGCTAGGTAGCTAGATAGGTAGATAGATAGCTAGCAAGATAGCTAGCTAGATAGGTAGATAGATAGCTAGATAGATAGATAGCTTGCTAGATAGATAGATAGCTTGCTAGATAGATAGCTAGCTAGATAGCTAGATAGCTAGCTAGGTGGATAGATAGCTAGCGCCCTGCCTCAATCCCCCCCACCCGCTTTTTATCTAACCCCAAGCTTCCGCATTTCTAAATATTTGGGTGAACATGCTCACATATAGAACATCCCATGCAAAATGGAAGGTGAACATGCCAAAATGTGGCAAATACCATATAAAATGGAAGGTGAACATGCCCACATGTAGTAAATCCCATGCAAAATGGAAGGTGAACATGCCCAAATGTGGCAAATACCATGCAAAATGACAAATTCAAGTTCCAAACCGTTGCAAACACTAGGCAAATGGTACCAGCCAAGAAATCCAAAAAAAAATCCCAAACCTGTTCAAAAAAAAAATCCTAAAACTATTTCACACCCCTACAATGTGCAAGAACCTCACATAGCAGCTTGTGAAGGCTGTGGGACGGTCCTCATTCCTGAAGATGCGCCATGTTTTGAGAGTTTGATCAAGTGACAGGTGGGTTTGCCCGAGATTTGGAACTTTTTTGTCGATTGGATGAAGGTTCTTGCATCGCATTTGCCTGCGGTGAGCATTTGGTTGTGCACCACTTGGTTTCTTTATAATTGTATGTGTCTTTGTGCATCTTGTGCAAGTTTAGAAATGTCACCCACTGAGCAAAACTGCAAGATGGATCACACTCGCTGACCAACTGGCTGGGTCTAGTGCGAAGATTCTCTGAACTTCGCCAGGCCAACTCACCTGACCAGCTCTTCTCATTCGCCCTGCGGGTGTAAAATGGTGAGAACTGAGCTGTGCAAAGAAATGTGCAGCTAGGAAGGGTATATGGAAGGGTTATGGTTGGTGCAAGATGGAGTCATCAATGCTTAGTCAACAGATTAGAAACTTCTAATATTCGTGAGATGCTTGACTTGTCACTTGTACCATGAAGTATCGCAAAGAGATGTTCAATAGGATGCCGAACTACAATGAATTTGGCCCGTGACTTTGTCCTCGGAGTGCAAAGCTGGCAACGATGTGTCGCGCTCAGAGTTTGGAACGAATTTGATTTGAGATTTGTTTGGCAGATGTGTGGAGCCTGCAGATTGCAACCATTCGGAGAAATACTGTAGCGGGCAGTGTATGTCTGTCACACCTCGATATTTCCATTGGCCGTCATTTGCAGACGAATTGTTAGCAGAAACATGTGTCAGCATAGAACCCTGTAGGGTTCTTTCCTGTGGCTGTTTCTTGTTGAAACGCTGCTTTAAGTCAACTAGGTCAACCAGATGCTCAGAGGTTACCAATCACAGAGTATGTGCCGGAGGCATTTTTACATTTTCAAGGAACGAGCGTTCCGGTGTCCAGGGAATGTGCCGACAAACTGTAGGGTCTGTAGAGTCTGTAGAGATCGAGGAAGAGTTGTTGGAGTTCAAGTTGATCGAACGATTGACGTTCCTGGAATACCTTCCGGTGAAGGCAGGCGTTCGCAAGTCCTCCAGCAGCCCAGAGCTCACCGCTCTGGAGTTCGATCCTCGCTCGACAAGTACAGGACCTGCCCAGAAAGAAACCTGGGGCCGGCAGGCCAGTGTCAGCACCGATCGTTCCTCTGGTGCCACCTGGAATCGGCAGGTGAGTGCCACCACCGTTTGTTCCTCCAGTGCCACCTGGAGTCGACAGGAAAGTGCAGACATCAGATGTTTGACATTCCACGACACTTTGGTCAGTGCTGCTTCCACGAAGTCTGACAACTCGGATCCCATCGCGACAGACTTCGCCGATCTTGCGATTCCTGAGACTGGATCGAGCGGATCAGAGCTTGGTGCAGGTCAATGGTCAGTGGGATCAGCCCTGCATTCGCAGGGCGATTGCAAACCTTGTGCGTAGACCCTTCTCGCTTGATGACTTGCATGATGGACTGAAATGGACTGAAGTTGAGGGTTTTCCATTTGTGTGAGATTTCCAATGCTTTTCATGTTTTTTCTCCATGGTTACGGTGCCTTTGATATAAAATGATAAACATCTGTTTGGTCCGTATAGCTGTGATGCTTCAGGGTTGATCCAGCCCAACAAACTTGTGATGACATTTGAGATGCCCGAATGTGTTGATCTATGTCGATCTATTGTGGTCGCTACCCACTCGCCAGGTGGTTTTGGCGGCCGGGCGGCTGCACTCGAGGTGAATCATGTCACTGGATTTCCTGAAGTTTTTTTCCCGTTACGTTCCCTATTTTTCCCTTTAGTCAAGCCAACATTTCGGGAATCTGCTGGGAAAGATGGGAAAGGGGTTGTGTGTGTGTGTGTCTTTTTTCAATGATTTTTTACTATTTCTTTTGGGCCCTCTTCTGCAAATCCAAGGTCAGCATTGTCACTTGTGTCCTCGAGGTGCCTTGCAGAAGAGGAAGCGGCAGAATCGCGAGTTGCTGAAGGCATTGCGCAAAAGCATGGTGGCAACTCCGTGAAGTTTGGGTACTGAAAATGAGGGACCCTCAAATTTCGAAAGGCCCTGTGGCCACTCCACTCCATAGCCTTCTGATCGTGCGGCTTGAGCGAAGGTGATCCCTGCTGCACGACTTTGTACGCCAAAACACCATGTTTCACGTTGTTGCGCGTAAGCACATGCATGTTTCATGATGATATGTGTTTGGGTGACACTGCTCAACTGCACGGTCAAGGCTTGGCAGTGACACGTACAGGTCTTCCAGCACGGACTCGGGACGCACAACTAGTTTGCGTGGCAGAATTGTGCGACATCTTGCGATCCGCTGGACAGACAACTCTTGCGAACTTAACTGGTCTAGATGCAAGATCATGCATGGAATTGTGTATAAGGATCCTTTGGGATGGCTCACGTTTGAACCATCAAAGTAGATCAAAATAGTGAATGTCTGAGCGCATATGATTTTATCTTACATGTGAGTAGGTTGGTTGGGAAGGATTCTCATGGATTTTCATGTGATGTGAAAAGATTTGTAGGACGGCTAGTTGACTTTGCCAATTTTGGCTCAAGTCAACTAGCCTGTCCCTATTGCCTTTTTGACATCCCACCCTCCTTTCCCTGATCCCCTCTGCGGGGTGATGGGAGGGGGGGCTTCGTTGGGTTTCCAGCCCCCCTGTTTCACTTCGTTAGATTGGTTGGCTTTGGTTGGTGTCTAAAGGTTTCCCTTTGAACCTATCTATCTCAAGAGTGTAAGGGTGATCTGTGATATCAAACCTCTTGTTTAAACCCATTGTTATTTTAACATTTACAGCGGTGCAGCTGGAGAGAATCTATCCATAGAGCGGTGAAAAGAAAGTGAGACTATCCAGGGGTCCTCCCAGTCTTTTTTGAACTGTCTCTTGGACAGACACAGTAATTCAAAATTCGTTGCCACCTGTGACAACCCTTGGTGAGGCAGCGGGGTTGTCCATTGTATAGTCAGCGACACCGTGCCCAAGGTTGGAGGACTGCAGCCTCTCTACTCTGCCTCCATTTTTGGTGGTAAAAAGTGTGGCAACGCCTTGCTGTGGGGTGATTGAGATGGTACAAATTGGTAGGAAAAACGCATACACAGAGAGAGAGAGAGAGTAGTGATCGCATCAGCTTGTGGGGTTCCTGGGCCTGACTGCTGAGGCCCCATGTATTGGCCAGTGGGTAGCTTGGCGCTCACATGGAAGGAAAGCCATGGTCAGCAGTTCTATGTCGCAGTTGGGTACTCCCAAGCATCAAGAAACCAATGAGTCAAGGAGTTAAGACAGTTAAGAAGTTGCAGTACTTCATAGTATGCTGGAGTATGGACCAAAAGTGAGCCATTGCGCCCATGCCATACCCATGCGGCCAGGCCTTCATAGCTGCCAATGGAATTCCAATCAGCCGTGGGGTGACCCAGTGACCATGCTGTAGCTTTGCCGCTTGATTCAGCCGGTTGCCATGTGAGGTACGGCCGATGGTTCTTCGAGTTGAGCGATACGCAGGCATGCCAATACATGTCCCATGAAACGCCTGGTGACGCCTGGTGACGCCTGGTGACGCCTGGTGACGCCTGCTGACTTCGAGCCATGCCACCGTGGACCTGTTTGATGTGCAAGAACCTCACATAGCAGCTTGTGAAGGCTGTGAGACGGTCCTCATCCCTGAAGATGCGCCATGTTTTGAGAGTTTGATCAAGTGACAGGTGGGCTTGCCCGAGATTTGGAACTTTTTTGTCGATTGGATGAAGGTTCTTGCATCGCATTTGCCTGCGGTGAGCATTAGGTTGTGCACCACTTGGTTTCTTTATAATTGTATGTGTCTTTGTGCATCTTGTGCAAGTTTAGACATGTCACCCACTGAGCAAAACTGCAAGATGGATCACACTCGCTGACCAACTGGCTGGGTCTAGTGCGAAGATTCTCTGAACTTCGCCAGGCCAACTCACCTGACCAGCTCTTCTCATTCGCCCTGCGGGTGTAAAATGGTGAGAACTGAGCTGTGCAAAGAAATGTGCAGCTAGGAAGGGTATATGGAAGGGTTATGGTTGGTGCAAGATGGAGTCATCAATGCTTAGTCAACAGATTAGAAACTTCTAATATTCGTGAGATGCTTGACTTGTCACTTGTACCATGAAGTATCGCAAAGAGATGTTCAATAGGATGCCGAACTACAATGAATTTGGCCCGTGACTTTGTCCTCGGAGTGCAAAGCTGGCAACGATGTGTCGCGCTCAGAGTTTGGAACGAATTTGATTTGAGATTTGTTTGGCAGATGTGTGGGGCCTGCAGATTGCAACCATTCGGAGAAATACTGTGGCGGGCAGTGTATGTCTGTCACACCTCGATATTTCCATTGGCCGTCATTTGCAGACGAATTGTTAGCAGAAACATGTGTCAGCATAGAACCCTGTAGGGTTCTTTCCTGTGGCTGTTTCTTGTTGAAACGCTGCTTTAAGTCAACTAGGTCAACCAGATGCTCAGAGGTTACCAATCACAGAGTATGTGCCGGAGGCATTTTTACATTTTCAAGGAACGAGCGTTCCGGTGTCCAGGGAATGTGCCGACAAACTGTAGGGTCTGTAGAGTCTGTAGAGATCGAGGAAGAGTTGTTGGAGTTCAAGTTGATCGAACGATTGACGTTCCTGGAATACCTTCCGGTGAAGGCAGGCGTTCGCAAGTCCTCCAGCAGCCCAGAGCTCACCGCTCTGGAGTTCGATCCTCACTCGACAAGTACAAGACCTGCCCAGAAAGAAACCTGGGGCCGGCAGGTGAGTGCCACCACCGTTTGTTCCTCCAGTGCCACCTGGAGTCGACAGGAAAGTGCAGACATCAGATGTTTGACATTCCACGACACTTTGGTCAATGCTGCTTCCGCGAAGTCTGACAACTCGGATCCCATCGCGACAGACTTCGCCGATCTTGCGATTCCTGAGACTGGATCGAGCGGATCAGAGCTTGGTGCAGGTCAATGGTCAGTGGGATCAGCCCTGCATTCGCAGGGCGATTGCAAACCTTGTGCGTAGACCCTTCTCGCTTGATGACTTGCATGATGGACTGAAATGGACTGAGGTTGAGGGTTTTCCATTTGTGTGAGATTTCCAATGCTTTTCATGTTTTTTCTCCATGGTTACGGTGCCTTTGATATAAAATGATAAACATCTGTTTGGTCCGTATAGCTGTGATGCTTCAGGGTTGATCCAGCGCCGTCCAACAAACTTGTGATGACATTTGAGATGCCCGAATGTGTTGATCTATGTCGATCTATTGTGGTCGCTACCCACTCGCCAGGTGGTTTTGGCGGCCGGGCGGTTGCACTCGAGGTGAATCATGTCACTGGATTTCCTGAAGTTTTTTTCCCGTTACGTTCCCTATTTTTCCCGTTAGTCAAGCCAACATTTCGGGAATCTACTGGGAAAGGGGCTGTGATTTTGTTTAATGTTTTTTTACATTTTTTTACTGTTTCTTTTGGGCCCTCTTCTGCAAATCCAAGGTCAGCATTGTCACTTGTGTCCTCGAGGTGCCTTGCAGAAGAGGAAGCGGCAGAATCGCCAGTTGCTGAAGGCATTGCGCAAAAGCACGGTGGCAACTCCGTGAAGTTTGGGTACTGAAAATGAGGGACCCTCAAATTTCGAAAGGCCCTGTGGCCACTCCACTCCATAGCCTTCTGATCGTGCAGCTTGAGCGAAGGTGATCCTTGCTGCACGACTTTGTACGCCAAAACATCATGTTTCACGTTGTTGCACGTAAGCACATGAATGTTTCATGATGATATGTGTTTGGGTGACACTGCTCAACTGCACGGTCAAGGCTTGGCAGTGACACGTACAGGTCTTCCAGCACGGACTCGGGACGCACAACTAGTTTGCGTGGCAGAATTGTGCGACATCTTGCTACTGTTCTCCGCTGGACAGACAACTCTTGCGAACTTAACTGGTCTAGATGCAAGATTATGCATGGAATTGTAGAATTGTATATAAGCATCCTTTGGGATGGCTCACGTTTGAACCATCAAAATAGATCAAAATAGTGAATGTCCGAGAGCATATGTTTTGAACCGTCTCTTGGACAGACACAGTAATTCAAAATTCGTTGCCACCTGTGACAACCCTTGGTGAGGCAGCGGGGTTGTCCATTGTATAGTCAGCGACACCGTGCCCAAAGTTGGAGGACTGCAGCCTCTCTACTCTGCCTCTATTTTTGGTGGTAAAAAGTGTGGCAACGCCTTGCTGTGGGGTGATTGAGATGGTACAAATTGGTAGGAAAAACGAGAGAGAGAGAGTAAGAGTAGTGACCGCATGCGGGGCTCCTGGGCCTGGCTGCTGAGGCCCCATGTGGTGGCCAGTGGCTGGCTTGGCGCTCAAATTGTGGCCTGGATGAGCCTTTTTTACGCATCATGTAATTAACCATGGGACCATGGGGCAGGCAATTACCGACAAACAACCCCAATAGCAAAGGGAACATTGAATCAAACATACTGAAATCTGCCGCAAGATGCAAGAGTGTACTGTACCAGTGAAATGAAGGAACGTGACGTGATGGAATTATATAGGTTATATATGGTTATATCATATCAGTTCTATCTTTTCAGTGAAAATTTGACAAAACAAGACACAACACAACAACATTCAACAAAGTCCGCTCAACCACTGCTCCACCAGCGCCGCAGAGCACAGCACCAAGGCATGGAGACACCACCGGAAACCATTGACGATCGAAAACCATGCATCACCATTTCATGATGCATCCCATGAACTGCAAACTAGTAATTAGTTGTGGGGATACATATGGGATATGAAATAACCACTGGAAGTTTGGAAGTCTATATATAATTACTTCCATTTTACGGAGATTTGAAAGTCACAGCAGTGATTGTCACTGCAATGATTGTCACAGGAATGATTGTTACAGCAATGGTTATAACAGAAATGACTGTCAGAGCAATGGCTTTTACAGCAATGGCTGTCACAGCAATGGTTGTCACAGCAATGATTGTCACGGCAATGATTGTCACGGCAATGATTGTCACATCAATGATTGTCACAGCAATAATGGTCTCAGCCTCAGCAATGATTGTCTCCGCAATGGTTGTCACAGCAATGATTGTCTCTGCAATGGTTGTCACAGGAATGATTGTCACGGCAATGGTTGTCACAGCAATAGAGCACAGAAACAATTGTCACAGCAATGGTTGTCACAGCAATGACTGTCACAGCAATGATTGTCACGGCAATGATTGTCATAGCATTGATGGTCACAAAAATGATTGTCACAGCAATGATTAAGCTGAGATGATCTGAGAGTGAGCTGGGAGTGAGCCGAGATGAGATCAGATCAGTTCCTGAAACAGTGTGTCCACACTGAGGGGTTCTTACGGTAGGAGCTAAAGGGCCGGGTTTACAAGCTGCGAAGAGCTAAGACGAGCTGAGAAGAGGAGAGAAGACGTGAGATGAGATATGATGCGATGAGATGAGATGAGGTGAAAAAAGTTGAGAAGAACGACATGAGATGAGTGAGATGAGATTGGATAAGATTAGGTGAGATGAGATCAGAGGAAATGACATGAAATGAGCAGAGATGACAGAGATGAGAGGTGAAAAGAGATGTCACAGGAATGAGATGTCAACAGATTTTTGCTGCAAAGCAAAGCACAGAAAGTTCTACAGTGGCTGTAAAGATAGTCTTGGCCGCAACTATAAAGGAACACTTTCTCTGCGACAACATACTTGTATGTAATGTACATGTCCAGTCCATTCTAGCTGAACCACACAGAAAGAACATGATTGTAAAATTGATTCATCACGAACATGCACCACCACCTACCCAAGAATCAAAGTTGGTTCCAGACGGATGCTCATATGATTTTACACATGTGTAAGTCGGTATATAGTATGCGCCTATGTACAGCCTATATTTGTTTCAAAGTAGGACTTGCATGTAACTACATGTTTCGTAAAAAGAGAGTGCAAACATACCTTGCTACGCTGCTACCCGCTTGCTTCGCTTCGTTCAGGTCCATGAAGGCCTGGGCTGCAACTTGGACACAAGGCTTTTGGGAGTTGGGGCTACCGCCAGAGGCAGCACTGCTTGGATTGCCAAACCCTGAAGTGTTCCGGAGACCCCTGGTTTGAAACACCAGGGTCACCAGAATCCAAGAGGTAGAAGCATCAGAAGTGTGATTTAGTATATTTAGTCATGATATGTCATGGGTCTTCAGCTGAGCCATGTCAATTCCGCAAGTTTTTTGCCTCGTGGCAGTTCCCTCACGAAGATGACTCACATAATCTGACGATTTACACAGGTTGAACTCGTCAGCGAAGTCGAAAGTCTCTCAGCCAACTGCCATTCTTTGGTTTACGGTTTGCATCCGAGTTCTCATTACTTGTTGCACTTAAATCACTTCAGGCCCAACATCACCCCTTCACTGAATCCTGCGAACCTCGTCGAAAGGCGCAGGCGCCCGAACTATTCGTAGCATGGAGAGATTGAAATGAGTCACATGTAGTCACCCTTTCAGGAGCCTCGATGGGAACACTAGCCCCATGGCTTCCTGTGTGCCTTGTGTGAAGACAGCAGAGGTGGAAGTTTCTTGGAACGGTGGTCAAGACAAGGGCTGTCTCACATCGCGCGGTGGACTTTGTAGAGCCTCATATGGACCAAGAACAAAGATGAAAAAAGTGATTCTCGCTTGAATAGTGCAGGGAAAGAATGGGCAATTATATTGGGCATAATATAGTGGATGGTTAAAAGTGGTATAGATAGTTGATAATAGTTGCGGAGGAGGCCGGAGTTTTGTTGTTTCATAGCCTGAGTCAACTAGGGAGCTGCGTGGAAAGTGCCAACGAACTCACAAAGACTTGGCTCAAGACAGCTGCCACAGACACCAGCTGGACAGCATGCGGGAGCACGCCAGAGCATCTCAGACCCGAGGCAACCCATTCTGATCCTAAGTGTCCTAAGTGTCCCAAGTGTCCTAAGTGCCCTAAGTGTCCTAAGAATCCTAAGTGTCCCAAGTGTCCTAAGTGTCTTTGACATCAACGTTCCGTGCCTTCTTCAAGTTTAGGTTTGAAAAATGAAAACTGCCACAAGTTGCAACAGTCGCCTTAGAAGAGCGGAAGAGCCTTAGCTTTAGCATTTTAGCAGAGCTCCGTCTCAGATCCTCTCCACGGCCTGCAGCCCTTCCCTCTTAAGATCTCATGGTGCGGGTTGTCAGGGGTGGCTTGTTGCCAGGCTCACTCAGGTCCAATTTGTTTCTCTTTTTGTTTGTCCGTCCAATTTTGCCCAGCTTCCGAACTCTTCATCTTTTTGGTCATTTGGGTTTATGTGATGCGTATCCCGCGCCGCAGTTGAGCGACGACTCTGACGAAGAGTCAGAGGAAATTGTCGTCTCTCCATACAAGGACCAATTTTGGGTGCAGACATGTCACGAAAGCTGGCTTCTGCCAGCTGAAGTCCCTGTTGCTTCAGTAAGGTATTGGGGGGATGGAATCTCCAATCGCATGAAACTTCCCGCTTAACTTAGTCCCCATCCCCCCCTGGCTGGTTCACAAGCAGTTTGGCCGTGGCTCAATCCCCCCTGGGACACCTTCGGCATGTCGTCACCGGTAGCATCATTGTGTTTTCATGCCAAGCTCGCTGCCAAGCTAGCTTTCGTCGCTTACCCCGGGGCCTCAAGATGAGATTGCGGGGGAAATATGGGGAAATGAAGGATTGAAAAAAATGGGTGCTTTCCGAGACTGAATTTATATAAGCAATATATATCAGCTTCGAATTTGAAGGTCAGACATGTGAATGAAGTTGCCAAGCGGTCTCCTGAAACGTTGCGTTTATCATGGGACATTATGCGGAGCCCGGTACACGCTCCCCGCGCAGGAGGAGACTGAGAAGCATGAGGCTTTGGGCGAGGCCACAGGGAGAAAATGCAATGCCTATCAATGCCTTTAGTTGCAGGGAAGGCACCAAATGTTTCGGAGTTTGTCATGGCCATCAGAGGGTGCCTTTTCCTCCTTTAAACATGTCCGGCAGAACAAATGAAGCAGGGGCACTATGGGGCATGGATGCAGGACGATAGTGAGAAGGTGAATGAGAATGAGTCCACTGCAGCGGCCTTTCCATTTGGCCTTGTTGCTGTTTGTTGCTGTTTGGATGCGGTTCTTTATGGAGGGTCTCATCAGCTCCACTGGACACATCGATTGACATAGATGCACATAGTCTAACAAAGCGTGCCAGTGTAACTTTTTCTTCGACGGGCACGATCTAAGCAGGAAAGTGTGGAAAAACCGGGGGGAGCTGGGACAACCGGACAGGATCTGACAGGACACCATTGGACACCATTGGACACCATTGGACACTGGACACCCTGATACCCCAGGCACAACAGAGCGAAGGCCTGGCGCGTGAGTCGCCTGGGAAGTTGGATTCCTGGTGTATCCTGCAGCCATGTGTCGTTAGTCACCAGTTTTTCTTGTGTTGTGTTGGTTTGGCAAGTGATATGTGATTTTTCTTTTGGAAAAAAACTGTAACTTGTATGTAGTTGTTATATGTTGTTATTATATAGTTAGTATTATGTCATGTTGTTTAATAGTTTACTTCATATGGAAGTACAGCACCTGTTTCCAGGGGAAAATGAGACAGCGGTCTACATTGAGTCTACATTCTAGATTTAATTGTCGTATGAATTGGTGTGTAAGCGAGTGGTAAAATCCTCTCAAATCGTCTATATAAATCGTCTATATAAATCGTCTATATAAATCTATATAATGTTTCTGCATGTTTGGCCGTAGCCAATCAAGACCCAAGACAGGGCCAGGACCACGGCTCAGCGAAACTCAGAGTGAAGCCCAATGTTCCACGCCGCAGAATTTGAAGAGGAGATCCTCGAGTTTCAATTGGAAGAGCGGTTCACCTTCTTGGAATACCTACCAACTGGACCAGTGAAGACCATCCAAAAGAGCACCAGCGCACCTGAACTTCTATGCTTTGAGGCGGCAACTTCAGAGATGCAGGTGTCAGATGCACAATTTGCTGATGAGGAGTGCAGCTCGGTCGCATCGTCATGCATCGCCTATACCCTGATTTTACTGGGAGTAATGTAATTTAAGTTTTTTTAAAAAAATTAATGGAGCATATGATTGAGACTTGAGAGGATCGAGAGGATCCAGGGGCAAATGTTGCCTAAGACACGAAAGGCAGTTAGTGGTGGCTAAATGTGACAAAGATCAAACAGGACCTGACTATGATGGCCATGATACATCGCGAAATCATGGGTACTACTACTGGCCGTGTTACAAGCAACGATCTGAATGTCTGTGGGGATTTGCGTGAGTGTGACAGACGCGTGTTTCTACAGCAAAGATCGGCAAAGGCACAACCACAATGACGCGTTTTACAATCATGCACATCCATCTCGACCTCTTCTCATTATCATCATCAGCATCATCAGAAGGACAATCATAGCATCACTCCTCCTCCTCCTCCTCCTCCTCCTCCTCCTTGCTGATGAGGGTATTAGGGCGCAGAAGCTGTCACTGTGTGGGGTCATTGTCCACGACTGATTTGGGCCCTTCTCCATGTAGCGTAGCCCGCCTTAAACAAAGAAGTCACGGGTTGCCATTTGAGGATCATCTCAACATATCTCAACCAATATCACGAAGACTTTCCAAGGCAAGGAGTCCAGCGAATGTGTCATTGCGCGGCGGAGTTTGGCGACTTTGAGCACATGTAGCAGCTTGAACTTTAGCGGGGACTCCACCAACTCAGGGCTGTCTGAGTCAGGGCAGGTGGAGGATGGTGGAGGGCTGGAAGATGCTGAACTATTCTGAAAGATGTTAAAAGATGTTCACAGATTTCTACATGAAAGAATCAGTTTCCAACAAGTTTCCACACACAACTCCGAGTTTTCCAAGAGTAAGTTGTAGCAGATCTTGTTGCGCAGGTGCTCACAGACTTTGCCCTGCATGATCTCGACCTCCCGGATCAATGCAGTGGATCAGATCCAGAAGTTCCAGTGGGAAAATGGTCACTGGGAGCATGCCTTCATAGCCAAGGCCAATGTAAGCCTTGCGCTTGGTTTTGGCGCCCTGGGAGCTGCACCCGAGGTGAGGCATGTCACTTGGATTTGCTGATCATTTTTTACACATGAATACGCATGGAATTTTATGGTTCAATTGGATTCAATTGCTCAATCCTGCAGTCAGGGAATGTACATGAATCTACTGTTATTTTACCAACATGTTCATGTATTGCTCATGTGTTTCCATTCTTTCATGGGGATGGGCCTTCTACAATCCAAGAATCCAAGGTCAGCATTGTCACCTGTGTCCTCCGGGTGCCCTGCAGAAGAGGAAACGCCGGAATCGCGAGTTGGTGAAGGCGCTGCGGCAGGGCGTACCCAGCTGCCAGATGGATCCAGTGGATCCCTCAACCGTGGGATCCATGCCTCTACCAGTGGTGTTCCTTGCGTGGCCATGACATCACTGGGGATCCAAACCTGCAACGATGAAATCCGGAATGACTGATGATATCTGATGATCAATATTGAGGAATATTGATCAACATTGCTTAGATCCTGAATTAATGGCTCCTCCATGCGTTTTAAAGCATGCTGGAGGCGTGCAGGCTAATCCACTTTGCACAGGAGTAGCTTTGCCTCCAATTAAGGGCTTCGCAGCACCGAATCAACAAATGCATTGCTTGTTTGGAGTGGTGACAAAGATATTACACGGAGCACCAGGGAGCTTTCAAGACTTTCCTTTCTGCATAGCGCGATGCTGCTCAACTGCATAGCCAGCACCAAGCTTTTGTTTGTACAGGTCTTCAAGCACAGCCAGGCCAGAAGCACGACTTTTGCGCTGCGAAATTGTGCCAGGTGCCTGTGCTTCGCTTGAAAGACATATGCCCGAATCCACACAGAGTGAGAACTATGGATTCAAGGGCCAAAGTCCTTTCCTTTTTTTATTTTTCAAGCCAATCCAAAGGAATGCACCCTGCACTTTGGCAGCTTGGCACTCACAGGGCAGACCTTGTTGTAGAACACAAGGGGCACCCAAGGCGAAACCGCATAGGAACACCTGCCAGAACAGGTTGGCTCCCGCTTGGAACCCAGCCCCGCTTTGGCAACGTTAGCTCGGAGTAGCAATGATGCCATTGCGCATTGTAAAGTGCCGGACCTGAAAGGCAGCGTGCTCATGGACAGCCATCCGTCCACTGGCAAAAAAGGGGTGTGGTGCCAGCGCTTCTGTTTGAGTTGCTGCTGTGACTGTTTCTAATTTTCTAGTTTTCGCAAGGGTCCCCGGGCATTTTATTTGTCCACCCACCTATCTACCTTGCTCGCTACCTACCCACTTAGCTGGCTCTCTATTTAGTTTGTTTTTCTCTATCTATCTAATCTATTTTATAATCCAATCTATATAATCTAATCTTATCTCATTTCATTTATTTTATCATATCTTGTCATATGATGTCCATTTTATCTATCTTATCAATCTTTTCTATCTGAACTTTCTGATTAATCTGATCAATGTCTATCTTATCAATCTTGTTTATCTCATCTATTTGAACTATCTGATACATGATCTATCGTAGCTATCTTATCTATCTTATCAATCGTATCTATCTGATCAGATCTATCCCATCCATCTATTTGGTCTATCTGGTCTATCTGGTCTATCTGGCATCTATCTTATTTGCTATGGTATCAGTCTTATCAATCCTATCCACCTTATCTTTCTTATTTAAGGTATCGAAATCTATCTAGTCTATCTTAACAACCTAATCAATCTAATCATGTCTAATCAATCTAACCTAAACTAATCTGATATGATATAACCGAATCTAATCTAATTCACATTCATCTAACCTAAAAATATCTAACCCCCTGCTATTCTAAGCTAATCTAAGCTAATCCTGACCTAACTGAACCCAGTCTAATCTAATCTAATTCTAATCTGTCTTAATCTGTCTTAACTCATATTATCTCGTCTTGTCTTGTCTTGTCTTGTCTTCTCTTCTCTTCTCTTCTCTTCTCTTCTCTTATCCTATCTATGTATCTATCAATTTATCTATGTGTCGTGTTATGTCGTGTTTGTCTGTCTGCCTGTCTTTTTGTTTGCGTTTGAGTAGTATACGTTGATGTTTCTTCTTCCTTCTCAAGACTTGTTCATTTGGTCGTTCATTCATTGGTGCATGTTTTCACTTGTTCATTTTGCTTGTTCATATTTGAAGCGTATGCGCGTGCATAGGTTTCAAGTTTGGCAGGAATCAACCACTCAGGTCACTCAGGCTGTCAGGCCTTCAGTCCCATTGGTCACAGGTCTGACTCGTGATTGCAGTGGTGCCACAGTTTCCAGCGCATTGCCCAGCTGAGGTCGTTGGCCCCTCGTGCAGAGAAGGCACTGGACTCTGGTCCCAGATGGGTGAGACAGCAGCTATTCGGGTGCATGATGGCATACTTTTGGATTCGTATTGTCATGTTTCATGTATTTTCTTTAATGCGGCATGCAAGACACCCCAAGACAATTGTTTCCTGGGCAACCTGTGAGTTGCACCTTTCCATGAATCAATTCACTGTTCAGGTGGTTTCTCGAATAGCTCGCCTGTGGCGGCAGCACATGGAAGATACGGAGCGACGTGGAAGGGAGACCCAGTGACAGAAGGCTAAAAGACCAGGAAGGCCAAAATGCCAGACAAACCAGAAAGAGAGAGAGAGAGAGTCATGGTAATTACAAAAAAAACATAAAAAGAAAAACTCAATTCTGATGTCAATTCATTAGAGATGTTTAAATCCTGTATGAATTATTCATTCACACCTGGAGTCATGTGTGCTGCACTTTTGACATTGCAAGGGCCCACGGTCAAAAGGAATTTCCGAAATGGTCTTGCTCCTCGGTTCGCAGACGCGGCTCAAAGAAGGCCGTCTTTTCAATCTCCTACAACCATGCACAAACAGAAACAAAAGGCATGTAGCAAGTTGCAAGAGAGCAGGCAAAGCAAAGAGGGAAAGCGAGGCGCAGTCTCCTTGAACTTCAAAGCAGTTTTCGCCCGGGTTTTGCGTGGCACCCGGCCTCGCCCGGCCACCCCATGATGATCACAGGCGCCAGTGGAGCACTGCCTCTAGAGATTCTGCAGCCAGTCTTGGAGTCTCTGGGATCTTCCTTGGCCAGTGCTATACCTTGCTGTCGCAGCATCGCCTCAGCAGCAGAACAAGGCTCGTCCAGTTCAGGATCAGAGTTGAATAGCAGGATTTTTCGACTATTACGCTGTGACTACAATGCATATTACATTATGTTATATTACAATATGTATATATATATATTTATTTGTTTATTTACAATGATAGTTAAATTAACATTGTTTATTGACATGCGCCTCTAGATTTGAGAACCGTTGCAAATCCGAACAAGCAGACGGCGCTGCTGTGGGTGATCTGTGGGTGTCTGTGTTGTCAGGTGACGCTGCTGCTTTCAGACCGATGACGTTGTGCAAATCAACTCCAAGTCCTGGAGATGGCACTGACATCCAGCATGAGCTCCTCGAGATCCCAAGTCTCTGAGTGGAACAGCTAAATGTCAGTATAATTATACATAATATTGGCATATCTTGGCATAATAATGATTAATAATGCGTACTACAAAAAAAAGACTCAGTTCAGAATGCAAGCGTCGGGTCCTATGGAATCTATGGACGCTTTGAAGAGTTCCAACCTTTTTCAGAATGGTTTTGCAATTCCCCAGGCTCAGCCGCTGTGGAAACGTGGCCCGAATGCGACGACCAGACTTGAGCTGGAGAGAGATAGCCCAGGTGAGGTGTGCTGTTGATGTTCATCATTTTTACCTGGCTGGTACGACATATGCATCATATGCTTAATTATGCTTATATAATGTGATAATAATTATTTATTTACATATATATATATATTTATTTATTTACATATATATATATGTATGTATATAGTTCCGCATTCATTTCATGAGGCGATGGTCCATGGTGACCAGGGCGCTTGGAAGCCTGTGCCTTTGACGGGGGCAGTTCCATCGCATCGCCAGTCCCTGGCTCTGTGTGGTGCACCGGGACGGATCCCTGGCGCATCGTCAGGTCATGGGGTGCCGCATGGGTTTCCATCAATGGGGTTCTTGAATATAAATCAATGGTTATATAATGGGTTATAATGGGTTATATTGGGATCAATATCCCCATTAAAAGTGATTGAGTATATTGAGTGGTTGAAAGAGATGGTGTAATTGAAACACCAAACAAGAGTGATCGAAGGTGAATGGTTGGGTGGCCACATGATTGGCTGAGTGAGCGAGTGATCCGCTGATTGAGCAAGTTGCCTGATGTCCGGGTCCCAGTATTGCATTGTAGGAAGCTGTGCCCACAAAGTCTTGAAGCAACATGAAGCAACTGTGGGATCAGGTAACATCAGGAATGCATAGCGTCAGGACTAACTTGAAATGTAAGAAGCACAGCATAGCACAGCTATGCGGCAGCTCTTCCAATTCTACAAGCACCATGAAGCACCCAAAGATCCTGTGCACGACTATCCCAGAGGCCGCAAACGCTGTCGCAGCCTTGAGGTTGGTTGGAAACATAGTTTTGTCCATATGCATTCTTTTGGTTCGTTATGTGAGGCGCACCATGGCGCACCCTTGTGCCAATAATTAGAATCCGGTAGCTGGCACACGCTTTGTTTCTGCATGACAAAAACCCTTTAACTTCAAAAGCCAGCACGCAGCACGCTCATTGCTTCCCCAGCTTCTACATAAATAGCTGAGTGAAGCTGCTACAGCAGGTTTAGTTCACGTAAGCCGCTTTTGTTCGTATATATATATATATTGTTTCAGCGCAGCTTGGCTCAGAGTTGTTCCGATTTTTTTTGTGGAATAGTTTTGACCATTTTCCCAGACTTGCATTGGAGGGCTTCAATTTTGGGCCCACACAGTATTCAAGCCGCACAGTATTTCAGCCCAGTGATACTATGGGTTTGTCCAGTATAGCGGTATACCAATGGTAGAGCATGGTACAGCCCTATGTTGATTGTTTGTTTTGTCAATGAACATTGCCCATGAAATGAAACCCACGAAGGAGGATGTGTCTGACAGGATATCTTCAATCAGTTCCCTGGTGTCACATGATTTAACCTTATTTTAGCTGGTCCATCCGAGGAGCGAGAAAGTGGTACTCTACGGCGGCAACACGTCCCGACGAGTGGCTGGCAATTGGCAGCTGGGCATTTTCAAAGATACTCACAACGTTGAAGTGTTTGATGGAACTAGCATGGATAGGTTGACCGTGCTTGATCGGATCAAGCACACACACACATATATATATATATATAATATCCTGGTTGCAATTTCCTCTACAGAATCGAGGGGGCTGACACCCCCAAAACCTTCGATTCTGTAGAGCCAGCCTGCACCCCTACTTTGCTGCAAAATCAAGGACCATGGGCTGGTAAACACCCAAAAATCACCCATTTTGGGCTGCACCCCTGTCCGGTCCTGATTCTGTAGTGGGGTCCCATGAAGGGTTTTCAAAATCTTATGCTTTGGGAAGGAGATTGATTTTGTAGAAAAAGGCTGGTGACCTCCTAAGGCCTTTGATTTTGTAGCAAAAGCATGCTCCTGGGTGTCATATCTTCAGATCTTGATTCTGTAGTGGTGAGAGATGGTGAGAGGGAAGGACCTTGATTCTGTAAAGGCTAGTTCCCCTGAAACCCCTGTTGCCCAACATGTATGGGTTTTTGATTTTGTAGAGGGAGGTTAGATGTGAAAAATGCCGGTTGGTCTTCAATACCAGGGGTAGCCTTTGCAGTAGGAAAGGTTTATGTGGCAGGCTACCGTGGCCTTTACAAAATCATACACCAAGGTGTCACCCTCTACAAAATCAAACTCCAAGGGGGAACCAAAGATTGGCCTCTACAAAATCAAGGTTCTATTTTATGAGCTCCAGGGTCCTGGGTTTCTGGAATTTTGACGATGCCCCCGGCATTCCTGAGATTTTTGCTCTAAGAATCTTTAAGGGCCTACTTATCATGAGAAAACCCTCAAAAGTTTTTATATACTGTAGGATTTCAGAAGGATTTTTGCTTGAGATCTTAGAGCCTGATTTTGTAGAGCAGATGTAGGGGGCCCACTTGTGAAAAGGTGAGACTTTGATTTTGTAGAGCGACCTATCTGAAGAAAACCTAGCCAGTTTGATTTTGTAGAGAACATATGAGAAAAAGGTGGCAAAATCAAAAAGCAGGCACTTGGGAGGGGCTTGTAGCTACAAAATGAAAGGCAGGCACTTGGGACTTTGGATGGGGCTTGTAAAACTTGTAACACATTCATACTACAAAATCAAAGACCAACAAAAAATATCTACAGAATCGACTCCAAAAAACATATCTACAGAACCAACCTGGACGTTTGAGCTCAAAAAGTGATGATTTTTGATGCCTTCAAATGTGAGGTTCTTGATTTTGTAGCACGTATGAATCTGCCTTGTCAGAATTTTCTACTGTGGAAGGTTCTTGATTTTGTCGAATGAACGATCCTACTCTGGAGAGCAGAGATTGATTTAGTAATGAATTTTTAGGTACCTGACCTTGGTTGGGGGTCTCTACAGAATCGAGGGATCCAGCACCCCCCTATTTGCAAGGGGGATCACATATATATATATATACACATATATATATATATACATATATATATATATAGTTATACATATATATATATGTATATACATATATATATATATATGTATATATATATATATATTTGCATATATATATATATTCACAGTTATACATATATATATAGTTACATATATATATATATATACATCATATCTTTTTTTTGCGATGTTTCCCCATGGTCAGGCAGCCATCCCGAGCTCTTTGTATTGCTGACTTGCCTTCAGCAAGTGGTGCTGCCCCTTGGTGAGCGCATTCCTTTCACAGAAAGCATTCCGAGAACATAATGAACAGGCACAGCGAGAAGGAGAGATGGGACAGAAGGTGCAAAAATGAGACAATCAGCAGCAGATCTCAGTGTTTTCCCTCACATGGAGGGGCGTCTTGTGACCTACGAGGGCACATGAGGGCCAGATGAGTGTTGGTGTAGACTATATACCTAGCCAGAACATGCCGGAACCATCCGGAACCATTTTCTGCTCACACTCATCACGTAGAAATAGGCCCACATGGGCCACATGGGTCAAGGTTAACTTCACCTCATTGGACAACATCAATGGGCAGCCATGGCCAAGCGCAAGATGGGGAGCAACATTGACACAGACAACTGCTGGAGCATTGCTTTGGGGCGGGTGGAGCCGTGCCTATCCTGCAAAGTGACAGTGGGTAGCAGGTGACCGAGGTGTGGACTGGGATGTTGTCAACGGATGTCAACGGATGTCAACGGATGTCAACGGGAGTTGGGTCACGAGGTTCGGATTGCAAAGCTTGCAGCTGGAAGAAACGCCCATTTTGCCAGTATCCATCCGCGTCCATGTTCGCATCCCTGATTTTGTACATTTTGTGCTTTTGGTCTGGGGCCTGGATTCGGACACATCCTTTGTCCCTAGCATCCAAGCCTGCCAAGGAGAAAACAATGCAAATGCCTGGATACTGCAGTTTCGCGAGTCATGCCCTGACTGGAAGCAGTTGCCTGTGGTGGAGGGTCCATCGCCCACAGCATTTCATACCGCAACAGGCTGGATGCCAAAGCCCTCGTTGAAACCGACCTAATTTGCCCCACAAATGCGGGGCAGGGCAGGGCAGGGCTCCTTAATCGAGCCTTTGCCATATCTCGAGGAGTCAACTAGTATAGAGAGAGAGAACGAGAGAATCAAGGAGCAATTCTTCAATGAGGCCAGGAAAAGAGGGAGCTTTTTCGGGTGTTTTAGGTGGCAGACATATGCCTAATGAAGCGGCATGATCCTGAGAGATTCTGAGAGCCAACCCGGTCGAGTCCCAGTCTAGAAGCGTGTGCTAAAAAAACCGTTCAGTCATTGAAAACAGCAAACGAAGTGCCGCAATTTTGATCAATTTTGGCCCTGCAGGCTTGCCTGATGGAAAGCGTGTGGCTGTCGTGGGCGGGCTTGGAGATGGCAGTTCACATGATGGAGTGTCTTGAGTCTTGAGCGATCACAAAGGGAGAAAATGTGGGTAGATGATGGTAAATGTAAACTTTCAATGATTCCTGTAATGCTCTTCCAGCACTGATAAGCAGTGATTTTTTCTTGGCCATGACGTTCACTCACGTACTTGTATCTAACGTTTGGAGTAGTATAGACGGGTTTGCACGGCACAAAGGTACCGACTCCTTGGACAAAGCTCTTCCTTGTTGTATGGTTCTAGCACGATAGGCGTCCCACTGGTGGCCCCGCAAAATGTTGCTTCACTAACAGCGGTTTTCTTGCATTGTCCCAACCAAGAGATATCTCAGTCGGCAGACAGTAGGAATATATGTGCATATATATATATATACATATAGATAGATTAGATTAGATTAGATTAGATTAGATTATATAGATTGGATCAGATCAGATCAGATTAGATTAGATTAGATTATTTAGATTAGATTATATTATATTAGATTAGATATGATTAGATATGATTAGATTAGATTAGATTAGATTAGATAGGTAGATAGATAGAATGAATATGTATGAAGGTGATTGAATATGTGCACCCACAGGTGTCGTGGTCCAAGACTGGGATGCCTTGAGGTTTGGGCCTTTCAGTCTGACACCGGAGGATGGCAGAAGCTCTGCGAGGGCGGTCCTGCACCAGCAGGTCACGTCGCTGCGGTGGATCACGACTCCCAGCGCTTGCTGCTTTGCTTCAGCGTCAACCGATCTCCGCCAGGAACCTAGGGACGTCCACAGACCATTTGGACCATTTTTGGACATGGTGACATGACAAAAGAAATATCATGAATCATCAGATGGTTGATCCAGCTACTGTCACACATTGTCACACTGCTTTGCTGGTGAAACTGCGTGCTTAGCTCAAAGCTGGCAAACATGATGGCCTGCCGCCAAGGGACTCGCTGAATGGGGATAGCTTCCTTGAGACCATGAATGTTCTGGACTTGCGCACGGGCCGATGGGACAACCCATGGAAGGATAGGGAGCAAGTTTGCAAGCCTGGCGCCCGTCGGAATCCAGCAGGTGTGACTCTTGGCCGTCACTTCATCATCTCCGGTGGTTACAGTGAAGAACAGTTTGCCACCCTCGGCGACACGTGGGCCTTTGACATGAGAAGGGGTACCTTGCCTTCTACTAGGCCAAATGTTTGTGGTTTTATGATGTATCAGTTTCACATAGTTTCATGCTTTTTTTTGATCTTCCAAGTTCTTTGCAACATTTTGGCACCATTCTCATTCGTTTCCGATTTTTTGTGCTGCACATCGCCTGAGGCACCTGGAAACTGATCGACTACAAAGGTGCACCACAAGTAGAAGGCCACAAAGCCATTGCCAGTGGTTTGGACATCTTCACCTTCGGTGGGCACAAGTTGCTGGGGAGGTTCGAGGGACAAGACGTGGCAGTGCACAAGTTGCTAGGCCATGCTAGGCCTCTTTTAGGCCTGTTGTTGTCTTGTAGTGAATCGGGCATGTTTCTTTCAACATATTTGACCTTAGTCTTCTCAGTCTTCTTATTTGCTGCTAGTTGGGGGGTCCAGTTGAAGATACGGGAACTCTTCAAGTCTTTGTTTGCATGATTGCAGTGCTTGTTTCTTGTTTCTGTGTTCTTGTTGCTAATCTCATGAGTCATGAGCCCACAACCAGAAACATCATGGATCTTGGCCTAACACTCAAAGGCTGGAGATTGGCCAGAAGAAGGCAGCATCGGATTTGGCGTTGTCAACCAGCGATAGCGATGACATACTCGACGTGAGGTCCTTCCTGGACTAGTCATGCGTGGCTGTCCGAGCTGATGATCATCAAACTGGGTGTGAAGAGAAAGAGAGAAAGAGAGAGAGAGAGAGGGAGTTGTCTTGAAGATTGTTGGATTTTGGAGTGGTGTTGTCACATCAATCCTAGCCCAAGTGAAACTCTCGGTGTTGAACAGCGAGCATTAGCCATGGTGAGTCTCTAAATTTGGAGACATGCAGCTGTGTAGCTTTGTAGCACATGGTGTGAGCGCCTCCTGCCAAGCAAAGACTTGGGCAAAAGTCCCTTAGAAAATAAAGGTTCCGACAGGTTCGATATCTTTAGGGGTCATTTGGTACTCGTATGTGGCACTTGGGATGCCAAGTGCAGCTGAGGTGAACAGAGAGACCTCGCCAGCCACCCAGAAATAGTGTGATGATGCTATATGGATTATATGGCATTGATTTGAATTCAAATCATTGATGTATTGATTTGAATTTAGCATCATTTGGCCCACCTGGAGTTCATGGGCGTTTTTTTTTCTCCCTCATTTACCCCAAGCTGGGTGCCTTTGCTCAAAAAACGAGAGTTGGCTGTCACGGCCGCCCAGAACGATCGCCTGGCCATGTCGGCGGAATATCGATCATGGGTGGCAGCCTTAATCATGCCACATGCCCATCCACTGCTGGAATTCCTCTACCAATCACATCGCTGGGCGCAGATGGACAGCCCTTTTAGGGGTGGCTATGGATGGCCATTGGCACATGACATAACATAACCAATACATCACCAATACATAACCAATACATGAAACACGAGAAGCACTCTGTACTGAGGTCACCGGGGTGGACCTGAAGTTGGGGCACCAAGGATCAACTCCAAAGAATCCTTGGCGATTGATTTGGGATATCTTGAGATATTCACTTGGTATCACTTGGTAATATGTGGTCTGTTGATTCGTTACCTTCTCCTCAGTCTGCTGGTATTTGGTTGTTGAGGTCTGGTGAGGCATGGCATCAACGCTGTTGTTTGCGTTGGAATCTAGCCATATTTGAGCCGTCTCGGAGGATGTTGCCATCCAATGTCCGGAACCTTCATCAGTCCATTGACGCACAGTTTAAAAGAATTTATCACCTTGCCTTGGAGGCACTGCCCAGCTTCACGGATGTTTGGGTTGAGCTGGAGCTGAATAAGCCTTCCACTCAGGAAAAACATATCCTGGCATCATCTGGCATTCGATGGAAAACCATGGAAAAGTTGCTTAAAGCCGCTGTAAACTAAGGGGTCACAAACAAAAGACACAGGGTGAAGTTGGTGGTACCGCGGTACCAGTATGAAGCACCTGCAACACATTCTGGAAGTGCATAAGATGTTAAGACACTAACTTGTTAACTGGGATCTTGGTATGTCCCGCACGCATTGAGGCGTCCGAGTACTCCAAAAGGACAGTCGCCCAGCCCTGCATCCCTGAAGAGTTGACGCCATCAAAGCTCGCTGGTGCTGAGTTGAAGTCACAGAGGGTTGAATTGCGGACATCATGTAGTCATGATGTCTACTTGGCTTTGGAGTGGGCACAGTGCTGGGTGCTTATGTTGCAGATGATCCAACGGATCGCACTTCAGGTTTACATAAACGTATGTTATTGTATGTTGGGACGTTTGGATGGCGGGCCGCTGTCAGCCATTGCAACTAGGAGAGGGAGAATGGCAACAAACCCAGTCCCAAGAGTGGTTGGCATCTCAACTTGTTTCCGTCTTGATGGACTATGGAGGGCTTGGGTGGCTTTCCATTACCTTGCTGATTGTCAAAGGTTTTGCTGCCCCTGCCCGCCACTGGGGCTTCGACAAAAAATTACCCGCCATATGACCTACACACACACACACACGCACATGTATATAATTAATTATAATTATAGTGAATTATATATTAATATATTTATTTGTTTATTTATTTATTTATACGATTTACTTTGCGCCGCTAAGGGAACAACCGGAAAAAAGGGAAGACTGGGGACCACGACGAAGGTGGCAAAGCAGGCAGCCAGGAATTTTCGAGTTTTGCTGAACTGGCTCAGGCTAGATTGACATAACTTTGAGATAAGATAATCCAGTTGGTTCAGTGGTGTTCCTGGTATTTCCTGGTGGGTCTTGCAACACCTTTTTGGCTGAGTCTTTGTAGTCAATAAGTTTGGTTGTTCGGACTTCATGGTTTTCCCCATCGTCGGTCCTTATAGCTCACAACAGCCTGGAAGGTGGCACAATACGCGGCAGGCACGGCTGGATGGGTTTCTAGTTGATCCAATCAGAAAACTATAATAGAAAAGTGCTGAGCCCTAGGGTTTGATTGTTGTCCAGGAATTCTCGCGAGAGTTTACTCCTACGTTGGGAGGATCTTCTTGCATTCAACCAATAGTTTGCAACCGCTTGGTTGCACGTTCCTCCGTAGATCCTTTCAAGTTTCCAGCTGTAGAAGAGGAATGAAACAGCTAATTAATTAGGCCTTCAACAGTCACCCGACATCCTTTGAGAAGCCCTGGCAAAAAAAAACACCCGGCATCACCTGGCAAATCTCAGGGAGAAAGCTGGAAAGATGGTGAGCACAAGGCGTACTGCAAGAATCCGATCCGGTGACATTGTTGAAGATTTATTGTGCAATATTTTGCGATTCAGCCTGGCTCCATTGGCTGACCATAGCGCATAGCAACGCGTGCAACGCAGGAGGCCCGCATCATTCTGGCGCCTGCAGCCGGCAGACCTGTTTTGAAAGAGGTCAGTCGGGCTGGTCTCGCGTCGCCACCTCAGAGGTTTTCCAAATGGGTATGGATCAATACCTATTAATTAATACCATTTTTAGGGGGATGAACATCCATTTACCAGCTATTTTGATGTTCACCAGGGGGACAGGGTTTTGACACACTTCCAAATGACACCGTTTGTGGTTTGATGATTTTGATGCGAGTCACGATAGTCACCGATAGTCACTGCTCATTGACAGATGCGTGGCCTCGGGTGGCAATGGCACCATATGGCACCTGGGAGCCAGTACTTGCCTCACCACGAGGCTGAAACCTGCGCCGACCGCAGACCCATTGGCTGACTTTGCAGCAGAGGCCTGGGCTGCGCGTTACAGCATGGAAGTGAAACTTGGTGACAAATTGATCAGACATGCTGTTCACTTTTACTGCTGACGTCAGCCATGGAGGTAGGGCCAGATATTAAGAGATCAAGCGGCCAGTTTTTCAAATCAAACGGCGTTTGTTTTGCCACTGCCTCATCGCAGGGGAGCGTCACCTACCTCAGAGAGAGGGACGCAGTTGTCCACGACGGAAGGCTATTTGCTGAGGGCTTCTGTAAGGGGCCAGAAGGCTCACGTCAAAAGTTTCCACACAAGCCCATGTCGATGTCTGAGTGCAGTGGAGTCTCTGTCCGCCAACACCCCATGTCAAGCTGACCCTGGCTGAACGCACCATGTTATTTCAGTGCTGCCGGGCGCAAGGATTTGTCAAGATGCCTGAAACACCTCCGCAATTCAACGCCTGGGTATGCCTGGGTCATCCTGGGTCCTTGATGGTCCTTGTTTCCAATGAGAAATGCTCCCATCACCGTCCATCACCCGTCACATGGCCTAAGAAATTGGGGCCATTGCCAGGCACCATCGACATGATCGGCCTGTGAGCCCTGATCGCTTGGACCTTGACTCTGCCACATCATGTCACTGATGAGATACTGATGGATTCAGACAGCCCTGAAGTTAATAGGGTGAACCACCTAGCTGTTCCTAGCTGCCAAACCTATTGACATCAGCGGTTTCTGAGGGAAAGGGATATCAGTGTTGTCACTTTATTATGGACACCTGGATAATTACACCTGTTCCTTTGAGCCCATGCGCCATCCTGGAGGACCGTAGACCATGAGCAGTTGGCACCTTAAGTATCCTAAGTAATAGAAAGATATGGGAAGATATTGTTGCCAAACTGTTGCAAATCTCCGCAGGCTTTGCAGGCCCATAGCTTCCATTCCTGGACATGCCTAGATAGTGAAGGCCTGGAGAGAATGGCATTCCGTGCCGATGTCATAGGGCATCTTGGCTCCAGTCCTGCCAGTACTCAGCGGCCATCAGTTGCATTCCATTACATTCCAGATCATTCCAGATCGTTCCATTCCAGATCGTTGGATGTTAAAGCAGGTCCCTGACTGTGCTGACTCGTCCCAAACGGCCGAGGTTTGATCACGACTCCCTGTTGGGCCCCGTCTTGTTTCAAATTCGCATCTCCTCGGAGACAAGGGTTCACTTCACATGGCATCGCTTCAACGCGTTCAAACACTTGGCAGAGTATCTGCGACATCACTTCCCAGAGCTTCCAAGTTTGCAGCCTGCAGGCTGTGCATATATTGGGGATGCTATGGAATGCCATGGAATGCCATGAGTGTGATAGGTTGAGAGAAAATGACTCAAGGAAATGATGCGGACGCCTGACCAAAAATATCAAAAATGTGTTCACCCGGTTGCGTCCCACAGATGATGATGACAATGGACCATGGATTGAAATGGAGAAACATGGTAAATAAATAAATATAAATATATATATATGTGTAAAGGTAAAGGTACTCAGACTATCCTGAACTCAGATTCTTGTGGGATGTCCAGGGAACTAAGCCCCGCGCCACTACGATCCCCTCGGTGTTGCCGGACATCGATGAAAATCGGTGCAGGCCATGTGTGGGAGAGAGCTGTGCGGGTGGTGAACTACTCGGCTTTCCTCAAGGAGCGGCAGCAAACCTTGACCGCCTTCCTGTATGCAGCGCTGACGATGGATCCAAAAGTGGAGGACCGGGATGAACTTAGTCTGGAGCTTTGCAATAGATGTTCAGTTGTTTTGCTCATGATCTGGCCATGGAAGCTTTGTGGATGATGCACATGCAAATGCAAATGAACATGATCATGATCATGATCATGATCATGATGATCCCGGCGGAAGGGAAACCGCGCGAGCGTTTTGATTGGTTGCTTCCAGGAGAGTCACAATCACCTGTAATTTACAATATAAAATGCTCTTCCGCTCAGTTTGGATAACTGAATTTGGGTTAAAAAAAGTGGATGCAAAACTCATTGATTTTTAACAAATCCAGGTAAACATCATGTGCATCAGACGTAGTAAACGATCCCAGAGATCTCAGCAGCGTAGCAACATGTCACGTAGTAAACGATCCCAGAGATCTCAGCAGCGTAGCAACATGTAACGTAGTAAAAGATCCCAGAGATCTCAGCAGCGTAGCAACCTGTAACGTAGTAAAAGATCCCAGAGACCTCAGCAGCGTAGCAACATGTCACGTAGTAAGAAAGTCCCAAGGATCTCAGCAGCGTAGCAACATGTAACGTAGGAAACTATCTCAGAGATACCAGCAGCGTAGCAACATGTAACGTAGTAAAGGATCCCAGAGATCTTAGCAACATCGCAATATATCCTGTACGAAGTACGAGGAACGTTAACATGCCCCCCCTCCCCACCCCACCCCAACCCCAACCCACACTAACACGGCAATATATCCTGTACGAAGTACGAGGAACGTTAACATGCCCCCCCACCCCACCCCACCCCGACCCCAACCCACACTAGAGATCTCAGCAGCGTAGCAACACGTAACGTAGTAAAAGATCCCAGAGATCTTAGCAACATGGCAATATATCATGTACGAAGTACAAGGAACGTTAACATGCCCCCCCACCCCACCCCACCCCACCCCAACCCCAAGACAAAGAGCAATACTCAAAAAAGAAGCAAAACGCACGTACGGTTTTCCTGCCGTAGGCATGATGATGATGATGATGATGATGATGGTGATGGTGATGGTGATGGTGATGGTGGTGGTGATGATGATGATGATGATGATGATGCTGATGCTGATGCTGATGCTGATGCTGCTGATGCTGATGCCGATGCCGGTAATCAGTCTTCCAAGTCTTGCAACCCCGTCCCCTTCTCTTTAACATCTTTAACGTGGTTTACATGTGGGATATACTTTGCCCAAGGGTTGGAGATGGATGGAGTGCAAGCAGAGTTGCTGTGCTTTTGCGAGGATGTTCTTCTCAGAGAGTTTTTGAACATTCCCCGGGAGCCCGACTTGACGAGGAAAGGCCCATTTGGCGCTTGGAACATGTTGGCATGACCTAGGAGACCTGCCATATCCTGCTAGCCTGAGATGGCGATCTGGTTGGCTGTGATCATGTCTGATCTCTATTCAAACTGCCCAGGACAGCCACGGAGGAGATCCGCACAGAGGCCATCTCAGGGCGCCCGCGGAAGTGCTCCAGTGCTGACCCCCGGCTGCACATGGCTCGATGTGGCTGGATTAGAGTAGTTGATAAATGTTGATAACTCATGAGCAATTCATGCTAGGCAGTATATATTCATGGTAATTCCAACCAGCATCCACAAACATTCCTCCAACATCTGACAATTCCATACAATTCCATCCAATTCCACCAACATGCTCCAACAAGCGATTCTGTTCATTTTTGTCACGGCGAAAGTGCAGTAGTCATGTAAGTCACCAGTCGAGAGCAAAGTACCATTGAGTCCAGGCATGACCGTCGGCAGTTTTCCATGCGCAATATCGCAAGATGGAAACATATTTTTTCTGAGTTCCCTTGATGTTGCTGCAGTTGCCTCAGGACAAATTCGTTGAATCACATCGAGATAGACAGAGATTTTCCACTGGAGGTTGGATGGGAGGTGATGCAGCGCCTCAAGTCATGGAGCAGTAATGGTCATGCTGAGGGATGTTGCAGACACAAGTAGTGATGGCAATGAAAGCTGCAAGATTCCAGACCTGTTTTGTGGGAGCCTTGTTAGAGCCGAACACAAGATGCAAGAATGAATGCTCTCATCGTGTTGGGCCAAGTTCAACTCCTTTCTTGTCACTATATATTTTCACTATTGACTTGATGCAAACATGCAACTCATTGCAACTCTCACTTTCGAAGGAGATTTTCGGATCGACAGTGAGCTTGACTTTGACTCAAGTGACTTGTTTTGCAAGGCCGTGATATGACGGGCGTCCTACACTCACACTTGGACCTAAAGGAGGAACAACACGCACAAACTATCTATATAGAATCTAGACTTTGTCATGACGTGAGTTCCTGAGGCCCCCGCTGCCAGCGCTGCTTGTCCATGCCGGTGGTGATCCCAGGAAAAGAGAAGGACTTTCCACAGCGAAGTGCGGAAGTGTACATCTCGGACGTCCCAAGGGTCAGCATTGCTGACTAGACAATCCGCATGGATCCACAAACGTTCAGCCCCCTTCCCTCCTCTGTCTCTCTCCTCTTCATCCTCATCCCCTCCTCCTGCTCCTCGTCCTCCTTCTGTTATTCATGAATCACAAGGCGCAATGATCATGATTCATGATATATTATGATATATTCATCGGCTTCATGATGTTCATTCTGTGCAAAATAATCATACGCGTTACGCTCATCATAACTCAAAATTTTAAAGTTTACAGTTTACAATGCCCATGGCATTCATTTGAATCATTTCATTTGATGTCATGACATGTTGCTTGCTTTGCTTTGCTTTGTTTTTTAGTTTTGTGCCATTCAATTTACTGTAAGCTAATTTGATTTCATGTAATTATAGTATATAGTGTCATTTCATGTCATCGTCAGCGTCATCGTCATCGTCATCGTCCTCCTCATCATCATCATCTTCTTCATCATCATCATCATCCCTGGTTGTTGCGTGTACTAATAGTTTCAATGATCTCAGTCTGTCAGGAGGCCGAAAGGCTGTCGGAGACGGAGAGTGTGAGGTTCAATGACTGCGCGGTCAGTGGACTTAGTTTTCCTGCATTCAGCATCCACTGAAAATGCGAAGGCCTGTCAGAAGGTTCAACTTTCAAGATTTTCTAGTTGCACGAACGGCATTGAGGCTGCTTCATATCCAAGCCTTCTTGAAACTTCAACCAGATCGCACTGTATCAGAAGCAAGCCAAGGTCGTCATAGCTAGAGACGTTGCCCGTGTATTTCCATCGCATGCCCGGATCCAGCAAGTGCGACTCGAGATTGCTGAAGTTTTGCGCAGCTATGCTCGGCAGGCCGGTTTCAGTCACTTTATTTCATTATTCCGAAAGCCACAGTCCATCACAGTCCCAAGATATCAAGAATTAGGGCGGAGAACAAGTGAGGAGCAAACCTAGAGCAAGGAGCTGAGGAACAGCGATTAATTCCTTAGCGATCTTAGGGAAGGCGATAGAAAGGAGATTATCTGGCGAGATTGCCTAGTCGTGATCGCACATATGTTTGCCCGCCGTCTCTGCATCAGGATCCAGACCTGGGCTATACCCAAGGCATGTGCTTCGCAGCTGGGGTGGTGTGTTTGGGGCCTGGTGATCTAGAGGAAAAACAGCAGCGTTTCTGCAAGCTGATGGGCGATTTACGTCCCTTGGCCGATGTTGATCGGCTATTCTGTGGCAGCACAGTGGACACTTCCATGGTGGCCATTGGCAGCCCCAGTGGTAGCATTGGTAGCCGGATTTAGCTGGCAAATCTCGGCGGTGCTCTGAACATCTCTGAGCCACTTGAGGCGATTTGTGGTTGCCGGGCTTTCCTTTCGTTCAGCAGGGAGTGCCTGCGCTGGAGTCGATGCTGGCAGCCAAAGATCCAGAGCTCTTGCACCACCTCTACCACACAGTGAAACTGGATCCTCGGGCTGCGAATGCTTGGAAGATGATGGCTGAAACCAGTAGGTTCAGTGGATAAACCCACTCAACATCACTCAACCAGAATGACTTCTTTAGACTTTGCTGAAGCCTGCTAGGGTTGCAAACCAGCACCCAGAGATAGAGAGAGAGGGAGGAATCCAAACACTGTTATCATGCCTAAACTCTATCGACAAGCTTCATGTTCCGTCATTTGTTTGAGGACTTGGACATGGTGGTTCCTGGTGCATGGCTATCTATGTTCGGCAAATGGCTTCCCGTGACTCGGCTGGAAGCGGCGTGTGGTCCGGGTGTTCTCCCCAGCCTCCGACCTGAAGCGGATTCTGATGGATTCTGGTTGAGGTCGATGTCCTTGTGGAGCTGGTGCCCTTTCTTCAAGAGCAAGGCCTTGCTGGTTTTGTGCCATAGCTGCCTATAGCTGTGATGGAGGATAGTTTTGAATACTTTGAGGGAATTATTTGCGTACTATTTTTGAATATGTGTGCATTGCGCAAATATGCGCAAGTAAACGTGTTCATGTATATGTATGCATATGTACATCCATATTTGTATGTTGATTTTCTATGATTTTATGTCATGGCCAGGATGTGTATATATATATATACATATGCGTGTGTATAAATATATGGTGTATCTATATATATATATATAATATTTAAAAAAAAAAAAACAACATGCGCGTATGCAGAAACCACCCCAGACGGGCGAGTTGTTGCCTTTTGACCTCCAAGACATCTTGTTTTTTCTTTGGTTCAAGATTCGACCTGCAGAATCACCTCAACCCTGCCTCAACCAATTTCATGAAAATGGAAACTGCAGAGATCTGCAGAGGGTTTGAAAAGACGTGGTGTGGTCGAACCAACTTTGAGGCAGGGCAGTTTGTCAGATCCTTGCATCCAGCGGTTTGTCTAGTAAGTCTAGTATGTTTTTATAGGAGGCCACCTTCACTGCTTTCGCTTTGAGACTTAGGTGGTGGTCACATTTTTGGTGTTGCTGGCTCATCGCAGCAAGCTATTGGATTCTTGTTGGCAGTTCATGGCCATTTGAAAGTCCTCATGGACGTATGTTTCCCACACCACCAGCATCCACCAGTGGCCCTCTCCATGGCATACCACCTCCCCAAATTTGGCCGAAACCCAGGCAGCACGAAGTCTCGAGGAAGTGTTGCCATGCATCAATGGTTTGTCCAATGAGCCTGCTCCTGAAAAACTCCTCCATATTTGTGAGGTATCGATGTCACAGCTTCGGGCTGGCAGAGATTCGATGTCTTGGATTGCAGCAATGTAGGCGTACTTGTAGGTCATTCTCCCATTTTGACATGTGCACGGTTCAAACATGTTGAAACAGTACCGCAGTATCACTGGTATTCTGATTCAATGACATGGGTTTTCGATGATTTTCAACTATTTAATGCCGGAATCGACAGGTCTGATAGGATTGTGAGGTTTTCGCCACAGCTACGTCCCAAAGGGACTGAGGTCGGAATGTGGTGGGAAACTTCCAGTAATTCGCATCCCCTTTTGCGCCCGTGGGACTCGCATTGTAAGAAAGCTGGCAGGTGACATGATGACAAGTGATCCCACAGGTCATAGGGTCTGAGGTGCAGTTGCTGTACAGTGCACTCAGGGCTCCTGATTAGTAGTGAAACGGTGAAACGCCAAGCTTGAAGGCCTCCCCAGCAGAACGGGGGCACGCACAGGGCGAAGGCACTATCCAAAAAAGTTCCAAAAACATAGGCCAGCCTTGGTTTCTCATTGGTTTTTCTCCATTGGTCAATGCATCTCTAGATAATCCTGGATATCTGTTTGACAATGTTTGACACATTTTGATACCAGGTCATGCAACACAGTTCTTCAGCTGTCGACATACTCCCAACATCTCCCAACCACATCAGGGTCAGTGGATTTGGGCAGCTGCTTGAGGCCCTCCTCGTCACAAGGCACATTTGGCACCTGCAAACAGTTACTACTATGATCAATTTCAGAGCAAGGGGCCCCAGAGGTTGGAGATGGTCGGACAGCCAGACCAGTGGCCTGGCAGTTATCGCCAGCAAGGTCAACATGCCCTGTCTCGAAAGAAATCCGAAAAACACGAACATTGATGTACAAAATGTACAAAATGCATTATTAATAAATTAGACCTTGGCCGATTTGTTGATAGCTTTTGGTTTCGGTCAGACACCACATGGAGTGCGACGTGCCCAACACAAGTTTGGCATGTCCATGTTTCCACGAAAATGCAGAAACAGACCCCACTGCAGTCACTTCCACGCAGGCTCCTAGCCAAATGGCTTTTGCCTCTAGGAGTAGCATTTGGGATCATTTGATATCATTTGGGCATTTGGGGATAGCACATGATATCGCTCCGGTGGTCAAAAGCAGACCCAAGCACAACAGTGTCCTGCAGGTCTGCGAATCTTTGATGATTGCCTCCAGGCAGCGAGAGCACCTAATCCCTTCTTGGCACGCCACGCACGATTTTTACATATCTGTACTACATGATTTTGCTAGTTCGTAAGGTACTATTTACTTCAGATGGAGATAGATATACGTCGGGGATCAGGTTTGCCCTTATTGAACCTTACTATATATATATATTCTTATATTGGTGGCCGCTGCACCTCTGTGAGGACATGTGCAATAGAGGATTGAAGACAGATCTTCCTATCCGCGCATCAGTGACTTGTCTTCGAGGTCTTTGCGATTCAACCTGGAATCCTTGGTTGTAGAGGTAATCTCCAGCTTTCACATATTTGCACATCATGTTGATCATATTTCGCATTCTGAGAATTTCTGACCTAGGATCGCCCATAGTTTCTGGGTGATAGTTTCTGGGTGAAGTTTCCTGTGGACCACAGGTGCTATTTGAATCTGTTTGAATCATGATCTTCCTTTGAGCCTTGAGATGAACAGCTCAGGTGTTCTTGGATGAAATGTATCAGAGGTGCTGCAGTCCAGCAGGGTCGTTGAGGTAGAGCGTATACTGTGTAGGGCTGTATAGGGTAAATTTTCCAATCACCATACTTACTTCTTTATCGGTCTTGATCCTCTTTTGTAGTGCTTTAGTTGTTTGGAGAAGAGCTCTTGAAATTGTATGAGATTGTGGGGTTGTTTTTGTTTTGATTACAGGGGGTGGACAGCATCAACGTGACATGGCAGGGACAGTCACTTTCGGATGTGTGATACGCAGCTTGGCTTTGCAAGACTGCTGTGTAGGACCACTTGGTAGGTCCTCAGGCCAAGACATATGTCAACACTATGTCAATATATGTCAATACTTTTTTGGGGAATCGTCCCTTGTAATTGATCAGGGGTCGACACGATTCAATTCAAGCCCACCTGTTGTGATAAACTCCAAGCATTTAGGACAGCTGTCAAGACTGTTGCTCTGCATTCGTGAGAACGTTTAAACGTGGGCCTTTGGACTTTGGACTTTTATTCATCTTGAAACTGTGACTTTGAAACATGAACTGTGGCTGCTGTTTAGTTTTTCTTGCCTTTCAGACGTTCAAACAAGTTGCGGGCTTTTAGAAGTGCCGTTCTGGGTTGACTTCACAACTTGAGGCCTTTCAGAGACTTTTCAGAACTCCTTGACGTTGGAAGCTTGAGGATTTCCATCGTGTGAAAAATAGGATGACACCACTACGATGATTCGGATGTGGATGCTATGGTGATGAAGAACCGGGCAACGCTGTCATGGCTGGGTATAGGTGAACGTGCCCATGCCCATCTTGAGGCAGCAGAGAAGGAAGGATTGGTAAAGGCAACCCTGGCGCAGAGTGACAGGGTTAGTTCCATCGATTCGGTCGGATTGTGCAGGTCTACCATGGTCAACCATTGATGGTGAGATATGGCCAGATATGGCCAGATATGGTGAGCTGGGCCAGGTCAACAGAAGCGGCTCACAAGAGTACATTTCGAAGGCCCAGGTCTCAGAAAGATGTGATCGGCACGAATGTTCCGCTCCAAAAATGGGAATGAGGAACGGAGGAACGTTTGTGTGTTTTCCCCAGCTAAGACACGGGGGGTGTTCCTAGCCGTTGTGACTCCACACTGTTTGGAAGGTGTTTCCAGAACGTTCAAAAACAGATGAGCTTGTTGAGTGGCCGAACGCCTTGAGCCTGCCTTTTTCGGAGACATGTGTGCCATTGGCTCATGGCCTTCAAACGCCATAATTACTTTTACATATTAATGATTATTAATGTATATAGATATATATACACACACGTACATTTCATATATGTCTATAATTACAAGTGTTGGTCGCACCGACGGTACTTGACTGCCCGCTCCATTCCGTCCAGCCCTTTTGGCTGCATTCGTTTACAAACTTGGCCCAACAGAATTTACATACCCAGAGCCTGATGGGAGACCCCAAACCCGACAGGAAGATGATGATTATGTAATGCACCACAATCATAGCATATCATAGCACTTGTTGCAAAATACCTGGTACAGGTGGTCTCGGTTCGCCATATGCCCATCTCCATAAGCATCTACCAAGTTCCTGCCATCAGAAAAGTGCTTGTTGACACTTCCTCACACTGATTGCAGCCTGAAATGTTGTGAAGAATAGGATGTTACAGTAATATACAGTAATCATCATTAGTCACCTCCTTGTTGAATGTGAATCAATCTTAAATCATGTTTATATAATCATCAGCAATCAGCCATGAAGCCCTCGCCTAAAGGTCTACTGTTCCATGTTTGCACCATGGCCTGGTAGCTCGATGAGGTGGAAAATCATGCTGGTTTCGGCATCACCGGCGGTTTCCAATGCCAACTCTGCCAAAGCACAGAATGACTAGGAAATACTGAGAAGATCTGAGAAGTGTCAAAACCTACTCCAGTAGGTGGTGCTGTTTTTTGATAAATTCTTTGATTCAAATGTAGATACATAGTATGTCTATGTGCGGGGGCATGCGGGGGCATGCGGGGGCATATGTTGTGTGGAGCAAGAAAGCGATCCACAGAACAATCACTTACAACTCAAATGTCATGGTTGACTATGGTTGGATACTTCATGATACTTCGATTACTACATTGGTCCCACCTTCCAGCCGCAAATTCTGAAACACCCTCCTAACTCTGTCAGGTCCGATGCCCGGTGGGCCAAATCCAGTGGAGCAACTGGCATCATTAGCTGCTCACGAGGCGCCTGTGAAACTTCATCGGCCAATGCTGGCATGTTGAGCCCCTTCACCTCACAGGACCTTCGCCGTCTCATTGGTTCCAGTGCTGCAGATGAATTACTCCAAGCGGTACAAGACCTTGGTGGCGCGGCTGAATCAGAAGTCTCTTGAGTGATGCTGCAGAATGTCAGCCGCAGCATGTAGAATGTCAGATTCATCTGGCACAAGAAACGACGATGCTTGCTGCTTGCTTTCACAGACTTCCTTTGATGCTCATTTAGCCATCTATGAGCGCCAGGCCAATCCCCTGACCTCACAGAAGCTGCATACTCCCTGGTGAAACAGACCATCACACTGGCTGTGGGCGATGCCACTGGGACTTGTCATCCCATGTCCGCCTTATCCGTATTTGAGTTTATACGAACCTATGATAGTCTATGTAAAGTCTAATGAAAATCTATTATGTGAATTCATGTCAATTATTTCTGGACGCAGGGCCTCACAGCGTTTCACACATCGCCACTTCGTCACAGCCAATCCACCAAGGCGGCTGTGTGCCGGATCGACCTACCTGAGATCTACTGGGACTTAGAATACATCATGATACAGGCCCCCCTTGGGGTCGAGAACCTCACCTTTGCCCAGTCTCGGGCCAGGAAGCGTACTCCAATGATTTCAAACATCGATCCATGTTGATCCATTGTTCAGTGAGCCATGTTGATCCATAGCATATCGAACATGGCAGAGAATTCTTTCATGGTGCAAAGCCTGGAGGCTGCAGCCGCTGCTATTGCCTGCGTGGCTGACGGGATTCAAAGAAATCCTTCTGAATGGCACAGCGCTCTAGAGGAGCATCTAATGACATCTATCTATCTATTTATCGATCTATCTATCTTTCTTTCTATCTATTTCTATCTCTATCTATATCTCTATCTTTATCTACATCCACACACTAGACAAGAATGGATCATTATATGATCCGGCAGGAACTGAATCCTGAAACATGCAGATTAGATACGAAACAATGAAATTGACGATGCATCCTACGAATAATAGAAGTACTTCAGCATGGTCATCGGGTCCAGAATCGACATCAAAAAGAATAAATAAACCAGCAATAATATCATCGGCGATGTCTCGGCGAAGATTAGCCAATAAATAACTGTCGGCGACGATGTTGTCGGCGATCATGTAAACAAGATGTTACAAAAATGCTTTCTACGTTCTTGCTCTGAGGAGGGTTCTGATGCAGCTGAACTAAGCGTAAGTGACCAAAATTGATTTCAGATTGCGACAACAGTGCAACAACAGGACAGCTTGTTCAACAGTTCAACCTGAGTTCTGCAGGTACACATCAGGACGTCTCCCGATGCATCACCAGAGAATGTGGGCGTCTTCGTTGGCAGTGATCCCACAGACTCTGTCACTGCCCCCTGCAAATGTGAGAAGATTAGAACAAAAGAAGTTTTACATCTGTTCAGATGTTACACAATATATATATATATATACACATATATATATATACATATATATATATATACATCATGAATTAGGCAGCACGCACAAGGTTGATGGATTGACCTGACAGAGCCTGGGCTTGAATCTAGGGTGAGCCTTGCAAAGCAGCACTTCAAGATATTTTAAAATTGCATCTCTCAAAAACTGCTAGGACTTGAGTTCAAGACTGGACCTTTGCGCTGCTCACATCTTCCTTCGGCTTTGCCACGTCGGGCAAGAGGATCAGCTGGCAGGAGCTGATAGCCGCATGCTGCGGGCGTTTCAAGCCTTGAATTCTGGCTGCAGGGGACGTTTTTGAATGGCTTGCTCGGTGTGTTTCGCAAACAAAATGACTCGCAATCTTTCGCCAATCTTTCGCCATTTCATGATGTCAGGCCTGAGCCTAAGAGAACCAGGAATCACCAGGAACAGGGACATTACTGAAATCCTTCCCTCTGCTATTCCAGCATTTTCATGCAGGGTTGTCTTCTGGTTGTGGAAGGATGGAACTAGTAGACTGTTATTTTCTGTCAACTTAGGTGTTCATGGATTTTAGCAATGCTGAGCCGGACCGTCGGGCAGAAACAGTTGGAACATCCTTCAGTCCTTTCTGACTGGACTGGTGGAGATTTGTTGTGGGCACTTGCCACCCGGCTGGTTTTATCTTTGTCCAGAAATTTCCGGAGTTGCATATGAGGACTCGAAAGACGCCCCAGTCTTTTGGATTTTGTTCAATTTTGAGCTAGTCTAATTGTAAGAAATTGGCCAAGCGTAATCCCGCCCTACTTTTCCGTACTGCCCGTGCAACCCAGACAAGACTACACCTATTTGTGGCATCAACCAATCCAACTGATAGGTTTTTGGTATCGGTGAGTAGGCTACGGAGTTACACAGCTAAGGTCTTGGCCAAGGGAATCTTATCCATCGATGATGACGGATGGTCCACAGATGATGTGGCTTTACCACAGGAGTTACTTGGCGTTTGCACTTTGCCAACAATGGGATGCCTCAGGACTGTCGCGGTTTGGGCACAGCTATAGGATATCCGAAAATGGACTGTCGGATTGGAAAGATATATTGTCAGTTTCACCAGACATGCCCCCAAAAAGACACAGTTGAAAGGCCAGCATCACCTGTTCTGACCTGATCACCTATGCGCTAAGTAGCTAGTTGAAGTTGGAAGGGCTGGGTTCAGCATGGTTCAGCAGCTGGAGCCCTGAGTCTTTGTTTCTACTGCAGGGAAACCGAAGGAGGCTTCCAAAGCTCCTTGCTTTGTTTGAGGCTCCCTCAGCTGCAACGAGCCATTTTGAACGCAGTGCTGCAGCAACTTAGATCCTGTTGGTGCTGAATGGTGGTGCTGGAAGCGTTTACCATTTTTCTATTTACAATACTTTTAGGTGGCTATCAGCATTATTGTGATTTGGAGTAGTCCACTGCTTCTACTGGAGCAGGTTCCTTGAGCTGGTGATGCCGGCAGTATGCAGTCGGTTGAACAAGGAAGCATCTAATTCCAGCAAACAAAGAGGGGCAGTCCCGCACGGCTTGGCCCATGTCTGAGGCTAGTGACCCCATCTGCGGCCTTTTGGGATGAGGCCAGGGCCGAAAGCTCATGCCATGTCCCAAACATCCGAACCAAGTTGTCCACAGCTTCCAGGAGTCTGATGGTGCTGTCCCTTTGGAACAGCGAAACGCTGAGCTGGTCCGTCACAGGGATGGTTTAGCTGAAGCTGCCGTGGCATGACCCTTGGATGCAAAGCCCCCCTACTTCGTAGTCCAGAAACCGGAATCTTGAGAAACAAAGGGATTGTATGTCATGGATTGTCATGGTGTGTCTATCTGTGAAATTCATTTAGCATGGATAGTTGATATTTTGTATGGAGGGCCCATTTTGAGGTACCCCCATTTTTGGAACCACCAGGTAGGCTATGCTAGACTTGCCATCTACTGAATCTATTGAATCACCAGAAACTACTGAACAATTAGCCATGGCATGGTTGCATCATATGTCACTTCAAGCGCCACTATGACCATCACCTTCCTGGATGTGAGCAGAGGCCAGATACAGCCCACCTTGGTACGAGCAACAGGTCGCTTCATGCAAGAAACTTGCCAGCAAATCAGCTGAAGTTTCGACCTTTTCGTTTGAAAAAAGCAGGTTCTGGCAGGGCAGTGACCGAGGAAGACCCCAACCTGCTGCTGCATCTTGTCACTTTCTTGACTTGTTTGCATCATCCAGCTCCGCACTTGCAAGTGAAGCACGTCGAGGCGGGGAAGAACAGCTGTGGAGGTGTTCGCTAGAAAAGCAAAACATGTGAAAACAACCTGGTGAGATGTGAAGAAAGGAGTCATAGCGGCATTTGGTTCGAGCAGTCATAAAACTGTCATCATGCAACTACGCAACACTTTCAGCTATAAGACTGGGGGGTACTTTCAACAGCTCCACCTGGAATCCACCCTAGTTCTGAGTTTGATGATGTTGGGTGCATCTGGGTGCATCATCCGCATCACCTTTCTGGATGTCGCTGCAGGTTTATGGCCTTGCTCATGCTGACACTTCCGCTTCACTGACGCAAAGCTTGCAAGATTTTGACTTGCAGTTGTGGTGCTTCTCTCGGCTTGCACAATGGAAAGTTGGGAGTCCAAAAGGATCAAAAGTCATGTTACAGTAGTGAAGAGATCTTGGTGAGGCAATCATTTCGCAGTGTTTTTCGTTATAGCTATAGGATGCTATAGGACCCGATCCAATGGACTTGCAGCTGCCATTCTTATTGCCGCATCGGCAAAGCCTATGAAAACTGAGGTGTCTATTGGCCAATGCTCCTGCTTTGCTTCCAGTGCCGTTGCACTTTCTGAGGGCTGCAGCTGATCTTGCATTCTTCTCTCCTCCTCCCAGGCCTTGGCGCACAGTGTGGACAGTTGAAGTGGCTTAACATGGCTTAACCATGCCGAATCAAATCCTTGAGTTTTCGTAGCACTTTCGAAGCACTTCTTACCCCAGTCCAAAGCTTTGCAAAACGTTGCAGGCAAGTCTTGTCCGGCTTTATCAGCACAACCTTGGCAACGGTCCCGCCAGGGCACCACCGAATGCTGGCAGCTCTTAGTGTCCCTTGCACTTGACAAAGTTGTGATTTGTTTGTTGAGGAGCTCGTGCTCATTGGGGATGGACCCTGTACATACCCCTTTTTGGATCGTTTGAACAGCGGGACATGGTGCTGTTTGCCAGGTAATTGCTGCCAATGCCCAAGTCACCCCGAGCGAAACTCCACTGGAAGCTGCTCTAGCCAATCTGGAAGAGGCTTGTATCGCTGGGCCTCCTAAGAGACCTGGGAGATTAAAAATGATGAAAGAGTTTTAGAGCAGCTGGCATTCCACAGGCCTTGGTTCCAGAACAGATCCTCAGGTTCAGCGATTGCCACAGGTCGACCGTGAAGCCGTGGCAAGACATTGGCATCTTTGGCGTGGACCGGTGAACTGCGAGAACCATGCAAGCCCTGCGTGGGCTGCTCTATTCGGAGATGATCCTTGTCACAAATATATATTATTTGGATTTTTTGGTATTGGAGAATCACCCGACAATTTGCTTAGAGTATTGCTGCAAAGACATAAAAGTTCAATCAAATGCATATATATATTGTAAATCAAATCAAGTCGTTCATTCTTGCCTGTTAAAAGATCCATTTTTTCTTGGTCAACAGCCATTGTCAGCTTGGAATTGGTGATCCAAGGAAATGACCCCTGTTGTACGCAGCAAAGTTCAGGCCTGGAAGCAGTCGCTGATTGGATGGGTAACAGATCACCATATATCACCATCCATTTGCATCCATTTGTTGTGATCGGTCATGGATATCATGGATCGCTGGCTGTTTGCTGGCTGTCTCATTTATTCACCCCGAATGTCGACATATGTCGACTGGATTTGCAGGCCGAACCTGGGCCACAACCTGCTGGCTTATCCGATACTTGGCATGAAAGATCCATTGGCAACTTCTTCAAGTTGCACGTAAGGCCACAAGGCCATTGCACGTAAGGCCACAAGGGACTCCTCTCTGACTATTTACATGTTGAAAGAATAGTTACTGTATATAATGGCCAAATAGTTGGGTTTGGATTGGAGATTCCATAGCCCAGAATAGCGAGAGAGAGAGAGAGAGAGCAATGGCCAATCCCATGTCGGTTGCTCAGGACCTCATTTTCCATGCGCCAGATCAATTTCGTTGCGCTCTTGATGGCCAACTCATGATGGATCCCGTGCGCACTCCACAGGCTTGGCTACAAGGCTCATGCATGACACGTACAGTACCAGAGGCACCAGGACTTCAATATGGCTAGATAAATGATTATAAATGTATAGCAGGTGTTGGCGGCATGAAGGAAACCCGTTAGGCTACTGCCGGAACGTCTCTCTTGTGGAAGGACGGCATCCAATCATGGACAGCGCCGGTACTGTTTTGTGCAACTTTGCTCGAACACACACACACACACAGACACACATAGATAACACAAATTGGAACTCCCAAAAGTCTCTTCCCTTGTCAGCTTCATCATAGTAATCAGATGTCATCAGCCTCCTTGCAGGGGTTGGTCTTTGAACGATCACGTCTTGTACAACTTCTCGCTGGAGCTGAGGGGAAATGCCCTTGCACTGGTGAGGCGGGGTACTACTCAGAAGGGCTTCGCAGTCGATCTATGGTGGGTACTTCATAATCACGACCTGTGGATCACTCACTCGTTTTTGATGGACATTTTGAATATAGAAGGCTGATGTAGGCTGATGATTGCAAACCTGAAGTGTATTGTGGCTGTTTGTTGCTGTTTGTTGCAGTGTTGGTGTGGACCATTGTGGACTCAGTAGATACCAGTAGCATTCAAGCTCAAAAGAACATGGCGGGTGGTCGCAAAGCACCAATGAATCGATCCCAGCGCAGCGCTGCTGCAACTTGGAGGCATTAAACCGATATTTGGTTTAAAGCCAATACGCATAGGATCCATGTATGCTATATATGGTAACATTTACCATCAATATACCCCAAATGCTAGCATATATACCATACATGGATCCTATGGGATACATTCCAAGTATATTTCAATATCGTTAAATCGTTTTATAGGTTTTAAGATATGATATGTTAAGTATCTTTAAGTGCTGTTCCAAGTGCATGCTATCCATTGCTATCCTCATGAAGGGGACTGGGACGCACCTGCCAACTGGTTCCAGCCGCTTCCAGCCCGTTGAGATTGAGGCAAAGGCTGCGGTTGCACCGGCGGCCACAGTGCCGCGCGAGGAGGCCCTGGAGCGGCTACAGGAGGCCTTCAACGTGTTGCGGCAGACGAAGCAAGGCCAAGGTGCCTGGAATTGACTGCCCATGGGACCACAATGGGACCACAATGGGAACAGAATGGGATCACCGGTTTTTGGCAATTTGTACAGGATATCATAGGATAATCATAGATATAATTAGGATACTGTAAATATCGCATCTTTGATATTCTTAGTGGGGGGTCAAGGATAAGCTATCCCGTTGCATGATCTGATATGGCGGGATGGGTTCCGAAGTTGAGGATCCCAAAACACACTCTCGGGTTGTTGAGCGGTTTTCTTGACTCATACCACTTTTGTGTGTTTTTATCGATGCACGAGTAAGTCAATCGCTCAAGAATCCGTCGCCTTTTTTCGGTCCAAGCACCAACTGGATCGCCTTTGACGTTCATTCGCCCGCCTTCATCCGCTTTCATCCACTTCCGTTCTCTGTCTCATCATGGCCGAAATCCGCGGAACCACCGGCATGCTGAGTCAGGCCGAGCAAGGCTTGAAGCTCTTCGAAGCTCAGGCGGGCCATCTCAACCTAGCAGATGATGATGGGATGTTGATATTTTCATTTTTCCATATGGAACTTGACAATCTCCAACCATTTGGCAAGGGTCAGGGTTGCCACTTTATCCCACCAAAGCAGCCGTGTGAATTGCACAACGTCGGCCCAAGGCTGGCACTGCAGCGGAGTATGACAAGGCGGAGGCTGAGAAGTATAAGGCCAGGGCGGCCAGGGAACATTTCGTCTGCAGATGTGATCCAAGACTTAGCTGTTTAGACTTGTTTGGGAACAATTTTGGGAATAACGTTTCCACTAGGGAGATGCTTCCCGTGTATGGGACATTGTGAGGCTGACGGATCCAGGTGTTGGCATGGTGTGTTTGGAATGTTTTGGGGAGCTGGATGGAGCTGGCTCTTCAACGATGCAGGCCGTGATCGAGGCAAAGATCGTGACCTTGGAGAATGAAGCTGCCTTGCTGACTGGGAAGGACAACAAGAAGGAGCGCGCTGCCAAGGGCAAGGAGGTGGCTGAACTGAAGGCTGGGCAACAATATGTGGATGCCTGCAAGATCGTGAAGGGTTTGGAACCGAAGTTTGGATACTTCGTGACCAAAGAAGCCGTGTTGCCGGATGCTCCAGTTTCCAAGCCAGAAGAAGACGAAACGAAGGTGGTGAGTAGCAAGAAGGAGACCAAGAAGGAGACCAAGAAGGAAAGTGCTGGCCTCAGCCCTGCGGAGACAAAGGAGTTGGAGAGCCTGAAGCAACAAATCATCGAGCGAAAGGCCATCCTTAAGGAGCAAGGCATGAGCGGCGGACAGCAAAACAAGGACGAAGAGATCGTGAAGATGGTGGCTCGTATGAATGAGTTGAAGGAGAAGCAGGAACCAGGCAGCACCAAGAAGGAGAAGGACGGAAAAAAGGACCGGCAGCCCAGCAGTTTGCTGCAAGCAGGAAGTTTATGTTCCAGCTTGACTTGCCATAGCCTGCTTAAAGCTTCATGATTTGCACACTCATTCCGAATCATTCCCAGTGACATTTTGTGATTCAATTTGGTTTTCTTTTTCTCCAGTAGTTGAGCAGAAGCTCCAGATTCTCTTGGGTGCCTGGCCGCCTGGCGCTCAGGACAAGAAGACCCCGCTTAGCGCAGAGGAGCAGAAGGACTTTGCCCAGCTGCAGAATGATATCGAACTGTACAAGGCCAAGTTGCGGAATGAGTTTGGCTACAGCAACAAGGACATCAAGGCTCAGTGGGCTGGCACTTGGGATGGATGGGACAGTGTAGACCCTCTCTGTACCCATTTGTCAGGTAGTATCAGGTAATATCAGGTAGTAAGCCTCTATGTTTGCTATGTTTGCAGGATCTTAAAGCCAGTTGTGTTCCCTTTGCATCGGTTGGGTGACACCACGTTGGGCGAGGCGGATCCAGATTTGAAGGACATGCAAGGCGGCTTTCCAAAAGCGGAGCTGAGGGCTGATGCATTGTGCGGGCGAGCGTGACGGGATGGTTGTAACATGTTGTGAAAATGTGGCTTGCTGTAGGCACATTTGCACGTGTGCAAGACTTTTTTGAAAATTGTCGGCATGATGTGTCACTTTTCATTGGATCTCAAGTCCGTTGGAGCGCGGCCTGCATATTTCAACATTTCTCAAGTAGTGAAGGTGCAGCTATCCTTGCCATATGTGTGATGGATGTCAGCTCTTTCGGTTCCATCTTTGAAACATTTAATGGCGTCATTAGTATTCACTAGTTAGTTCCCATGATGCCCAAGAAAAGTGGGCCTTATTTCCTCAGGTCACTGCAAGTGTGGCCTACCCAAGTAATCACGCTCACTATTCAGACGCAAAAAGGACCCTGCGTACAGGACACTGTGCTGCAGAACTGTGGATCATGAGTGGTAAATCAGATGTGATCAGATGGTGATTTTGCAATTGGCCCATCCCATCCCATTTGATCCCACCCACCTTCCGGCCTTCCGAAGAACCTTCCAGATGCCAGGGAGTGGCCTGGAGGATTGCGCACGAGCAATGGGTGCTGATGCCTTGATGCGCCACCCAGCAGCAGATGTGCGTTGCTGGGCAGCCAAGTGTCTTGCAGAGGTCTTGCGCATCTTCGTGCCATCTCCACCCCTTGAGAAAGAGAGGTGCATTGGGTAGCCACAAGACTGTCGAATAGCAACAGCGTGTCAATAGAGAGAGATAGCCGACATACTTGTAGCACATAGTTTGAGAATGTTTGAGAGATGGAACATGGATCACACTTCGGGAGACTTGGAGGGCAACAAAATCTGGCATTCATTATCATTAAGCAACACATGACAGCACATGACATGGTAACATTATGGCAAGCATTATTTTTGCATGTTGGGATCTTGTTGGATCTTGTTGGATCTTGATGGATCTTGATGGATCTTGGGCAGGATGCAACCAATCCTAGAGCTCTTCTTGGAACAGTTGGCCTTGTTGAAGGACCCCAGTGGCCCCAGTTACACGGACGCCTTCGGCCTCTTGGAGCGTCTCACCGAGATTCGGGGCTTCATGTTGGTCTTCGATTGCCCAGAGCCGGAGAACATCATTGTGTCGTTGGTGAGCACCTGTGTGTCAGCTGCCCGGCCTGGGAAGAATCAGGCCGAGACCTACAACCAGCTGGAGAACCTTATGGCACCATTGCTGACCAACATTCTTGGAGAGGCACCCCGTGCATCCCCGTGCAAAGTTTGAAGCGCAAATGGCTCAAGATCAATGAGACTCAAAATGATGGATTGTTCAGCTGTGGAAGGTACATTGTGCCCGCAAGAGACAATAAATGCGCAAGAGATTTCCAACACTATCCAATGACTCGTGAAGATCAGAATAATTTGGCATGGATCCCAGATTGAATTCTCATGAATCTCCTATGTTCTCCCCATACATGTCATGAGATGTGGTGACCATGGACCAGGCAGATGAGATCCCGAAGAAGGCCCTGGCAGAGCTACTGGAAGAACTCATCATCGATCAGAAGAGAGCAGCCCAAAATGCCACAGGTTTGGTGCGAAGAGTTCTGGCTGGTTTGGCCAGCAAGAGTGCGGCAGCTCCCATCAATGACTATGTGAACAAGGCACTTTTTGCGGATGATGAGCAGAAAGGAGCCAAACAGGTGCAGGCACTGGGATACAACATGGCCCAAGACCGCCTGGAGGGATTGTTGTACGCCACCTATGAGCTGTACTCCATTCATCCCTCCTTGGTGGCACGAGTGTTGCCAAACTTGCAAGCAGATTTGCAAAACGCCAATCCAGACAGGAGACGAGCCACCACTGCTGTCATTGGTCAAATCTTGGCTCACTGTCACTCGCATTTGTCTAGTCTTGTTCTGTCGCTTCATAGCTTAAGTATCTCGAGTTTTTTGCTTTTTAGCCAGAGTTTTGTTTCTCCATTTCCTTCCCCCTCAGCACTCCTAAGCACCTTGAACGCTATTGAATGCTGTTCTTGCATGGTTTTTAAACGATGAGCATCCCAGGCCATCAGCAGGCTATCGACTCCATGACATTGGCTACGTCCAATGCTGCCCTGGTGGATCGCTTCCGAGAACGCCTGGGCGATGCGGATGACGGAGTGCGCATGACCGCCTTGGAGGGAACCGGTGCCATCATGCAGTCGGCCATACAAGGCAGGCAAATTGATGGGCTGCGAAAAAATATGCTGAGTAAATGAAGGGAATCGGGTGGGACTTGGGATGAATATGATGAATGAATCATTGATATGGATATCCTTAGAAAATGTGCCCCCGCGACTCTTTCACCAGCAGGGCCAGCATGAATCTTGGTCGTTTTTGAAGCAGGGACGCTTCGACCATCTTTTTCAGGCAGAAACCAACTGGGGGATGGGGGACCAGGGTCTTGCAGGCGAAGTTGCAGACCTGCGTCCCACTGTGGTTGCTGCTGAATCCTTGAGGGAGCGCCTGGCAGATCGATGCCTTGACCCCAATGATGCCATCCGATTGCGGGCCGTGGAGATTATCACCGAGGTGGCACTGGAATCTGAAGCTCAACCGAAGACTAGTGGAATTTCGACGAGTTTCTGAGGGCTTCTGGTGTGTGGTGAGTTGTTGGCCGCAAGCGTAAGATAAACAAGACGCCAGCAGTATATAAGTCAATATAAGTCATATAGTTTGTTGGGCGAGGGCCAAAGTTCGGAGACGGCTGGCTTGAAGTTTTGCGGGGATTGTTGTTTTTTCTTTTGCGTGGCTAGCCCATGATCGGCTAAGGAAGCTGGTTTGACCTTTACTTTGCCCATCCTTCCAGATGCTTGTCGCCGCATCCTGGACAAGAAACCCCGGGTGCGCGAAGCCTGCGCTGAAGCCTCAGCACATCTCTATGCGACGCATGCCCTCTGGCGGTGGACTGAGGGTCGATTCCAGGAAGCTCAAAAGCTCAATTGGATTCCTCAGTTGCTATGTGAGGTGCCAGTCTAGAGGGCTGTGGTGGGTTTTGAATTGTTTGGAGATGTTTTGGGGAATGTGGGCAGTTGAAGGGTGTTGCGTGGAGTTTGGCGGGTGATGGATGGTGGATCTCCTACTCAATCAGTAAACTATAGTAAACTGCGACACAGTAGAACATGTGGTAAAACATGGGGTAAAACTGCTAGACCGGTGCCCAGCAGTCTGCAGCAAAAATTGCCAGTACTCAGCTGGTGTTGGCATCCGCCAGGCCTACGCCGCATTTTGCAGCTCGCGCTTGGGCTATGTGGCTCAATTGGAGGAGCACATCGAGCAGCACATCTTGGGCTGTGGAGCTGGTCTTTCAGATGGTCAACGGGCATTGGCCATGCTGGGATTCTACACTTCAGCTGCCCAAGGCCAGAATGTTGTATGTGTCTTACAGCTAAACACTGTAGTTAAACATTGCCAAAACAGGAGATAATTAGACATGTCATACATGGTCATACATGGTCATACTATGGAGGGGCCATGCTAGAACTAATTTTCTTCCAGTCCCCAAAAAAGGAGGTGAAGCTGCTGCACACGGCCTCTCCGTGGTCTTCTCCAAGAAGCGAGACTGCCACAAGTTGCTCTGGCAGTTCATTCAGCTGAGAATCGCCAAGGGCGCCCCATTGGCAGCAGAGGATGCTGGATCCATGGCCTTGGTACCACACAATGAGGAACAGCCACAGGCGGGACACCATGGACACCTCAGTTGTGAGGTCTCCTTTAGATGCTGCCTGGGATGGGACTGCAGGGTTGCGGTGTTCCAAGGAGCCAAAGAAGATCACGGCCGATTGTTTAGCATAGCAATCGATACTATGATTATGCGGCTTTACAATTGGTTAATTACGGTGTTTGTATCATCTTTCACGCATTGAATGTTGTGCGCTTGCATGCATGCAGTGCGACCTTTCTCGGCTCCATATCGTTTTCGGATGTTTTCGGTAGATTTGCATAGATTTGCATCATTGTATTATTGCGTCATATTGCGTCATTGTCACCCCACGCATCACATTGTCATCTCCCAACGGTCCAAGGTGGAGATCTTGGAGCGGTTGGGGCGCTTGAGCCCCAGCATGGACGACAAGTACAGCCGCCCAGAGGCCGTGGCTGCGCACCTTCGCGCCTTTGACGCAGTTCGAGACAAGGCGCTGTGGAAGCAGCTGGAGAAGCTGCTGGACCCATTGGTGCAGGCACGGTGATGAGACAATGATGACATTGGGATAATTATGATATATTATGTCATCATTATATATTATATTATGATTAACCCAATTATAATAATGATAGTTGGGATAATTGGGTTGGATCCAGGATGTTTCTGGACCCTGGGAAAGAAATTCAGAATTGGGGGAACCTGTTACTGCACATGGAATATCGCATTTATGTATTATATGATGCACATGGCGATTAGCAAGGGTGTACAGTAATTAATCAAATGGACAATGGCTTCAGCAGTTTGCACCAAAATAAGAAGTGTCAACATATTCAGGGGTTCTGCTGATGAGTGATAAGCGAGGCCCAATTGTGTGGATTCTCAGCTGTATTACAGCCATAGAGCTTGTTCTGAGCAGTTGGTTGTAGTAGTTGTTACAACGTGATGGTGCAAGCTATTGTAAGCTTGTGCGTAGTCAAGGCTGCAACCATCACCGCAAAAATTGCAGGACGATTCAATGAATTTGGGTACAGTAGGTAAGTGTTTTCTTCTCTTCAGGAAGGGCGAGCCATGTAGTCACCTGGCCATTGATCGCCGCAGGAGAACACCAGCCAACTGGGCGACTCCTTACAGGAGCTGGACCGCTTATTGCGAGTCCATCGTTTGAGTGAGCTGGCCCCATTGGTGCGAAGGGCCCTGCTTTCCACCTGGCTCCTCCCAGATCAGGTGGCCCAACTTTTAGATATTTGGAAGGGCGGAACCATTGAGGTGTTAGATGAAGCCCCATGTTCTGAGCTGGTGGCCGCAGCAAGGACCACCATTTCAAGTTTGTCCAAAACATTTCCAGGTGCATTTATGCCGTTTGCAGGGGAACTGGCCAAACAATTGCCAGACTCTTCAGCAGAAGATGCAAAAGTCATTCTTCAGACCCTGGCTGCAATTGCCAAACGAGTCCTTCAGAAGCCTGTGGACGAGAACTCCTTGCAATTGAGTACAGAAGGGCTCTCCCAGATGCTCTTGGATGCTCTCGCGGTGGCCGGAGATTCTCAAAGCAGGGCTTCCATGAGCAGAAAGGTGGCCAAGATCTTGCTACTTCTTCCTTCAGCTGAGAGGTCCACGGTGTGTATGGACCTTCTGAGGTGGGCGGAGGAGAACGTGTCAGGTGACGTCGCGGCAGATGAAGCCTCGGCCAATGCAGCTGCTATGGCCTTGCAGTTGGCAGCTGCCCTGCTGGAGTGGAGCAAGCGTCACTTGGAGGACTTCCCTCAGCTGGAGCCCCAAAACTGGTTGAAGGATGCCAAAAAGGTCCTGGCCACCCCCAACAGTCAACGCGATGATCGGAGGTCGGATGTCCAGTGTGCCGCTGCAGATTTGCTGGCGGTGACTGGGTCAGCTGATGATGTGACCGATGTGCTCCTTGCTCCATCCGCTGTTTCGGAGTCCCTGGCCTTGACCAATTCTGCAGGCAATCGGTGTTTGGGTGGCTGGCGTATGGTGAGTTTCGACACGGAACCATCTAAAGTTTGGAACGAATTTGATTCCCTCACTATACATCAACCACCATCCCCTACTTCTCAAAGCTTCTCTATCAATATCTATCAATCCTACTTAGCCATATTTAGCCTGCTTTTGACGGTATATGGATGGTCTATGGATCTTGTTTTCCCGGAACTTCACCCTGCCAGGTGAAGATGGTGCGTGGGCATGGTTTGATCCGTTACCCGTTCACGCGTGCTGCGCTTCCCTGCGCGCACTTCGCCTTGGCTGCGTGCAGCTTTCCACTAAGCTCTTAGTCACTTAGCCGATGCTATCAGATGTTTCCCAATGCGAATGCGAATGATGTATCTCAGAACTACTGACCCTGGAAAATGGATGGTTCAATGACAATATGGTTCAATCTTAAGAATTAAGAATCACATTTAATGGACCCAACAATGCCCCAAGTTTAAGCCACGGCCAGATCACTAGAGCTGTCAGACATGGAAGCAGCAAATTCATGCATTCATTGCAATTTTGCAAGATTTGCAAGGTCATAGGCGGTGTCAAGTGTCGAGGCACCGTATATAATCTTTAGTCATTGGAAAACCTGCAGTATATGACTGGCTATTGATCTCAAATCCTTCATCCTCATTGTAGCGCTTCTTGCTTGTGATTCTCTGAGATTTCTTTCTTAACAAATTGGATGCATTTTGTTTCATGATTTTGATGTATTTTGATGTATTTTCCCATATTTTCCCAACGCTTCCCAACTTTTTGGCGCCTATCATTGATCATCATTGTATTTTGCTCACCACTGCTTGATCTGCTTGGTCTGGCTGAGGCCAACTTGGCTGGACGTTTTGCGGCCTCCATGGCCTGTGATCGTCCGACCATCGATGCCGAGAATCTGTTGGAGTCTTTGCTCACCATGAAGAGATCATCCATTGCATCACAACTGAAGCCCGCTGAACGCAACTTGGCAACAACATAGAGCTGATCATTATAACTTGAGATCATCTTCAGATCCACAATGATCATCAATGATCGGTATCAGATCAATGACGATATTTATAATGCCTGTGATGCTATTTGTGCCGCGTTCCACAATGAAGGTTTCCTCTTCTCAACCTTCATTGAAACAGGGCCTGCTGCGTTGAAGCAGGTCGTGCTGACTAGTGACTAGTGACTTTGACCCTAAAGTACCAATGAGATATAATGAGATCTAATTAGACTAATTTGTTTCCGTCATTACCAGACGTAAGACACAAATTCTTTGAGCAAAGGGTTGCACTCACAATCTGAGGCCTTCGCGTCTGCACTGCTTTGCCCACCGTTTTTGCGCTGGCACCCTTGAAGAAACATCGGGACACTGCGCAACGGATGTTGCAGGGCTCATTGAAAGCAGCATGGCAAGGTGCGGTGGTTGAGTGATGATCAGGACGACCACAGCCAAGATTAGGATATAGACCTCATGGAGTTTGATTTACAGGATCCAAGCCATGGCACCCCGTCAAAAGGCAATCCCTGAAGATTTTGCAAAGGTCATGGCAGTTTAGAAATGCCTCATTTCTGGTGGCATTCCGCGCTTGCGCATATGAGCAATTTTGTACATGCATTAGCCCTGAACACTGACACTGCTCCCCAAATACACCTTTAGAATCAATCAGATTTGGATCATGTGCTTGGCCCGCAAAGTCCTTTGCAAGCTGACCGCTGGTCATTCTCACATATCTCACATCAGGCTCCCAACTGGAGCTGTTGGATTTCGCGGTCGCTTGCTTTGTACATTTCCTTTCCAGGCAGGGAGCTAGGACTTATACCTTTTGTCTTGCTGATATGTCCGAAGTATTGGCCGTACAGTGCCAATCACTTGACCATAGGCTTTCTCGGACCCCACACTACGCAAAGCAAGTTCCAACAGTTGCTTGAGTATTGACCTGTGTGTGACTGTTGACAATTGGAGGCTCATCTGAACAGCCTGTTTCCACATGCATGGCATTATCAGTCCGCCATGGAAGGGTGCGATTTGTAGGGTAGGATGCGACTCCGCAATTGCATCAATTGTAGGCTGGATATCTTCAAGAAGGAGGTCTCCGCCAAGGTTTCAGCCTTCCCTGAGAGTAGCAAGGTGGGCAGTGGGTAGCCTAGCAGCTTGGGTGCCCCTTTGAATCTCCATGCCAAGTCAGTGGGGTCATTGAAGAATAAAGATGGTTATGAACACGTGATCTTCATCATCTCCGTTATCTTCGTTATCGTCGTTATCGTCGTTATCTTCGTTATCTTCATATTCGTCATCATGTTTATCCTCATCATTATATTCATTTTCATCATCTTCATCATCTTCATCATATTCATCATCTTCATCATCATCATCATCATCATCACCATGATGATGCTTCTGGAACATTCCACTCCTTGGCACTCTCTGTATTTGCTGGGCTGCTGGACCCTTTCAGAATCCAAAGGTGTTTTGGCCACACGGGCCCAGAGTGCACTGAGTGTACAAATTAGAACAGGTCGCGGCTTTTTTCTGCGAAGCGCTCCTACGATGTGACGCGCCGCACAGCGCGGAGCTTTTGGGTGTTGCACTGCGAGTGTGCGATCGGGTGCGTTACTTCGTGGATAGAGAGGACCTTTCAAATGAACGAACCTGTATAGAAGATCATAGAAGGGTAAGAGGAGACGGATCATGATGCATCGTAGGCATGATTTCATTCCGCACTGGTCGTATCCTGGTTGCTCTTTTGGGCATCGCAACCTGCAGAGGATCCCAGTTCCGATGCAGTGCACCGTGCCGGCAGCGTCCTGCGCTACGTGGCAGAGAAGCGCTGTCCGGAGCTGGGCCTACAAGGTGCAATGACCGATGGATCCACTCGTGAGGTATGGACCATTTGGTATGATAGATGCCGAATCATTCAACGATAAATCTGGTAGTTAAATTATTATAGTTAAAGGATGTTAAAGGACTTTAGATGATTTTAGCATCATAGTCCTAGTGATTTAACATGATCCCAGGGTGTACAGGTCATAAGATTGCTGCTTATTGAGCTCCAAAATTGCTTATTCCACGGCCTATTTCAGTAGTAAATTGATTGACGTGTGTGGCTATGTGAGCCCAAGGATGGCCAAACTGAAAGTCACTGAAAGTGTTGGGAAAGGGCTCCGAACCCCCAACAAAATAGCTTTGTTGTGGCCTAACGGGTTGTTGTAGTGCAGACAGGCTCTATGGTCCTATCACCACATTCACTTGCATGTTCGACTGGATCTATGTATCCCCTAGACGTTGGATTGGAGTTTTCTTCTTGGCTCCAGTCTCATGGTTGCATCTCCAATCCAACCCTGGACTCAATCAAAGGTGCTGCACTTTTGCACGGAGCAGCTCCTGGGTGAAGAAATGCTTGCCTGATTAGCCTTGCCCGTTGGTTTTTTGAAAATCTCTCTCTCTCTCTCAGCCACACGACCAGCCACGGGACTTCTGAGTCATCAACATGCACAGTAGTGAAACTCCATGAATCTCCTACAGCTGTCTATGCGACGTGAGAGTGATTGGCAAGGGGTGTGGATGCGTTCAGGTCCATTTTGACACCGCCTGCCAAATCCAATCCACTTTTTGTTTCTTGTTTGTTCAACGGGACAGTGCTTGGGGATGGACTGGCCGCAACCCAGGCGCGAGGCAGCATGCCAGCACAGCTGTTTGCCATACGCCAACCTACAGGAGCTGCACCTGCGCTCCCTGATGCTACCATGCAGGAGCTGCAGCCGGCGATGAAAGATATGAAAGGCTGAACAGGTCTAACCAAGTCACATTTGAGATGGAAATCAATAGAGGGCATGTGGATGCATGTGGCCAGTGCCTGTTCGACCAGTTAGAGCCAACAGTTAGAGCCATCATCGCGGTACGCAGGATGCGAGACTGCCCGAGAAGGTTCTCAAGGATGCAAGCGTGGAACCCCACAAAGTCAAAGAGGCGTGAGATTGACAGAAACGCCGCACAGTTGGGTTTACTGCCCAAATCACTGGTGAACTGCATTAGTGGAGCGGCCTTGCCCTCAAACTGGAGGCAGATGGGACCAATCGGGCAGTTCAAGCTCACGCGGTCGCTCGGACATTGCCGTGATTCAAATGTTTGAAGATGTTGATCTCAGACTCCCAGCATCAGAGTGATGTAAACTGGACCTTTTATGGTAATTTAGACATGTTTAGACCCAGTTTGCCAGTTGGACGCCATGTTTCTCACCTTATTTGATCTTATTTGGTCTCTCTTTAGGCACAAGCATTGGCAACCCCTCAGCGCCGCCCCAGCTTCTTGAAGCGCCGGTCCGATGGAGAATCTCCAGAGGTGCCATCTACAGGTGCCGGGGAATTCTCCGGGCATGGCACCACATGCGAATCAATCATGCGACATGGCAAGTAAATGATGTAAATGTCATGGGCACGGAAATCAGATTAAATAACATTAAATAACATACTATAAGCCGAGCCTAAACTTCCAGACTAACCCTTTTCAGACGACTGTCGGAAGGCCAATTAGGAACACAAAGGCCACAAACTTGGGGATTTGTTTTGTTTGCGGGCAGTTCAGGAATCATGCCAAGAACTGCCTCGACGTGTCCCGACACCCCACGGCAAGGCAGCAAGGGCAGCGTGACAGCTGCGGCTGCCGAGGTCGAGGCATCATTGCTGAAGAGGGCGAAGAAGCCAAAGACGGCCTAAGATGACACCTGGAATTGGGCCTTGTTCTGACTGTGCTGGCAGCAGCAAATGCGCAAATGCTGGACTTGCAATGTCCAGTCCTGAATGCATACAAGTGCGTACAACCGCTGCAAGTGCTGCAAATTGGGTAATTATATATATATATAAATTATATTGTCATCATGAACGAATGTCACGTGCCCCACCAGTTTCGCCTGCAAGGTGCAATTTGCACATCGTTTAATTACACGTCCTTACCATAGGTTCCCCGAGTTACCCAGCTATCTCGAGATGCTTCTCGTGTTCTGGCGCAGTGAGGCTGTTTCTGACAGGACAGCATGTGGTGAATGGTCCCGTGCGTCGAATTGACCGGGACTTTTAAAGTATTTGAAAGATTTGAGACAGTCAGATAAGGCCCCGTAGGACCGATTTCACAAGTCTCAGCGGGATGGCCATGACTCGCCAATTATCAGAGTCGTGATGGCCAGTTTGTGCGGCTTGTGTTGGGGTGCGTTGGCTACAAAGCTGAGGGCGTGTTTTATAGCCAGCGTTTGAGACGTCGGCACTCCTTATGCTCCTCGAGTGCAGAAAAGGTGCTTTGCTGCTGCGGAGGGTTCCCAACCGCACATTTGCTCTTGCACTCACTTCGACTATTTTCCACTATCTTTAACTGGTGCGCATGCTGAATCATGTGGATCCTTTGAATCCTTTGGGTCCTTGCGCATCCTTGCGCCAGGTTTGGCTCAAAGTTTTAGAAGCACACCAGCAGCTCCCCCATTCGCATACCATGGGGTCTGGTGCATCATTCGCACAAGTTGAGCAGGCCAGCGTTGCTGACCTCCAAAAGGTTGTTGCCGACTTTACGCCCGAGGAACGTGAGAAAGTGAAGGCGCAACTCAGCGGGATTGCTATTTGATCAAATTGGTGTAATTATGGTTAGGCACGCGCACACACACACACACACGCACACACTTACATTATGTATATATATATATATGCATGTATTATGATATTTCATATCATGCATTAAGGGCATCATACAATACATACAATATGTGCATGCATACATACGTACGTACGTACTGTACCTACCTACGTATTACGTCGATTACGCATTTACGTACGTACCTGCGTACTTACGTACCTACGTACCTGCATGCATGCATGCATGCATGCATGCATGCATAGATACATAGATACATAGATACATAGATACATAGATACATAGATACATAGATAGATACATAGATACATAGATACATAGATACATAGATACATAGATAGATACATAGATAGATACATAGATAGATAGATAGATACATACATAGATAGATAGATACATAGATAGATAGATAGATACATAGATACATAGATACATAGACACATAGATACATAGATACATACATAGATACATAGATACATACAATACATACATAGATAGATAGATACATAGATAGATACATACATACATACATCCATACATCCATACATCCATACATCCATCCATACATACATACATACCTACATACCTGCATACCTACCTACAGACAGACAACCAGCCAGCCAGGCAGGCAGACAGACAGACAGATAGACAGCTAGGCACGCAGGCAGACAGGCAGACAGACACGCACAGACAGGCACAGACACGCACAGACATGCACAGACACGCACAGACACGCACAGACACGCACAGACACGCACAGACACGCACAGACATACATCCATACATCCATACATCTATACATACATCCATACATCCATCCATCCATGCATGTATGCATACATACATACATCCATACATACATTCATATATTCATACGATCATACGATCATACAATTACATACATACAGGTATGGAAGTGTTCACACAAGAAGACTGAAAGCTGTTGAAAATTCTGAATCGACGGTATTCACTCCACACCTCTCATCTGTCGATGTTTGCTTTTGCATGGATAGATTCAGAAACTTGCTGAAGGGTTCTTGAGACTTTCCGCATGGGAAGCACTTCAGAAGTGAACTGACATCCATGCACATCGAGCACATGGGAACTTGATCTTATCCAATTGAAAGAGCCATGCGTGCGTGGATGGCTCAAGCATGAAAGGGGAGGTAGGATGTGACAAATACAATACAAAGACAAATACAAAGACAAAGACAAATACAAGACCTACAATAACTACAATACCTGCAATACCTAAGATACCTAAAATACCTTTAATACCTACAATACCTGCAATACCTACAAATACCTTCAATACCTACAATAATGTTTGCTGCTGATTTGTGTGACCGGCCTCCCCCCCCAAACAATTTGAGTATACTCTATAACTCGCACTTTTTTTGCCCCCCCTCAACATGTTTTGGTTAATCAACTTAAGTAAGGAGTTCAATTTACTTTCAATTTATTTCAATTTACGTTCAATTTATTTCAATTTATTTCTAATTTACTTTCAAGTGATTTCAATTTACTTTGGGTGCTGGTTTGTAATTAGTTGGGTGTTAATAAGAAATTTTGAGAATTCCAAAGGAATGGAGTTAAGAAAGGGTTTTGTTTTTTTTTTCACTCCCAAAAGTTGGTGCTCACAATAGAGTACCATCCAGACAATTATATTATTGAGTAACTGAGCCACTCATGAGGTACCCCCTTGAAAAATTGTCTGTGATGTTTTTTAATAAGGGTTTAATAAGGCATCTAATTATTTGGTAAACCTTGCATTTTAAAGCTTTAACACAAATATGGCTTTCTAAAGTAAAGGGACCAGCTTTACCCAAAGAAAGGTGGAGAAAGGGTTTTGGTTTTTTTTCACTCCCAAAAGTTGGTGCTCACAATAGAGTACCATCCAGACAATTATATTATTGAGTAACTGAGCCACTCATGAGGTACCCCCTTGAAAAATTGTTTGGGTGTTGTTTTTCAATAAGGGTTTAATAAGGCATCTGATTATTTGGGAAACCTTGCATTTTAAAGCTTTAACACAAACATGGCTTTCTAAAGTAAAGGGACCAGCTTTACCCAAAGAAAGGTGGAGAAAGGGTTTTGATTTTTTTCACTCCCAAAAGTTGGTGCTCACAATAGAGTACCATCCAGACAATTATATTATTGAGTAACTGAGCCACTCATGAGGTACCCCCTTGAAAAATTGTCTGAGTGCTGTTTTTTAATAAGGGTTTAATAAGGCATCTGATTATTTGGGAAACCTTGCATTTTAAAATTTTAACACAACTATGGCTTTCTAAAGTGAAAGGACCAGCTTTACCCAAAGAAAGGTGGAGAAAGGGTTTTGTTTTTTTTTTACTCCCAAAAGTTGGTGCTCACAATAGAGTACCATCCAAACAATTATATTATTGAGTAACTGGGCCACTCATGAGGTACCCCTTTGAAAAATTGTCTGGATGCTGTTTTTTAATAAGGGTTTAATAAGGCATCTAATTATTTGGAAAACCTTGCATTTTAAAGCTTTAACACAACTATGGCTTTCTAAAGTGAAAGGGCCAGCTTTACCCAAAGAAAGGTGGAGAAAGGGTTTTGCTTTTTTTTCACTCCAAAAAGTTGGTGCTCACAATAGAGTACCATCCAAACAATTATATTATTGAGTAACTGAGCCACTCATGAGGTATCCCCTTGAAAAATTGTCTAGGTACTGTTTTTTAATAAGGGTTTAATAAGGCATCTAATTATTTGGAAAACCTTGCATTTTAAGCTTTAGCATAAATATGGCTTTCTAAAGTAAAAGGACCAGCTTTACCCAAAGAAAGGTGGAGAAAGGTTTTTTTGTTCACTCCCAAAAGTTGGTGCTCACAATAGAGTACCATCCAAACAATTATATTATTGAGTAACTGAGCCACTCATGAGGTACCCCCTTGAAAAATTGTCTGGATGTTGTTTTTTAATAAGGGTTTAATAAGGCATCTAATTATTTGGGAAACCTTGCATTTTAAAGCTTTAACACAAATATAGCTTTCTAAAGTAAAGGCACCAGCTTTACCCAAAGAAAGGTGGAGAAAGGGTTTTGTTTTTTTTTTCACTCCCAAAAGTTGGTGCTCACAATAGAGTACAGAGTACCATCCAGACAATTATATTATTAAGTAACTGAGCCACTCATAGGGCAATTAATTAATGAAAAAGGAAGCAGTTTAAAAAAATAATATTTATATATATATATAGAGAAGGAAGCAATGAAAAAAATAAACCATAGAAAATAAAAATAAACATATTTAAAAAAAAAATATATATTTAAAAAATAAAATAATAATAAAAAGAATAAAATAAAAATAGATAAAATAAGAAAAAATAAAAATAATAATAAACATAATAAAGCAACACAGCATTTGGAAAAAATAGAAAGTTTTAAAAAAAAAAAAAACATGGAAAAAAATCTGACAACAGAGGCTCCCCCCACAAATAGCATGATACTGAATTAGGAGCAAGAAATTTCTCACAATAGGGTACCATCCTACTAATCGGGAGCAAACATTACATACAATGCATACCATATACCATACCTACCATACATTCCATACATGCTATACATACGATACATACCATACATACAATGCATAAAATACATACAATACATACAATGCAACACAATACAAATGCAAATGCAAATGCAAATACAAATACAAATACAATACACTACATTACATACATACATTTGCATGCATGCTGCTGCATGCATATATATATGTGTGTGTGTGTGCGTGCGTATGTTGTAGTGGATCTAGGTTTTTGCCCAAGGATTAATCAATTTCTTGGTACCTCGTCCTGCATTTTAGGGGTAGGTGCTTGAACTGTACGCCTCAGCTGGCTGCAGGCGGCTTTGGACCTGGTGCGCCCTCCAAAGAAGGGCAGAATCAGAGTCAAGTGCCAGGGCAAGACTTTTGCACCCTATGGTATCCGGACTGACCTTCCAGCTGAAGACCCCGCGGCGACCAAGGACTTCACCCCCTACAAGAAAGATGGTTTGCCAGAAAAGGTTGACCTTCGCAAGTTCATGAGCCCAATCGAAGACCAATCTCAGACCAACAGCTGCTGTGCAAATGCTGTCGCGGGGGCATTTGAATACCTCAATCAGAAGCATGCTCAAGAAACTGGGGATGTCCCCGGTGACGTCTCCCGGCTGTTCATTTATTACGTTGGCCGCAAGAAAGATATGGAACAAGAGGCTGGCATCTTTGGCAAGAAGGCCGCAAAAGTTGCGCCCAAAGATGAGGGAATGAGCATCACTTCTGCCATCAGTGCCATGCAGGTCAGTGGCGCTTGTTTGGCTGCCTCATGGCCATATGATCTTGGGATGGTGAATGCAAGACCCACGGACGAATGCTTCAAAGAGGCCCAGAAGTACAGAGTCGTGCAGGCCCAGAAAGTCCCAATGGACCTTGACGCGATGCGTGGGTGCTTGGCAGAGGGCAATCCGATCATTTTTGGCCTCATGCTCACCGACAGGTTCTTTCGTCCAGCACGTGGTGGCTTCATTTCAACTCCGGCCAAGAACGACCAAAGGGCAGCCTCGCATGGCTTACATGCAATGCTACTTGTGGGTTACAACGACCGCCAGCAGGTCTTCATTGTCCGAAATAGCTGGGGGGAACATTGGGGAGACAAGGGCTACTGCTATGTGGGCTATGACTATGTGGCAAACCCGGACTTCAATTTCTTGCAGCAGTATACCATCACTGGGCTGACTTCCACAGACTTCACACCAGATGGTGACGATGGTGAGGACTTTGACATCACCGATGACAACACTGATGTGACTGTTGAAGAAGAGGAGCAACCCGAAGAACCCGATGCAGATGATGACTTTGACTTTTCTGAAAACTTCAAAGGAGACCAAGTCATACGGGCGCTCTTCATCGAGGGGAAGGGTGTCCTCCCCAAGCCCCAGTTTGAGTTGTGCCTGTCCCTCTATCACAGGAGCGAGGGAGGCAAGAATTTCGACTATTTGGCGGCCACCATGTGGGTGCATGATGACTCCAATTTTCCGCCTGAGAAAATCGAATGGACGCCGCAGGATTTCAATGAAGTTGCGACGAAGTTCTACAAGAAAAGTGATGCTGAGTTACATCCGAACTTGGCATTCTTGTTCAGTTGATTCAAATCCAATTCGTGGTGAGCAAACATTTGCCAAAGGCAGGTTGGATCCGCGACATGTCTTACTGTATATGAGCTACGTTTATTAAGAATATGAAGGGGTTTATCTGCAGCTCAACCTGGATGTTGCTTTCGGTGTGGTTTTACATGGCTGGCGTAGCAATTGCGTAGGATTGGCGTAGGCATTTTTAAAGGTTCCAAATATTTCTGGTTCGCGTAGGCGACAATTTTATTGTACGGTATTTCAATTGCTCGTACACGATCGACGTTGCAATCTCACGCTTTAAAACTGACCCACAATGTTATCCACAAAAGGTTCAAAGACACCAGGTTCATTCATGGATAGTCGTCTATACGAGCAAACCGTGGAACCCGCCCGGCAGAGCAGCTATACAAGGGCAGCGTAGCAGCTTAAACCGCTAGCTGTCCATGCCAACTGGAGTCTAGATGTTCTTCGCTTTCCACCTGCTTCTTGCTTGAGGCGAATGTTTCAGCAGATTTCTGCCAGGGGACCGCTGGAACAGGCGTAGGCTTCGCGTAGACTTCGCGTAGGCACCGCGTAGGCTCGGTGCTCAGACTATCTCAGACTGACCACCAGCCCACGTGCGAATGAGTCCATATTCAACGCATTGAATTGTCCAGAACGGCCCTTTGGATCCCTTTGGCACGTTGAAACACCAAGCAAGCTGGTGACAGTCGAACACGTTGCTTGGCTTGACTCCAGCATAGTCAAAAGCTACTACTAGCTGAGCCTTCAGTGATCTGGGACCTGGGTGCCTGGGACCTGGGGTGCGCTTTGGGACCTGGGTGCGTGTGCTGCTGCAGGGAGCAGGGTGCGGTTTAGAGCCTGCTGGCTGGTGCCCCTGCAGGGTGCCGCATGGCATGCCACTGAGCAAAATGCTGATGGAACTATGGTCGCGTAAGCAAAAGTTAGCCGGGAGCGCGACGGCGTAGGCAAACAAGTACGTTGTGGCATCGTTTTACACGGGCGATGGCCTTGCATAGGCACACACACACACACCCTCAAAGGTATGATCCGCGTAGGCGTATGCATTACGTAGACAGCGGCGTAGGCAAAGCAGAAGTATAAGGGCCAGACAACCAAAAAAAAACACAGCTCATATGACCTTTCTTTTGGGGCTGGTGCCGTTGCTACCTCCATTGTGCAGCGATCCTGCCGGAGCGCATTCCGTAGATCACACCAGCCCCCGCCACATCTCACTGCACTTCGCCCAGCCCACATTGACATGTATGAGCTGGAAAAAGCGGCCAGAGTTGACTGATTTGATTACAGTTGCCCATCAGTTGCTCAGTTGCTCAACAGTTGCCTGTGCTGGTCCCAGCTTTGTTTTTGGATGTTTTTGGTATGTTTTGGGTAGCGATAGCCACAGGACCTGCGCCTGGACGATTGCTTCCGTGTCCCCGAACTTCGTATGCAGATCCTGCGCTGGGTGCGTTCACAGCCCAGACAGCGGTGATGCCGAAGGAGCTCCTGCTATGCCATGCGATTTCAACAGATTATCTATTTTGATGATATTATATACATGATTGCTGTGATTCTGTTCTTGTCACAGTTTGTTTAACATAGTTTTTCTAGGTTGTTAGTTTATGTGTATTTCTCTCCATGCACATGCGTAACGGAGCAATTTCAGCCTGTGATGCGCAGGAGGCAAGTGGTCATGAGATTCTCCATCATGAGCTTCTCCTGCGAAGTAGTGGTGAAAAAGGTGCTGTTAGATTTCTTGTTGCCATGGAGGGCCACAACCCAATGCAGCAGAAGCGGTCATGGCATTGCCCCGTATGATAGGGTAGTCATAGATTCATAGCACAGGCGTTTCATTCCCTGATGCAGTTGATGTGGCTCAGGTCAAGTACCCATATCGAGTGCTTACGCGACGGGATGAATACCATCCAGAGCGTGAGCGGCGCATGAAGCCCAGTGGTTTCATGTACTGGGCCAAGCATGAGCCATCAGAAACCTAACTTCCACAAGAATCAGATGGCAATTAAATGCCTGCAAAACTTGAGTTCTGAGGTTGATTTATTTTGAGCAATTCCAGCAGCCAGCAGTGCCCAAAAGGGGTGTCATGTTAATTTCCATGTCCCCTCTGGCATGTTCATCCATTTTCGGACCCACCATCCTAGGTCGAAGGCGTTTGCCTTCAAAGAGTAGGAGCAGGTCACGTGGGGCTCGTGTCGTTCAGATCCGGGAGGCAGGAGTTGTGACGGCAGATGGGCAGGGAAGATGAAAGTAGTTTTATAGATGCAATAAGAAAGTTATATGTATATATAGAAGAGATTGAACATATTCAAAGCTAAGATGTATATTACTCATTCGCCGATCATTGCCCCAAAAAATTAAAGTGAATGTATCGAAGACTAAATCAAACCTTGGCTTGTAGGGGGAATTAATGTTGGAGGAAAGGGGCTATACGTCGGTTCCAAGCATGTCTATCCGACCCCAACATTCCAATCTGCCAGGGATGCAGAACTTGCAAATACAAGTAGTACCCGGGCAAGCCGGGCGCGGAAGTTTCAAAATTCAAATGCTTATAGCCTATAGAGCAGAACAAAGAATGTGCCTATAGGGTGCAAGCCTTCTGTGCTCCGCACCAACAATCTCTTGACTTTTCATTCTGGTGCCATCTCTTTTCAAAGTTGGATCTTCTCTCATTTCGCCCGATCTCATCGCATCGCAGCTTCTCTTGGAAATTGCTCATTGCATCCCATTGTCACCGTAGTCTGTGTCATCCCATCCCATCTCATCTCATCTCATCTCATGCGTGTCATGTCTTCTCAGCGTTTTTCACCTCCTCTCATCTCCTCTCCTGTGGCCTCATGTCATCTCATGTCTTCTAGTCTTCTCTCCTTTTCTCGGCTCTTCTCAGCGACACAACTTCCAAAAGCGGTCAGGACCTGAGCGGTTTAAAAACATGTTGGCTTCGAAATGCGTTTCGCGCCCCAGCCGCACGCACTTTTGAGCAACACAACTGCCAAAAGCGGCCCGGACCTGAGGTGTTTTTAAATGTTTTTAACATAGGCTTCGGCTCTGAGCCTCCCAGGGGTTATAAAAATCGAAACCACCAAGAGAAATGAACTCTAAGTACGTATCTTGGATTCTATGATCACCAAACCATATGAATATATGAATTGGATTGAATTGGCTATTGTGGTTTTCTGCGGGCCTTGTGCCCTTGTCGATGTCACATTGATGTTGTTTTGTGGCCTTCTTTTTCTCTTCTAGGCTGATGTCAAATCGATCGACAAACCATCGCAAAATGATCGCAAAAGAACGTAGAAATCCCACATAAAAATGACACATTGCAAAAATCCACACTTGCAACCCTGGCCTTTCCAAAATCGAAACCGCCAGCAACGAACATTCAGGAGAAATAGAAAATCTGGAAGAGTTTGAGTTTTCCAGTGCAGATACCAAATAAGAGACATCAACAAAAACAGATGACCTAGTGAAAACAGCATCAAAATGCACAGATGCCATTACAGTTTGTGTGCGTTTTTTTGCGGTCAGTTTACGATCGGTTTGCGATCGGTTTGCATCAAAGCGTATGATGGTTTCCGTGTAGCCTTCCATAAAGGTTTCGAACATGTTTCCTGTATCTACACGTGGTGGTTGTATGGTGTCTTCTAACTGATGCAGTTTTGATGTAATGCCAACATCGGATTAATCAACCCCCCCCCACACCACAAGGTCAGATAGACCTTGTAAGGTCTTTCCTCGTTTTCCCCCTAAATAAACGGCCTCTGAACCATTAAGTTTTTGGATATGATTAGATTTGAATGTCATAATGTCATGGAACCCATAAGATTCCATTGGATTTCATAAGGTTTGAGTGTCATAATCTCCTGGAACCCCCATAAGATTCCATGATGATCGTCTGCAGCCATTTTGGCTCATTCTCAGCTTTGTGCCAGAAAGAGATTTGACTGCTAAAATCTCACATTGCAGCATGGGATGGCAGTGATGGCATTTGATTGCTAAAATCTCACGCTTCAGCACTGCTGGTTGATTAATTGGGTCCAGGCTTGTGTGCATGCGTGCATGTGATGATCGTTTGCGGCCATGTTGGCTCATTCTGGGGGACATGGGCTCCAAACTGATGATGTTTATAAAGAATTTTGGATGAAAAAATGGGATCTCAGCACAGGGGGTTGATTAATCATGTCCGAGCCAAACGATTTATCAATCCGGGGGGGCCACCTGTTTTTAAATTACATGTTCTTTTGGCAGGGGGGGTTGATTAATACCGCGGGGTTTGTTAATCCTAACTTGATATTAGTTTCCACGCAAGTTCCATGGAGAGTTGATGTAGGTTTCATGGAGGTTTCATGTAGGTTCCATCGTTTCTTGTGTCTCAACATGGTGGTTGCATGGCGCCTTCTAACTGATGCAGTTTTCATGGGGGTTCCATGCAGGTTCCGTGGAGGATTGATGTAGATTTCATGCAGGCTCCATGTAGGTTTTGAAGGTGTTGCCTGTATCTACACATGTTGGTCCTATCATGATTTTCATTTACTATGACTGATGCAGGTTCCATGAAGTATCCATGCAGGTTCCAGGGAGGTTACACACCCATAAGCTAAATCACTAAAACCAACATGAAACCAGCATGGAAACCACATGGAAACTCAATGAAACCTGCATCAGTCACAGTACAGGGTAGGACCACACCGGAATTGGTCTCAAGAAACTTTTTTCCCTGAGGTACATGAGTAAGATTAGATAGGTTACTGTAGATAGATTAGACAGACTAGATAGATTAGATAGATTAGATAGATCGGATAGATAAGGTAGACTAGATAGATTAGGTAGGTTAGATAGACTATGATTAGGTAGATAATGATTAGGTAGGGTAGGTTAGATAGATAGATAGATAGATAAATAGACAGACAGATAGATTAGATAGGTAGATAGGTAGATAGGTAGATAGATAGATAGGCAGATTACTAGACTAGATAGATAGATGGATGGATAGATAGGATAGATAGGATAGATAGGATAGATAGGATAGATAGGATAGATAGGATAGATAGAATAGATAGGATAGATAGGATAGATAGGATAGATAGGATAGATAGGATAGATAGGATAGATAGGATAGATAGGAGATAGATAGGATAGATAGGATAGATAGGATAGATAGATAGATAGGATAGATAGGATAGATAGGATAGGATAGATAGGATAGATAGGATAGATAGGATAGATAGGATAGATAGGATAGATAGGATAGATAGGATAGATAGGTAGATAGATAGATAGGTAGATAGGTAGATAGGTAGATAGGTAGATAGGTAGATAGATAGGCAGATTACTAGACTAGATAGATAGATGGATGGATGGATGGATAGATAGGATAGATAGGATAGATAGGATAGATAGGATAGATAGATAGATAGATAGGATAGATAGGATAGATAGGATAGATAGGATAGATAGAATAGATAGGATAGATAGGATAGATAGGATAGATCGGATAGATCGGATAGATCCGATCCGATAGATCCAATAGATCCGATAGATCGGATAGACCCGATAGATAAGATAGATAGGATAGCTAGGATAGATAGGATAGATAGGTTAGATTGGATAGATAGGATAGATAGGATAGATAGGATAGATAGGATAGATAGGATGGATAGGATGGATAGGATGGATAGATAGATAGATAGACAGACAGACAGATAGATAGATAGATAGGTAGATAGATAGATAGATGGACAGATAGATAGATAGATAGATAAATAGACAGACAGACAGATAGATAGATAGATAGATAAGATGGATAAGATGGATCAGATGGATCAGATGGATCAGATGGATCAGATGGATCAGATGGATCAGGTGGATCAGGTGGATCAGATGGATAAGATGGATAAGATCGATAAGATAGAGAGAAAGATAGATAGATAGCTAGCTAGCTAGATAGATAGATAGATAGGATAGATAGGATAGATAGGACAGATAGGACAGATAGGATAAATAGGATAGATAGGACAGATAGGACAGATAGGATAGATAGGATAGATCCGATAGATCCGATAGATCCGATAGATCCGATAGATCCGATAAATCCGATAGATCCGATAGATCGGATAGATTGGATAGATTGGATAGATTGGATAGATTGGATAGATAGGATAGATAGGATGGATAGGATAGATAGGATAGATAGGATAGATAGGATAGATGGATAGATGGATAGATAGATGCATAGATGGATGGGTGGATGGATAGATAGATAGATAGGACAGATAAGATAGATAAGTTAGATGAATCATATAGATAGATAGATGGATAGATGGATAGAAAGATGGATGGATGGATAGATAGATAAATAGATAGATAGATAGAATAGGTTAGAATAGAATAGATTAGTTTAGATTAGATTTGGGTTAGATTTAGATTTAGATTAGATTTAGACTAGACCTAGATTAGATTTAGCTTAGATTTAGGTTTAGGTTAGATTTAGAATTAGATTAGATTAGATTAGGTTGATTGTTACATAGATAGATAGCTAGCTAGGTAGGTAGATAGGTAGATAGATAGGTAGGTAGATAGATTGATAGATTGATAGATTGATAGATTGGTAGATAGGTAGGTAGGTAGATAGACTGATAGATTGATAGATAGGTAGGTAGGTAGATTGATTGATAGATTGAAAGGTTGGATAAATAGATAGTTTAGAAAGATTAAATAGGTTGGATTAGATTAGATTAGCATTGATTAGATTAGATTGATAGGCAGACAGACAAACAAATATACAGATAGGTTAGATGCATTAGATAGATAGACCGATAGATAGGTAGATAGATAGACAGACAGATAGACAAGCAAATAGATAGATTGGAGGTGTTAGATAGGCAGACAGGCAAACAAACAGATAGATAGATACATAGAAGATAAATGAGACAGGCTAGGTTAGATAAACAAAAAACAAAAGAAATACAAACACGCAAGCAAAAAATTAACAATTTTTCCGTCTATTTTGCACATAACTCTGATTTCCCAGGCTTCCAAACCACCAACCCAAACCCTGTATAAATGTAACCTGAACGAAGGGAAACAATGGGAGACAATTAAAGGGAGACCAGGCCCCCGGGAAGGTGGACACACCACCCAACAAAGGGAAACAAGAAGGGCACAATGGGAGACAAAGGGAGAGAAGACCCTCGGAAAAGCGGACGCGCCATCCAACAAGAGAAAACAAGAAGGGGTACAATGAGAGACACAGGCAGACAAGACCCACACACCATCCAACACCAAGGCGGACACCTTAAGAAAGTATTAAGAACCCCTAACAGTACACTGCTTGGGGAACAAGAAGGGAGACAAGGGGAGACAAGGGGAGACAAGACCCTCGGGAAGGGGGACATCCAACAAAGGGAAACAAAAAGGGGTACAATTGGAGACAAGGGGAGACAAAAGGGCAGACAAGGGGAGACAAGGGGAGACAAGACCCTCGGGAAGGCGGACACACCATCCAACAAAAGGGAACAACAACTGGCACAATGGGAGACAAGACCCTCGGGAAGGTAGACACACCATCCAACACCAAGGCGGACACCTTAAGAAAGCATTGAGAACCCCTAACAGCACACTGCTTGGGGAATAAGAAGTGAGACAAGGTGAGACAAGGGGAGACAAGGGGACACAAGGGGAGACAAGACCCTCGGGAAGGGGGACATCCAACAAAGGGAAACAAGAAGGGGCACAAGGGGAGACAAAAGGGGAGAGAAGACCCTCGGGAAGGTGGACACACCATCCAACAAAGGGAAACAAGAAGGGGCACAGGGGGAGAGAAGGGGAGACAAGACCCTCGGGAAGGCGGACACACCATCCAAAGGGAAGACAAGGGGAGACAAGGGGAGACAAGACCCTTGGGAGAAGGTGGACACACCATCGATTACCAAGGCAGGCACCTTAAGAAAGCATTAAGAACCCCTAACAGTAAACTGTTTGGGGGAAAACCATTTGAGCGATCTGAATTGCACTTCTCACATGTCCTTATTTTGGTTTGATTGTACGGGAATTCCGGCAGATTATCACAGGGCCAAAAAACGTAAAATGCCCTTATGTGGGGCTTGCGTGTCTATGATTTTTACCTTTCGCGCACTTTGATATTTTGGATTTTCTTTCTACTGACTCTCTCTTCCGTGACTCTTCCCACCACTGTTGCTGCATCTGCCTTTAAGTCGAAAGGAAGTTTGACTTCTAAATTTCCTTCGATGACTTGCATGGTCCGATTGAGACATGTTTGGAACCCACATCCAGCAGCTTGCCCTGCCAGGTGTCTCATCACCGACGAGGAGGTAGGGCTTGGAGGAAACAATCGTCCATGCAGTAGGGTCTCGCAATGTTGGAAATGGGACCCCTTGCTTGGGGCAGATCATGTTTCCTGTATCTAAAGACATGGAAAGGCAAGCTTAGCTGAGTTTGCGCATCAAACTACATTCAAATCTCCAACACCATGGTCCCGCAGAGCGTACCAGCGCGAACTAGTTGTTTTGACGCTGGGAGCTGGCCGCTACATGAATAAAATCTGACAGCTGTTTGTAACAGGTCACGGTAGTTTCTGGGATCCAACTCCCAGATTGTGCTTAGCGATGATTGGCAGACACCTTGTATGCCCACTTCTGTGCAGAGTCAAGTATTTGCATGCTATTCGGATGCAATTTGCAGCCATCAAGGGACGCTGTGTCGCACATGGCAGCCGCTGTATCCATTCTTGAGCCCGGCCAGAGCACATTCAACAGTGAAGAGGTTCAGCGCCTGCGACGGAAACTTTCACAGGACTGATTCTGTTAGTATCACCACGTAGTGCTTCAAGATCTTCAAGATACGTCCAAGCAGTGACAAGTCTTGCTAGGTGTTGAGATAGGTGTGGATAGGTGTGGATTGGTGTGCCATGTACTGACATGTAAATCATGTAATGACCATGCAGTGCTCTTTGCATCTCTTTGTTTTCCAAGTCCCGAAGTCCGCAGGAGTCCTCCCAACGCGAGCTGTTGCAGACAGGCTTCCAACGCTTGGCGCGGAACTTGGAAGTTTGCCGTGAGCGCCTCACCGTCTTGGACCGGCCAGACGTGGGAAGGATCTTGGAGACCCTGAGGCCTTTAGAGTGCCTTGGCCTGCATCTGGATGAGAGTGGACAAAGAGATATATGGATACTGTAGTTGTGGACAACCAAACGAATCAATATGAATCAACAGGAAGAACATGACAGGACACTAAATGCTTTAAACAAAAGAAAACATGTCATTAAATGACTACAGATGACTACAGAAAAAGAAATTTTGGTGAAGCCGCGTGCGTAGTGAAACGAATACGAGAAACCCACACACACACACATTAGAAAAGAAGTGGATCATTGGAGTGATCCGTTGGGGACTGAATCCCAAAACATGCAATTAGATATATATATATATATATATATATATAATGACCCGTATATATATATATATGTGTGTGTGTATTTATATATATATAGGCTATGGTGTCCACCAGCTGCGACTTAAATGCGCCCAGGTGCACCACCAAAGCGCAGCAGGTACGTTTACACGGGTCCCGGGGAGGTGTCTTCGTTGATCGCCGACCCCCTGCTTTTGTATTTTTTTTAAAATTATAATATATAATGCGCCTCCGTCAAAGTTCTACGTCTGTTCAGATGTTTCACACACACACACACTGACAAGACTGGATCTTTTAAGAGATCCGTCGGGAACTAAGTCCCCCAACGTGCAACTAGATTAGTTACACACACACACATATATATATATATTAAGACAACCGTAAGGTTGGACATCCAAGCTGTGCACGTTGGCACCCATGGACTGTCCGGAATACGTTCAGGATGACATCCCATTTGCGCACGACGGCACCCAGGGACTGTCACTGCAGTGCCCAGCTACGGCCCCCACTTAAGGGGTTGCCGTCCAGGGCCACTGCAAGCAGGTACGTTTTCACGGGTCCCGGGGGGTGTCTTCGTTGGCCACCGACCCCCCCGGGACCCCGGTGGCCCCCTGCTTCAAGGTATAAAATAATATAATATATAATATAATGAATTACGAGCAAAGTTTTACGTCTGTGCAGACGTTCCACACACACCCTGCCTTTGGGTTGTTTTATTTTGATGAGATGAAAATGAAGATGAATTGAAAATTTACTCACCCGGGACACGAGGAGGGGAACGCAAAAGAAGAGGGAGAGGGCAAACACCAACACCAACACACCTGGCCCGGAGCGGGCAAACCCTGAAAGGGCAAGGGAAAAGAAGAGAGGTGGCCGACGGACACGGAACAAGACCAACGGAGGGGAAGGACGGAAGCGCCTGAAGCAACCTACCACAGCGAAACCTACGCCTACCTAGGCACGCACAGGACCCAACCAACAAAATTCATTAAATGGGATTCAGTTCAAACCTAGAAGTTCGTGCGTTATTCCTTCAAACGGGACCGTTTTCGTTCAAGCCACATGGGCAGTATCCGGCTATTCAAAGTCAACTGATTTAAGTGCACAAAATGTTTGACCTCACCAGAAAACCATCGAAAGAAAGTGGGCCACACCTGAAAGCATGCAGCCTCAAGCCTTCCATGATCCATGAGTGCCATATTGCGCTTGGAAATAGACTGAACTGCTGACATGATGTCAAAAAGAAGGTTTGTGGCTGTTCGGAACAGCTTCACTTGAGCAGAATTGTAGTTTCCTGGGAGATCAGCGAGACAAAAAGGCTGGTAACAGCAAGGCCGACTGTTGCACTTTACGTAAACGAATTACGAAGTCAAAACTGTAAATTCAGACGTCAGGTTTGCCGACATTCACCTTAAGCCTGACTCAAGTGGGCCCATGGCACCATGTCGGAGCCACCTAGAAAAGAATTGGATCATTGTAGTGATCCTTTGGGGACTGAATCCCATAACATGCAACTAGACAGGGTGTATGTATGTATAAATATAAAAATATATATACATATGTATATATACATGGGCTTTGGCGGCCACCAGCTGCGACTTAAATGCGCCCAGGTGCACCACCAAAGCGCAGCAGGTACGTTTACACGGGTCCCGGGGAGGTGTCTTCGTTGATCGCGGACCCCCTCGGGACCCTGGTGATCCCCTGCTTTTGTATTTTTTTAAAAAATTATAATATATAATGCGCCACCGTCAAAGTTTTACGTCTGATCAGATGTTTCACACACACACACATACACAAATTAACTTCCAAGTTTGGGGAGCTAGCTGGGGTGAGATGTCATAGTGCGGTCACATGCCCTTGGTTCTGGAATGCCAGCAGCGCCGATCAAACGCGCGGTGGCTGGTGGGAATGCCTGGTTTGAGGTTGGTATGGCAAGAGCTGTCACAGGCATGCTCCACAGCTCGCCAAGTGGAGGCAATGTGGAGGTATCAGACGATTATCATGTTTCTTGGATCTTGGGGTCTCCAGGTTTGCTAGCCACCCAAGCTGCCAATAGTTGCCATATGATTGGACTTTAACATGCCGAGTGTCATGCCGTGTTGCAGGCCGGGGCTGGAAGTTATGAGTTTCTTCGGCACTCCTTGGAGGCGCGCTGGTCAAGCACCAAAACAATCCCACCGTTTGCTTTGAATTTGCACATACTGATGCTATTTGGATCTATTTGGCATTAAATTAGTGATATTGACTGATTCATGATGATTCATGTTCTTAATCCTTGATGTCACATGTGGTCCAAATTGGCCATAGGGCACAACTTGGCACAACTGGGCCCCCTACGGAGGTTACCCAGCGTGAGTGTGAAGAGTTGAGTGCAAAGATGCTACGCCAGAGCCAAGTGAACGATGACTTGGAGCAGAAGTTGGCCCATGCCAAGGCCATCCCACCATGCACAAGCAGTGTCCAGAGCAAACAAGATATTGTATCATGGCATGCCCAGGCCGCCCCAGTCCTTGCATTCCCTATATTGTTCACAATGTTTCATATTAGTTAACATACGTTAACATTCCATATAGATATATAATGATATATACATATATGTATATGCATTAATACACGCTAGAACCGCTAGAAGACACATTTAGTCATGACCTCACATCGTCCCATCACTCCTGGATGTTGACCGTGCCCAGGCAGCGCGCCAAAGACTTGAAGAAACCTTGCAGGGAAACGAGGATGAACTTCAACGGCTGAAACACCAAGAAGCCTTCGAGAAGGACCTGCAGTAACGCTGCGTAGTCACTGTTGGCATGAATGGACCTCAATGCCATCCAAGCAGAGCGGCCATATCTGAACCATCCAAGCACCTTCACGTGCATTTCCCCAACAGCTCCTGATGGGATTTCCACGGCACAGGAGCGGTTGGAAGACTTCCGCCGCAGATCAAAAGCAGAAGCATCTTGGTTTTGGTCTGTGGACCTAAAAAATGATCTCACGATGTGATAAAACATGTGTTTCATTGTGTTTCTATTTCTCGTCATCGTTTTATTTTTTATTGACACTGCTCTCCAAGCCATCAACAGCATGCCAAGCTGTTTTTTACGGTCCCACAAAGGCGGATGCGAAAGAGGTAGAAGCAAGGAGACTCCATGAGCAAGTACTGGCCTCAGCAAAAAGCTCAGTTTCCATTTGCAGGTCAGCCAAGAGGACCCTTGAAAATGTAGCAGATAGGGGATGCGGTGTGATGCAGAACCAATCAAGAATTGACCAGAGCTAAGAATTATATATTAAGAATTGCATTCCATCCAGTGTAATTGGTGAATATTGGTGAATCATCAGAATCCATGGCATTGCTGCATGCTCACATGAGCATCTATGCCCTAATTATGCATGTAAAATATCTCTATGAAATGGAGGGGGACAAGGCTCACCATAAACCGTTCTCTACCTGCATCTTCGACCCTCCATCCAGGTGATTTTATAGAAACAGTGTTTTTCTATGTTTTGTTTTTTGCCATTTTACAGCCTAGCGCAATGATTCTGCTTTCCTGGTAGGGGGTCTCAAGGCAACTTATTTTAGGTCAACTGATTGGTGAAAAGGGGAGGCAGGACGTACCAAAAAGACGAGCCGGCGACGATTTCACCCAAGATATCCCGACATCTTTTTTTGGATCAGCAATTTCTGGCTGAAGAAGCAACATGAACCGATTCACAGCAGGTTTGAATCATAGAAAAATTAGACCAATGCAGTGCCTGGAGATCAAGCAGGGCTGTGTGGCTCAACATGCCAAGGGGCAGCCACCATGTAAAACACAAAACTTCGACAAAAAACATACATAGTAAACTAAACACAAAACATGTTGGGATGAAATAGGCCAAGAAAAAGTTTAAGAGGATAAATTTAGTGGCTAAGTAGCTCTACGTGATCTAGCTACCTGGCCCATTTAGATCACACATACATGAGGAGTGATCAAAATCCACCAAGACCGAATTAGTCAAAGTTGTCCATTACCGGAAATTGAAGCTGCAGTCGCGGAAGATCTGGCGGAAGGAAGTATTCTCAGTCGCTTCGTGGAAGCTCCACGGAAGCTCTGCGGAAGTGCCAATCATTGCACATGTCACCGCGGAAGCCAAAGCCCAAGCCACTGCGTGGGGGAAGCATTGGCGGAAGAGAATGGAAGTGGACGGGAATCGCTTGATATCGTTTGGGGGTTTTGAACACTGCTCACATAGGGATGGTTACTGGATTCCTTGCTGCCCGTTCATCCCACCATCAAGCCTCTTAACGACTTGTTTGCTGAGGCGTTGGCGGAACGGACCAATCACCACCATCAAAGCATGGTGCTGTTGAAGGCCAAGTTGCAAAAACTGCGACAGGGCCTTCCACCCGCCAAGTTGCAGCTGCGAGCTATGCGTCCTTGGGTGGCAAGACGGCTTGTGGCGAGCGGTGCAGCTACAGGGAAGACAGCAGCCACAGTGTGTCCTACCAGTATGTGATGTGTGAGAGGTGACACAAGAATTCTTTTGATAGGAGTCTTGGTTTTCAACTCCAGCCGAGCAACCAAGGAGAAGCACTTGAGAAGCCGGCCATCCAAGGTATGCAGAAGGAGCTGCAGACTGACCTGAGCCGGATGGAAACAAAGATTTTGACGAATCTGACGTCCTTTATGTGACTTGAGTGCAGGCAGACCTGTGCGGTAGGGGCAGGGATGGGCAGCGAGATAGAGATAAAAGATGGCAGCAACATGAACCTCAGGCAGCTGATGGCTGCAAATTTTGAAATGACACCAAGTGCTGAGAACTTCAACTAAAATGGAGGGGCTAATAGGGAAGTGCGCACTGACACGATTTGGGCCTGAGCTGAGCAAGATGTCCCCCAAACTGTTGCCCTGCAAAGTGCTAGCTCTCCCGTGTTGAAAGAGGTCGGTAACTGGGCTAAGGCGAATACAGGGTGCCAAGAAATTCGCTTCCGAAAGTACAGCGAAGCAGCTGGAGATACAACTCGCGCGCGAAAGTGAGAGGCAACGACAGGAGCTATTGGAAGTCAATACTGTATGTTTCGGGAAGGCCATTAGCCGTGGTGTATTCAGAGTATTTCGGCATGGGATGTGTACAGATGATCACTTGGCAAATTCAACTCCACTTTGCACTTCTTTGGAAATCACAGCTCCATGTGGCAACACCTGGTGGTTTGGATATCTTCAGATGATCCGTATCACAGGAGAATCTCAGGACAGCACAGCAACAGGCCATAGTAGCTGCTGATGCTGCAGATTTTCAGGCCGGCGTTTGGGTGGCAACGGGTCCAGTAGACAGGCTCCCTGCACCCCTCATCACCCCTCTATGTTTTTGTCTCTAATTAAAGCTATTTAAATATGGATGGTGTTAATGATTATGTTGCCACCAATCTCTGAAGCCACAAGTCACGGAGGCGCACTCCACTCGAGAGATCGAACGGCTTTCGTCCCAGCTGCGCGCCACTAGCAGTGCGCTGACGGCTGAACGTTCCATGGCAATTCAGGACACTCTGGATTTTGGTGAAGGCAACTTGACTCTAGGATAGTAACTCGGATAGTAGTAGGGTAAGAGGGATATGGGCCATATCGGGTGATGCTAGGACAGGATATGACAGGATACGTTTGTTTTAATTTGTTTTCTGTGGTTGAATTGTTGCACTCCATGCGCGACTTTCCTGCACTCTGCAGGAGCAGTCCCAAAAGGAGAGACTTGCGGAAACTGCTGAAGCCCAGCAGAAAAAATCAACCTCCGCTTTGGAGAGAGCCAGGTGCAGACAAATCAGGTCTTGCATGTCCACGGTCAAAATGCAAGAGTGGCCAAGAAAGTCTGGAAATACTGACAACACTGCACACGGCTCTTGTATTTTCTGGGGCGGTTTCAAAGTGACGTTCACCCACCCGCCACTACCGGATCATCTCAATTTTCCAGCGCTTGATCCTTCAGTGAGTCTGCCGGACCAACATCCAAGCGAGGCAGGAGCTGCAAAACCTGCAAGTTGCCAAAGCCACTGCCGAGGCTGAGCTGCAAAGGCGTGTAATACGGTTTCATGGCATGAATTCAAAGAACTGCACATTGACGATGGATATCATGACCACGGGAAATCGAGAAGGTTGATGTTTTTAATATTTTTTAATGTTGTTTGAGTCGTTTTCACTGGTGCTGATTGAACCGATGGGACTTGAGTGATGCTGGGCCAATTTCAAGATCGGTGGATCACCGTGGTGCTGGAGAATTGCAGATATTGCAGGCAGCAGGAATCATTGCGTTTGCTGCGGAAGCAAACACGTACCTTCCCAAGACTTTCTTTTGCTTCCACGGGTGCAAACATGTGCAGACCATCAACTTACACAAACTTACATGCAGGCCATTGCATGTGTCCTCAAATCAAGTTCCACGTAGCGGATGTGCCAAACTTTGAAGCAGTATGTGGCAGTGATTTCATTGACCTGCACGACTTGGTTTATGCATTAAATTTGGTGCCCAGGTGAAACCTGCGACAGCATCAGCATGGTGACAAATGGCAACGAACATTTGAAGGCCCTGGAGCATGAACACACTTTAACAAAGACCTCACCAAAAAGATCGCATATGATATATATATATACACATAAATCGTAGGTGAGTATTGTCACATTGGCCAGGGCTCTGAAGATTCTGAAGGATAAAGCAGCTGCAGATCACCTGCGCATGCCAAGGGAGACTGTAGGCTTCTCATAGCTGTCCTCTTCCAAGAATGGATTCAGAGGATCGAGATTTGGACAGGAACAATTGGCTGAGTACAAAGCACGTGCTCAAAGAGTTCAACAGGAAGAGGCCATGTTCAACCTGCAGTTCAAGCTTTCCCAGTGGCCTTTGGAATGTACAGGTCATGCTTCATTTAGATTTATTTAGATTCATTGCGGAGAAAGATTTTGTTCAATAGCGGTTCCTCAAAGATGCTCAAGGCACCCCCGCAGCATTGGAGCTGTCAGAGCGTGTGAAGCGTGTGAAGTGTGTGAAGCCAGGAAGCAAACATGAAGTCTGCCCATGCGGAGGAGCTGCTAAGACGGCAGCATGCTCACGAGGCCCTGTGCAAAGTGACATCATGTGATATCATGCGACATCATGTGTGCCATGTATTGCCATGTGACATAACATGAATCACATGTGCACACATGAGACCCGGTGAGGTAAGGTAAGATATGCAAGATTTGTTGGATCTACCGGACCGATATCATCCTATATCAACAGGTCTGGACATGTGATGCCCAGCAATTGCAGCAATTGTTCTCCAGGCAGACTTGGTTGCCCTGAAGACTCGTGCCGCCGAATTGGACCAGAAGATCCTGTTGAGGGAAGCCGAAGCAGCTTCCCAGCAGGAGCAGTTCCTCGCCAGGGATGACAGGGAAGCTGTGTGAGGGTGATGAAATTCACACTTACAATATATATAATATGTAACAGTAACAGTCGAAAGATGTTTGCACACTTGGGTGATGGAAGGTATATGCGATGTTTGTAGCATGTTCTCATATGTTCTCTCTTGATTCTGGTCATTCCTGCGTTCACATGCGAGGTCGGAAGCAGCTAGTAAGACTAGACAGGCATTGCAAGAGGAGATTGCAACGTTGAAAAAACAATGCCACTTGGCTGAGGGACCGGTCTTCCGCACATCATGTCTGTCTGATTGCTTTTCTGAATCTTTGCAGATTTTGCGGTGCATGTGCCACCATGAGTTGCGGTCAGTGCCGTTAAGCAGTCCAGCATCACTGAAGGTGCAGACCTTGGCGAGAGCCGAAAAGCATTGGAGGATCTCACACCCAGTGTGCGTTGTTTGCAGCTTCGCTGTTTCGCATGTTTGCCCAGTTGTTCTCATGCGTTTAGTGATGCTGTTTGTGCCGCAGCGCCAGCTGGCATGTCTACAACTTTTCAGGTTCAGAAGGAAAGTGTCAATGACAGTCATCATTGTAGGCTTCTGAAGTCAACAGATTATCCGCTAGCTTGATCTAGCTTGTGCGTGTAGGCTATCAGTTTTGCCCTGTTGGCCGAAGTTCTTATTTTTGGAGGTAGGAACCAGATGGAACCAGATTCCCACCGAAACGGAGGAGACAGCCATGAAGGAGGAAGAGCTCTGGGCGCAAGAAAGACTTGCCTTGAAGACCTCCTTGGAAGAAGTGCGGTTGGAGGCCCTGCGCGTCCGCAGCCCCATGTTCACAAAGGGCAACTGAACATCTGTAACAGTCAACTGTGAAACTTTTCGGTCTTCAGTTGTTTCATCCAAAATGTCAGGATTGTTGTGTTCCTCTCATTGAAATGACTTCAAAACAGCCCTGACCGGCCTCTCGCCTTACAGTATTAAGGCTTGCCAGTCCGGAAGCGACCAGTCCTCGATGTTTGTTGGACCCAATCGAATCCAATCAATCTACAGAGTCGCTAAGTTGTCTCCAGCCAGCAGGTTGAGAGGTTGGAGGAGTGCAGCCAGGCGGCGACCAAGCAGGCGGCAGTTGCCAAAATCAGACCCTATCTATAGCCAGGCTGTCTCTGGAGCAGATTCATTTTTGACCCAGAGGAAAATGAAGGCTGGCGTTGCACCTGTACCTCAACATGTGCGAAAAGTTGCGTGCCTTTTCAATTCATCTTTACAGTCTTTGCGTGTCCTAAGAGTGGCAAATCTCCAAAGTATTTGAATGCGTTTGTGCCTGTCAATGAAAATGACAGAGATGCGCATCACTTGCTGAAATTGGCAGGCACAGGCCAGAGCTGCAGAGCTCAGCAGAAGACGACAAGAGCAAAACGATCACATCGAGTCTTTGAAAGCCGACCTGTTCTCCACCTGCAGAAAGCGCATGTCTCGATCCCTTTCCAGCTCCCACTTCTTGAACCAAGGCATAAGGCGAAAGCCCAGTTGAACGAGGCTAAGAACCTGCTAATTGCGGAGAACGATGCGCTTCTGGGCCTGAACTGCCTAGACAGCTAGGGATCCTTATGATCCTTGTGTATCCTTGTGTTGTTTCCAGATCAGCAGAGATCAAAGATAGGAATTGATTTTAATGCTACAGGCATCCCATGGCATCCCATGTCGTAGTAGATGGTCCCGTCACCAATGTTTTTGTCGCACATGTGGCTCAAGAGGGGCAAGAGCCTGTTCCCACCTTGACATTGCCATTGAGCTGACTGCATAAGGTTAAGAGATGCCTCGACAGCGCTACAAGGGAATCCTCGAGACGGCTTGGAGGCCAGGTCCAAGCAGGTATACAAATGGGTTGGAAGATTCTGGATTTGGAAAGTTGAAAGGAAATCAGTGGCCGCTAGACTGGCTAACCATGGCTGACCTTTGCCTGCATGATTCGAGTGCGCGGCAATTCTTTGGAGCCGGTGGCGTGTTGCCATGTGTTGCTTCACATCTTGCTACTGAGGGTCTCGCCAGCAGAAGCAGCGCGCTGCAGGACAAGGTGCAGACCAACAGAGATGGCAAGTCAGCTAATGGCGATTTGTTCAAAATGTCTTGGTGTAAATGCAGCAAATTAATGCAAATTAGTGGTCTGGAATGGCTGGACCTGGAGACCACCCGGCAAATGGTCTAGAATGGTCAGCTGGATCATTTTAGACCCCTCGACTTTCTATGCATATCATTGTACTTATGGATATCATATATATATATATTTGATTATATTTGTATGTAGTTGCTGATCATGTAGATTTAATTTTTGTGTTTGTTAGTGGCAGTGACAAGTGTGAGTTCATTTAGCAAGAAATTCTGAATCATAAAAGTTTCAGAGACCCTGTTGGGCCATATGGGCCGCTAAAAATTGGTAAGGTGTTGTTGCTCACGCATAGTGCTCCCAAAATGGAAGCGCATAGTGCCCAAAAAAATATAATACTAACATAAAATCTGAAAGGCCCTCAACTGACACGTAAAGATTCACAGACCCTGACCCTCTTATTAAATTTTTGAGACACGCACCGCAAGTTGAACAGATATTAGGGGGAGGGTCTGAAATAATATTGCCCTTCAGTTTCAAGATTTTTTCTCCTCCTAGGCCACAAGAAAACCAAATTTGACCCCTGAAGCTTGGGAACAGCCAATGGCCAATGCATAATGCTCCCAAAATGGAATATACAAAATGTTGTCAAAAGTCCAAAGTTTTCAAATGTAATCCCCACAAAAAAAAGACTATAATTTTGGTAGGGCTCAAGTTGGAGATTGAATTTATTTAATGCCGTATCAATTCCAAACCGTCTCATACGTTGTATCTTGATAGTTCCAAATATGTCCAGCGAGAACTCCATTCTAGACCAGGCAGCTCCGGGCCACGTAAAGGCCTGGAGTGGTATAGCTTTTTTATGCTTTTTTTTGGCCAAACGGTTCAAGGGCGTTCAAATTAGACCAGGGTTTGGGGGTCTAAAATGAAGCCCCAGGGTCCCTAGGTAGCAATTAATTGTTAGTAGTGGAGGGTATCGATTCTATTAGTAAGGCTTTGCCAGGACCCCCTGCACGTGGTTGGCACTTCTGCGATATGGAGAGTCTTGCAAATATCACCGTGTGATTTTAGTCTCAGGAGGCGTTTGACGTCCATATTTGGTTTTGTCATCCAAGATGGTACAATCTTCACCTTGCCAGGAGGCTCTCAGCCGATTTCTGGAAGCCAAGGGTATGCAAGGACACTTGGCTGATTTCTTTCTTCAGTTGTGTGTGTGCATGCTGAGTGGCGAGAAATGATTGCAATTGATGCCGCCTGAAAAGCCCTTCGCACCTTTCATCTCAGTCATGTCATTCAAGGTTCGGATGGTCACCGACGATTCCCAACTCGTGCGTATCTTGACTAGAAGGGAAATCGGAAACACCGGGAGACACGGATGTGCTTGAGTGTGCAATTCGAGTCTTTTTGTGCCCCAGCTAGAAGGACGTGCAAACGGATTCATGTTGTTGTCGTTGACTTGCTTTGACTCGTTGGATAGTTTGGTGGCGCTTTGTCAACCTGTCACTGAAAGCTGCGCTTGTTACAGTATGATTCTAACCGTCTCCCAAGACAATCTGAAGTGACCCCAGCGACTGATCAGGATGGAAAGCCCACTGACACACCAGGACCGGAGGGAGACGTGCTCGTCCTGCACCACAAAGGGCCCTTTGAACATGGTATGTCCAAATGTGTCCAAGTGTTTAAAGGCAAAAAGAAACAGCTTGGAGAAGTCACAGAGTTTGAGAATCCACATTGCAATCTCACCCTCTACAGGTACCAAAGTATGAAAATCTCAGATGCAAAATCTGCAACAATGACGTTCGCAGGATCCATTGAGCCAAGCAAGCTTTCGCCATGCAGCCGTTGGAGACGTTCCCTGGCCTTTCTGATGTGATGGATACTGGGTCTAACACGGTCCAATTGTTTGTTCTTGAGTGGTGCTCACATACTTCCAACACTTGAGACACTTGAAAGAGCTGGCCATCTCTTTTCCTCTCCGAAGATACTTCCAGCATTGTGTTCCCGGGCTTTTTTTTCCCACACCTGGACCAAGCCTTTATGCCAAGTTTCGTGGAACTCCGCTTTCCAGGCAGCGCTGTGGCGCGAAGCCCAGGAGCAGCAACGACTGGCTTCTCGGCTGCGAACCAGTGCCAGGGCTAAGCTTCGCAAATGCAAGTGACTTCAAGGGTGGCATACATGGGTTTCTATGAGAAAGTCATTGAATTTGGAATGATTTGGAATCGCGGAAGTCTAGTCACTCATCCTAAAAAGAAAACTGATGAAACTGAACATTGTTTCCAGATGGCGAGAGATGTGTTGGAAGAAAGACGCCGAGTATCAAGTACACCAAGTACTCCACCATGGTCATACCAAGTCATACCAAATCGTTTGCAAGTCCCAAATGTCATTGGTTGAGTCACATTGAGTCCCCGATAGTCGTCTCCAAGGCTTTGGCTCATGGCCGCGCGCAGCTGGATGCAGCTCTGGTGGAGACGGAGCAATGGACTCTTCCCATGGTGTGGAAGGAGCGAAAAACGAGGCAGTAGGTCATGGTAGGTCCTATTCCTGCACGTGTTGCATATGTATCTAATGTATACAATTGCATACAAGCGTATATTTGCAGTTTATATACGTATATATATATATATACACATGTATGCATGGTTGCAAATTCAAAAAGAATGAGAACGAGGACATTGGTGTTGCTTGACAATCGATAGCATCGTAGAGTCGTGGAAGGAAAGTCATTTGGCACGGGGAGCTGTGAAGAGAATCTGTAACGAGAACGCAAAAGCCTTGTTTATCTTTTTTGGGTTTTTTAGATATGCGATGTTTGACGTTTGAAGTTCAACTGCTGCTGCAAGGTTTGAATTGTGTCACTGGCTCGAACCAAGGAAGCATTTGTTGGACGAAAAGGCTCAGGCTTCGCCGCCAGAACGACGGCCAGCGAGCTTCGATCGCAATGTTGGAACCCTGAGAGTTGGCGTTGAGGGACCAATCTGGCGAATCTGGTGTAAAAAAAAACAAGCCTGCACAATGGCTGCATATATGGTTACCATACTAATTAATTGGGTTTCATGGGCAACTTACTTCTGGGAAGGGCTTTGCATGTCTGCCACAAGATACCACAAGGTCATTTGAGTCACGTGCCATTTGCTGCCAGAGATCATTTGGTGCGTTCCTTTGCCTTTGCCCACAAATCTGACTAAGGACCTTAGGATTCACAAATCGTTATGAGCCGGTCACTCCTGATGCAGTGAGAAGGTTTTGACGAGGGTCCTTGAAAAGCTGGATCCAGATTTAAAATAAATATTCTTGCGCCGCAGTTTGTGATGGTGTGTTAGCCGTCCAACATAAGTTGACCAGCTTGCAACCTTGACAGACAGGGTATAAAGAGAGGATACTGATGGTTTGCATGTGGGTATGTGGATTGTGCTATACATTTGTGAAGCTAGTCTTGGTATGTTTTGGTATTCGTTTCAGTAGCCGTTTTGTTGGCCACGTCGTATTGCCTGATGTTTTGGTGGGCAGGCCGCTGTACATAGAAAAGATCAAAATTATGAAAAGGCCAAATGACAACCGATGGATTCCTGATTCGCTGTGGAGAAAAGGGCTCATGCCGCAGTCAGCAGGTCAGAAGACCTTGGCTGACATCAACACAACAATGTACAGACATGATCTGACATGTACAGGCCAACATAAACATCATAAACACAATCAAAATTCTGCCGGAAGGCAGCCGCAGGTCAGATGCCGCCGCTATGATTCTCTTGTGGCCTGACCGCCAGGTGACCATCGTGAAGACCGGGGCGACCGGGGCGACCGGAGTGACCGGGGTGACCGGGGCGACCGGGGCGACCGGGGCGAGCGGGGTGACCGGGGCCGGCGGAATGCCAACCGAGCCAAGCGCGCTTCTCCACAAGCGAACCGAAGCCGGAGAGGCCAACATGGCAGCCTGGTGACATGAATTGGAACCTGTGATGCTTCCGTTGGTTGGGCGACAGGTAGCTTGGCAGTCGTAGGTATCGTGAGGACGTGGGCCATGGTATAAGAACATATGATAACTACAAAAGAGATTTGAAGTCACCATTTTTTCCTGCAGAGTTCATGCATCATGTTTGCATGTTTGCTGTCCGAGATTGTTTGGTTGAATGGGAGGTGATGGCGGCCGGGACGAACGGAAACCCTTGCCAGTGCCGGGCATCTCAAGCATATATCAGAGCATGCTATGTCAAGTAGTCAGCCCGTCAGGGACTGAGTCAACGATCCTTTGTTAAAAGCAGAACTCAAGCAGTTTGGCGCAGCTGCTCGTGTGCTCTAGTTCAATGCGGCTGCCCGTCCGCCAAGAAATGCCATCATTAAATGTGAAAGCTATTGCCCTCGGAGCTCGAAATCGGGTAACAAAACGCTTCTAGCCCCAGCAGCTTCTCCGTTACGATGTGTTTCCAGTCGCGTGCAGACCTGACAGGGGGCCAAGCGTGATCAACAGATCTTTCTATTAGATGAAATGGAACATGGGAAGCCTCTGGAGCCATCCTGCCTCAGGCTTTCAGCGAGAGAAAAGCGTCGCGAGGCTGCATTGAAGACAGCCAAAGCGTCACTTGGGCTGCACATTTGAGCTGCAGAAGTTGCTACGTGCCACAGGATTGGAACCAAGAGCTGTCAATCAAGCCCCAAGTTTGCAGCATTTCGCAGCATGTTTCAATGTTTTTCAGCTGTTTGTTTTTCCCCTTGAGTCTACAGCAGGCACCATAGCAGTCACAGCTTCGTTTGCTTGAGGAAAGCGCGCCCAAAGGCTTTACCGAAGGAAGGCGCCAGTCCGATTCCATGTGAATGGTAGTTGTTGTTGGAGCCTTCAAGCACTTGAACAGTCAAGTTCTGCATGAATATTAATATTAATTGTTGGCATATATTATACACATTTAAGATCATTTAAGTATGTGTGTGTGTGTCTAATCATCCATTCATTTATTTATATTGTACATATTCCAACACGGAATTGCTTCAAACATATATTTTGTTTACCGGCCCCCAATCATGCAACATTGACCTGATGGCTGTAGCATTATGAGAATGTGTTTGGAAAAGACTGGGGCATTGAAAATGAATAGTTGTCGCATGTTGTTGCATTTTTTTGGCCATGTGCATTTTATTTGTAGTAGATGATCAGTAGATGTGCATGTCTCATTTGCAAGTCTGGCGCATGCAATTTGACGGCTGGATTGGATTTGCATGTCTGATTGCATTCTTTGCATGCAGTTTGGCGCGTCGATTTGATTTGCATGTCTGATTTGCATTCTTTGCATGCGGTTTGGCGCGTCGATTGGATTTGCATTTCGGATGTGCATGTCGGCCGGGCTGGATTTCCTGCGCTTCCCTCGCTACAGTGTTGCATGATTTGTTCGCACTCTGGAACCACTACAGCAGTGAAAGCTTCTTCCGAGTCATTGTCAGCCTACTGTGACACCTACCGATAGTCCGCCTTTTGCGGACCAAAGTCATGCCAAGGTCATTCAGGAACAAATACTATAACATATTATATAACAGTTACAATATTGCTGCATTTGCCGCTAACCATTGGTTGCTATGTCAGGTGGGGAAGACCAAGGTACCAACGACCAAGCCAGCACCAGAGGAGATCGCAGGATGCAAGCGAAGTCCAAAGAAGAGGACATAGCTGACATAGCTCCAGGATGTTTGCGGCAAGTTTGCGGAAGAAAAACCAGCTGCTAGGGCATCCCTCGGTATTGCAATCTTGGTAACATTTGGACATCACCCCACATATTTTCTTGTCTATCCATTTGAAATCTGTCAAGTCTTGACACTGCCACACTGCCACACCTTGGTATGGATGAACTTGCAGGACAACAAACAACCCTTTGCAGCAAAGCAAGTTAATGCCAAAACAATTCAAGCTACCATTCAGGCGCGTGTTGCAGCCACTGTTGCCACTGCATTTGGCCAGAAAAACTCTAGGACTCTAGGAATCGGAGCTGTTTCTGGATGTTTTCAGATACCTGGACAAAGCGGACCTATATCAGGTACCCAACAATCCTTACCGGTCTTTAGCCCTTCCATCTTGCTCAGGCGAAACGACAGAAACTCGTCGAGGAAGCGCAGAGGGTGCAGGATCTGACAGAAAAAAGGGCGGGCTCCTTGGGTCATCTTGAAGAGTCATGCGTCAAAAATCGTCAAAATCCTCAAAAGCTATCGCAATTGACATGATCACAGTTGATCTGCTTGTGTTGGTTGTTTCCAAGCAAGACTGCCCTAGATTTCTACGCAAGCATAGGAGCCAAATCAGAAAGAAAAGGCACAGCAAGGTGGCAGCCCGGAAGAGGCCAAGAATTGCATTTCCCACCGCAGAAAAGCAGCTGATGTTGAAGCAGCCTGTTATCTCGTATCATCTCATAGAGGCCTCAGGTTTCACAAGGCCCTTCTCTGTAGCATTGAACTTGGCGTGGCAGCACATGCCAAGTTGCCGTGCAGGGTGAGTCTTCATCTTCTTACTACAGCATGGCGCCTAGCATTTGTGAGCAAATTAAAACAGCAATATTTGATGAGAATTACCAGCCGCTACCAAGTTTCAAAGAAGCGCTAGGTGTTTCTCTTGTTTGTTTGACAGGCAGATTTTACTCCGTGAAAATTTAAGATGCGCATGGTTTCAGGTGACGAGGATTCAAACGAATCCTCCAGCAGCAGTGATGAGCGGCAGACTAAGCTCAAAATGATTGGAACAATGGAAACAAGGCAATGATAGGTAATCGCAAATACAGCACCTATCCGCAGCGTGAGGAATGTTGTTTGAAGCCAAGGTCAGAAGAGTCTGAGTCAGAACCGAAGGAAAATAAATAAACACGATCCCGACTTTGCCAAGAGCATCGCATTTCTTGAAAACATTATATGAATATATAAGAATGAAAATATAACAAATGAAATTATATTGTGAAATTTGGTATTATTAGTGTAGGATGGAATCAATCGTATGGGCGAAAGATATATAATTATTAGATATTATTAGTTGGGCCGGGGTGATTAAGACATCTAGCCCAAAAATAATTATTATGTTTTTGAGGTGGGAGGTTTGTGTCATATAGAATTCTATATCGATGGGGATATGTTTTTCGTTTGATTAAGATATGGCATGCCAGGGTTACCCTCTGGTAATTTAACGTAGCTATGGAAAATCACCATTTTCAATGGGAAAATCCACTATAAATCACCATTTTCAATAGCTATGTTAAATTACCAGAGGGTAATCATAAAGGCTAGCTTGCTAGCTTGAATTTATTTTATATTAGCAATGAATTGGGTGCCTGGATATGCCGATATAATCTATGTCGAATTGATTTTGAGATTTCCCTTAATATAATTAATTATATTGAAATTGAATATCTTTAAATTCAAATTCCATTCTATTTATCTTATTAGATATTATTTAAAGATGTAAAATTAAATTATATCTATATTATATTTCCTCATGAATAATATGTATATAATTGTATATAAAAAGATTTAATCGAATTTAATATTAAATAATATCCTTGTGTTAATTTTCACTAGAATGGGGTGATGTGTACATAATTTAAACGAATTTCTTAATAAATTACAATTTAAAAATTAAAATTAAACTAATTATTTTATGAAATGGAACCCCGATGAAATAATGAATTTATATAATTTAAATTAAATTATTGATTTTATTAATATATAATTTGATTTGATAAATTATATATATAATTTGAAAATTATATATATTTAATAAAATAATATTAAATATTAAAATTATTTAACAAATAAATAAAAAAATAATAAATAATTGATAGTTTTTAAAAAATATATATATATTATAATTTTAAATTTAATATTTATTTTAAAAAAAAATAATAATATTTTATATTATATATATATTATAA